GGACATACAACACAATTTGTGTATTATTAGAGCAGCCGGGAGATTACGAGGAATTTCCTTCAAGAGGGGGATATAGTTTGGCTGAGGGACAAGTTGACAACTTAAGCGGTAATACTCGTATAATCTTCTCTGCTATCTAAATACTTCTTGTATTGTCTCCTGTCACAATATTTTTTATTAGTTAAGCAGTCACATACTTTCAGCCCACCCGGTAGAAACAGGCATTGTGCACTGATATTCGATAGACAAAAACTAACTGTTTGTAACATTACAAACGTGAAAACCCTAGAGTTTAACTCGTCGAGTACCGGTTTTATAGACACAATTAAAGAACAATAGGTCGCGCTCACCGGTGACCGCTTGGTGTTTGACAGTTTAAGGACAATAAATAAATCACAAAAATATTTGGTATATTGACCTGGACTGAATGACACACTTCGGACCATATAACGGAATAAACAATCATCCGGACAGAGTACCTCCGCTTTGTAAACTCAAAAAATAACATATTTAAAAACCGGTTCAGTCGTAGTGTTTTTTTTTTAAGGGGGAGAAATCATCGAATGACTGCTCCCGTCTGGGTGAGGCGGGAGGGAGTGTCAGACTCTTACTCACTAAAAACCATCCCGTTCCTTCTCCTGCACGTCGAGCCGGAGCCCCGGTAACCCGTTGAGTTCTTCGCGACTCAGTCGTAGTGTACCAGGTTGCCACGTGTACGATTCTAGCGAAGTTAATGATTCCAAACTCTTTTGTCAAGCTGTAAATCCTTCTTCCACTCTCCATTATCAGTTATCACGCATTTCCCGACGCTCCTTTTTTACTCATAACAATTTACACAACCTATTCACGTTATTTCATGCAATATAATTGTATTGAAAATGTGTATCGCTTCATCTCATGACTGGGGACTCTCAAATCCTAGTACGAAGTCTGCGGTAACCGTTTCTGTGGTTTTTGTTCTGAGCAAATATGATTAGGTTCACTTACTGGATTACACTAATCTAGCCCCCGCCGAGCGTTTACAGAATATTTGATCACATCATCCACTACCGGGTAAGCAGAATACGTGGTGAAACAAACTTTTAGAGCTTCAGAAATAAACGTTAGGTTTTCGTATTTTGTTATTGCGACTTTTAGGCGTGGACTACCTACAATTCTACTTTATAAAATGTGTCATTTAATAATATTTAAATCACATGCATTTTTAAATCACTGTTTAAACTGTTATTAATTTTAATTCAATTAAACAGAATCTCTACGCACGTACAGGGCGTTCTAACAGTGATAGAATTCTGACTGTTCATTCTGAATTATGCTCGTTTATACTTGGTTTCTTTTATCTTTGAATTCCATCCAGGTCCATTTTACGTTTATATTAAAAAATAAACTTTATGCCGACGCAGGGCCACCAGCCATTCGTTCGCAGTTTAAAAACTTCAAAATTGGGTGCTTTCTCGAGTCCGCGACGGCATCGCACAGTCGTCGCTAATTTCCCATGAGGCATCTCACGGCGAACCGCAAACTGCCGCGATAAACAACCTAGAGGCTGCAAGAATTAATAGGCCCTACTCTATATCTTTTTTATTTAGTTACAAAGTTACATTACTTTTTTAGGGCTCTGAATATTTTTTAGAGAGCGTAAGTATTAACCCTACATTACTACTCATGTTGCGACGCACAAAGAAACTACTCATACGCTTGCGAGGCGCATCATATTTACTAATGATTTTATTAAAAACCTATAAGTATGATTGATATGTTTTGACTGTTTATGTAATTTTGTAGATTACTAAAAACTAAAAAACACAGTTTTAATTAATATTTATATATTTTTATTATAAAATCTTTAATCAAATAAATCTTAGAAACAAATTTTAGGATCTTAGGTAATTTAACAGTCTTCTCATTAATAATAAAAAAATAAAAACTTAAAGTATACAATTCTCTTAAAAAATAGTAAATTATGAAGTAATCAACTAAAAAAAACTAACAATGTAACAAAAAAAATATTTTAGATGCATCCGTTATATACATGAACTTGATGTTCGCCGCAAATAGATTTTTGGCACTTGGCGTATGTATGCTAAATAGGCTCTAATTTCTATGGAGCATGTATCTCTGTAGGTAGCGTGGGTATTTCCAGTAGGTCTTTTCCTAGATATTTCCACATTTGTCCACTTCACTATCTCACCAACAATGTCTTCCGTGATGAATAAATCAAAAGACACACTAGGCTCAAAGATATTTCTACACATCCTAGTAGGGCCTCTAGAAGCGTACACAATGTTTATAGCAGTGGTTCTACCTCGACTTTCACCTTTAGAAGTAGACCAACAGTGCTGATTCTTGCCCTTCAATGTTCGACGCGCCAGGACTAGGATACGGCGATCAGAACTGGATTGCTCCAAACTCTCACTATTTTCTGGGACAAAAGATGAAACAGATTCTTCAGCTCTTATGTCCCTGGAGTTCTCTATAGTTTCATCTTCTATGTACCCTTCTTCTACATCGTTCTGAACGTCTTCATCGCTTACATGATCTTCAATTTCAGAGTCATCTTCCGAAAAGTTATCATCACTGTTATGGTCGCTTTCTTCTAGCCAATTAGCTATAATATCATCCATAGCTTTTCTATTACTAGCCATGATGTTGAAGTTTTAAAACGTACCTAAAAAAAAGATAAAACACACTGGTAGTAACTAATAATGAACAAAAAAACACTAACAGAATAATTTGATTAATAGCGTACAACTTTCATACAAACTACTCATACGTCTTTGGAGCGCCAAGGGTAGTAATATCAAAAAAACTATTACACTTACCGTAACGCAACCACCGTCCTGCGACACGTGCTGGCGATGACTGAGATGTCCTTGAACGTGAATGCCGTACGCGCAAAGGTTAAAAAGAGAAAGCAATATATCAAAAACGCGGGCGCCTCTGCGACGTAGAGTAGTAATCTAGGGTTAAGTACATAGACATACCTACTTTACCTACTTTAAGTACCTACTTTATACTTCCCTACGTTATCTATTACGTTACTTACCTAATTAATTGCCTAATTACTTACTATCTTAATTGACAGACTAACAGCCAGTTTCTATAATTTACAGTGCACCATTTTCTGCTTATTTTCAACGTGAAAAAATAAGTAGGTACCTACCTATGTTTACAACCGACAACTGACTGTTTCGTTGGTCAACCGATGAAGGTATACCGTTGACTGTCTCCACAGTCGCGACCTTCACCAATGAGTAAACAACGAAGGGCAGCATTATCTTCACGCTTAGCAGACGAATTGGAGATTGAATATCGCATTTTAAATGGCTTACACTCGACAAAAGTCGGCTCTTCCAACACCCGCGAGCGAGAAGATTATGGTTCACTAAATATATAGATAAGCTAGTGGTGGCGTACCATAACATTATTTAATTAATTCACAAACAGGACTGCAGTAGGTAACAGCATTTTCCCTAAAAACAATTACTGAATACCGTAAACCGTACCTACATACATTCATTTACGCGGGAAAACGAAACATTTTAATTTCTTTAATTCTTTTCGGCGTCGAGAAAATACCCTGTTACACGAAATTAAAGTAAAAAGTTAATAAACATGTCTCTTGGTTTAATTAAAATGTTAGAAAGCGAGAACCATGTAATTTGTAAGAAATGCACAACTTAGAATACCTACAACACTGAATATAAGAAATTGTAGGTAGTTTGAGTGAAAATTACCCTTTTATAACAAAATATATCCATGTGGACAGTTAAATGTATTGCATGATTTACGCAATTTCAAAAATGTCGACGTGAATCTTATCTTAAACATAACGGACCCAGTCACTATAAAACAAGCAACTTCTTAAAGACCCAGATTGTAGATTATTTCAACAGTGTAAATATCATAAAACTCCTGTACGCTGTCTTACTATCCATTGTAAAACATGACATCTTGAATGTGTTAATTTTGAGTGACTGCTGTTTCTGAACATGCATTGTTATATGTATCTACTACACACAGAATGTGTACTGTGTAGTATGGAAGTGGACGCAGGGATGCCTCTAATTCCATTGGGTCCAACAAATTTGTTCCGGTCTGGTGCAAATAGGTCGTGCCGCCCGTCGCTCTTACAATATGTATTGTATTCTAGTATATGTTTCTATACATTTATACACATAGGTATGTACATGTCCACTTTATTTAAATCTAGTTAATAGCAGATTGATGTTTGACATGGTTTTGTTTGCATAAAAAGTGTTTTTCTTAACATGTTAAATTATATGTTTACTAAGGGTCAAAATCCTTTAATATAATTACCTACCTAATTACGCAACTACGTACTTAATAAATATGGTAGGTACCTATCTACTCAATTCGCCTACCGGGCAAAAGATCTCAGATTCTACTCGATTCACGGGTCTAGAATATTGTCTGATAGATTGCTCAAGATTCACTCTATAATAAATTGGAATATATTTATTTATTATTTATTTAAAAACTAATAAAACATCAATTTTTGGACTTAATACAAAAATATTAAAATAAAAGCAATAAAATCGAATAATAAAATAATTGTAACAACATTACGCACAGCACGTTCACAAATATTGAGTAATCGAAAGTTAAACTTTCGCGCGTATCATACCGCTATGTGCCAAGTTGACAGTAACAGTAACGGAATCGACACTGTCAACTGTCAAATTACAATGACGGTTGTATGTTGAATGTTTATCACTTTATATTCTCTTTAGTGATAACACCGGCGATTTGTGTGAACAATCGAACTGCTAATAATATGATTAAAATTGTAAATAATTTATAAAAAACATCAGAGGACAGATATAAACTATAAAATTTGTGACTTTTGACCTTATAGATATCAACGTCGCTGCTACTTATTATCAGTGTTATCAACGCCGCCTGTGGTCTGTTTTATCCAGTTTTATCATTGTTATACATTTGAGATCGCTCAGCTGCCGAAGTATAACTATTTTATTATGGAATTAACATTTTCCAAAATGACAGTAGACACGAAACTTGCACAGGTAAAAACCAGTTTATTTATTTTTAAATTAGGTACTATGGAAGGAGAGAATTTAGTTAAAAATGTAGTTGGTGTAGTTTTGAGAACGTTTGAGCTGTTTATAACTATGTTGTTGCTATGAAATTCCAACTAAAAGTTAATCAATGTACCAAGCAACCTAATAATGATAACTGCTCCTACTTAAGAATATTGATCATCTCAAACTAGCCATTAATATACAATAAACTTAAGTATAACATGTAACTTTAGATTTTTATACTTTCAGGAACATGTCAAAAGGAATAAAGGTCTGTCAGAGTTATATGATGATTATGAGGGCAATGTTAAGGAAGGTCCCTCTAGATATGGAGGAGTTTTTGTAGAAAGCTCCAATTCTAACGACAGAGATAAAATACAGAATATTATGTGGAAGTTGGCTATAAACTTGAAACAGAGCAGTGAACTGATAGTACAACTGGAATATCACTTCAGAAAAATTCCAGTAGAAGACACCAAGGCACAATTAAATGTTCTTATACAGTACATCAACAGCTATTCAGCATGGACAGATAAGTTTTTATCATGTAAGTATTATAGGTAACTCCTTTTCTGTTGGTATTCAATGTCACCCCCACACACCTCACATGTATCTTACACATCAAATACTTTAACACAATGGTTCCCAACCTGTGGTCCGTGGACTGCCAGTGGTCCACAGAAAACAAAGTAAGATCCAGCAAAATGAAAAAAACTGAACAACTCTTTGTGTGACTCACAGATTGTTGTTCCAAGTCTGGGTATCATGTGTATGTGAAGTATGTTTGTAACCGCACCCACAACACAGGAAAAAATCCTACCCCCATGGTAGGATTTTTTTGCATCATAAAAAAAAATCCTTTTTTTTAAGATGATTAAAACCTTTGCTCATATCTACACTGATCTCTTATCAAATATAGTACTAATTTGGATATTGCTTCTTAACATTCCAAGTATAAAATTTGACTACCAGTCAACATACACCCAAAAATCAATTCAATTTGTGGAAGCAATAATAAAGAAAACTGATCAAAATCCTTTCAATTCTTAGGTATTGAAGACTTTTTGTTTCGTGATCATCTTCTTGTATTGACACATATGGTGTTAATGATGGTACGTAATGACAAGATCACCCTCTACACATCCACCAAGGAGCCCGTGGCAATCTGTCACCTGTTTGTAACTCTATGCCGTGACGCTGGGTGAGTCAACTAAGTTTTATAAACAAAAGGGCTTGGTATGAATTTGTTTTATGTTTAAAGTGTTTGAAATGAGACAGCTTTCGATACTCTGGATCGGTTAGTTCATTGGAGCTGGCCAATCAGAGCGACGAACACTGTCTAAAACTCGACCTCTGAATGTCTCCATCTAGTGTTCACATACATAATTCCTGAGTTCATCAAATCTTCCTGCCCTTCTCTCAAGTTACTTCGTCAGCGAAATGTTGTCTTCCTCCATTCTCCCTTATCAAATATTTTCAAAATAATTGAATTATGTATATAACCTATATGGGTGTCTGCCATACGCTGTTACTGAACTAAACGGTCAGATACCAATTAGTTTCTGACTAGTCAGCTTTCTTAACTTCTTATATTCTTTACAGATACCAGACTATACAGTTAGATTGTCGAAATGATGACTTTACGACAAACAGAGCAGATATCAGTAAGTACCACACATAAATATACAAATTTCTAATATTGGTACATCTTATATAGTACAATAGCATGAAGTAGAATAATCAGTGTTTGTGTTACACATTGACAATAACAGTTTTTATTTCAGAGCACGGTACTGTGGCCGTTGTCTCCGAGGATGCCGATGTCGACTCTGCAGTTGATAAGTTTCTCTCGTCGCCCAAACAGGTATGTACAATAAATTATAACACATAACGTAACATCACGCCTTTTATCCACGAAAGGGTAGGCAGAGGTGAACATTACGGCCCTTAATGCCACTGTACAATGTAAACACCCACTTTTCACTATTTATGTTATGAGTCCCATGTAATAGGGGGTGAGCCTATTGCCATTAACCGGGCACAGTTCCAGACTCCGTGCTACCACTGAGAAAAATCCAGTAATACTTTGCCCGACTCAGGAATCGAACCTGAGACCCCCTTGCCCGGCAGTCGCACTTGCGACCACTCGGCCAATGAGACAGTCATAATAATAAATTATAAAACATGCCATATTATGGCACTAAGTCTACCTAATGTACTAATGAACTTCACTTTTGTTTATGTATGATCCTAATAAATACCTTGAAGAAACAAATGCATGGCCACAAACGCATAATAGCGTTATGCCACAAAGGAGTTTATATTATCTACCACTAAGAAAGCTAACAGGCTTATTCCTAGTGATAATTTATCAACGAACCTATGTTACAGGTGCCCTGGTACTTGCGCAGGATTCTGGTACAAGAGAGTGTTTACAAGCCATTCAAGGACGCACTCAACTGGAAATGTTCTTTGAAACAAAACGATAAGAACACTGTTCCACCCAGCGCGTTGTGTTCTCAAGTTCTCACATATGAAGGACGAACGTTCATCGTAGACCCTGTGGAAGTTGTGGAGGAGGAGCAGTCGTTCATCACTGTCGAAGCTTACAGGACAACTAAAGAAATGATATCGATGCTACAACAAGACAATCCTCACTACTTGTCATTATGGATAAATGGAATAGGACAAATTAATGAAGTGACTCAGAGTACGAACTCGGCTGCCGTGTGGGTGAACAACATCGGCGACATCAGAGGACCCCCAACCGTAGCAAAAGCGCTCTATCCCTCATTTTCAAATATTAATAAAGAGTATTACTATAGGAGATTCGACGACAAAAATGATAAGATCGTCAAGCTTGTCAAGCTCTCTCAGTCGTGGTCGAAACTTGATATTGAACGTCGTCGCGATATTCTTATCAATGTACTAGGAAAATATATATCATCTGACTCCCAAGACAACGACTTTAATGGCGGAAAGAATTCACTTATGAACTTCACAAACGAATCTTTTGTGCAAGCTGGAAAAGATTATACTTGTACGGGAGTGTGGAAACCTGTAGGATTCATTCCAATCACAAAACCCGAACTGACGTCTTTAAATCTAGCAGTTCATTTAATCTTACAAGGTAATGCGTTAGTTTTGTACGGACTTTCAACTCCAGCAGAAGCCCCGTACGTCGAACTACTTGAAGCAGCAGGAGTGCCTGTTGTTATTGCTCAATGTAGTCCCACTGGAAAATTCCAAGCAAAAATTTATTTTTTAGGCGGGGAAACTCAAACCCTGCGAGTCATTTGGACAAACTCCGGAACAATTTTCGCTAACTAATTTTACCTATTCGTACATTTAAAATTATGAATAAGTAAATAGTGTTTAAGCATCTTATACATTTCGTTAACTACAGTGAAACCTGGTTAAGTGAGACATCAAGAGACCTGCAATGTCGTTTCACTTATAGAGGTATTCCACTTACCCAGTGTCTCAGATATACAGGTATAAATAAATATCTGTCTCATTTACAGAGGGTTCCATTAATAGAGGTGGACTTGGAATTACGTTTGGAATTTGTGGGTAGAATAAGAATGTGTAAACAAACAATGTTATCTCAGTTACAGAGGTTTATGCATATAAAATGTACTCGCTGTCTCAGTTATAGAGGTAACTATGATGATAAATCGAAAGAACAAATCCCAGATATAGAGGTTTACCTCGTCCCACTAACAGAGGTTATTCAGTGACAAAGTGTTGGGACCTCAGCATGAGTTCCAGTTATGGAGGTTTCTCACTTATCCAGGTCCCACTTAACCAAGTTTCACTGTATATTTACAAGTTTATACAAAATATTATATTTTTTACGTTTATGTTTTATTACAGTTGTTTGTTTTATTTACACTCGTACCTAAATCGTCAATCAAACTTAAGAGATATTATTTATACACATTAAGCACACGTATATACATATATTATGCGGCATTAACTCCGCCATTGTATACATTTGTACAAAAAGTGTTAAATAAATTATGTATGTACAAAAGGTCTTGTTCCATGAGGCCGAATCTACTGACTACAGTGCGCCACCTACTGCAAATCTATGCAATACATGTTTTAGCTTTCATCTCTGTTTACCACTTTTATAAAGACCTGAGTGCTTACTCTTGAAATCAATCGCAATGCCAATGCAGTTTCAGTCCAAGAAAATCTCAATAATTATTTAATGTCAAAACTATACAATATCGTAGCTGTTAAAATAGCATTCATAGTACGGAATATAAAGCCAAACTCAATACCATTTATTTAGTTCAATCAATATCCACGCAATACGGATGCAATGGGCGCCAGTGTCGCAACTCAAGAGTACGAAATTTCACAATACCAATGTCGATCGATCGGAATTGGATTCAAGAGTAAGCCCCCAGGTAGGGAGAAGTCAGAAAATCCTCATCAATCATCTAGAAGTTCCATTACAGCAGGCGACAGCCAGGTTTCGAACCGGTGTCATAATGCTTTTGCTTTAGAGGCTGGAACCTTAACCCGGCTCAAACCCGGACTTTTATGATATCATATGTAGGTACAATGAAATTCTCAGTAACTAGTAGGTAATGCAATTTAAAAAAATATATCTTGATAGAAGATATACCTAATTTAGAGCACACTGCTGTTACATGTACCCACCCTCTTTCATAGGTTTCATTAGTTATTCACGTCTAGGTATAAAATCTAATAACGTATGATCCAACGGGGCGCGAGCGCCGAGCGGCCCGTTTGATATCACAATCGCTTGATTGATAATAAACGCGAAGCTAATTAAGAAACCTATTTTGTGTCGCCGTTCAACGTGCAGGGGCACTGGCGCACACTGGCGGTTACATTTAGCCGTTAAAAATAGTCCAATCAAATGTCACGCCCGTCAATAAATAGTTCCAATTTCGAAGACCAAACAAAAGATGGTACCCAAGCATTTATTATGACGTTTACAAGTAAATACGATAATAATCGTGTCAGAAAACGTGTAATTTGTATTCTTAGTATAAATACGTTTTTTTCGCGTTTGAAATAATCTAATTATGAATCGAAATTAGTGAGTATAGTTTAGTATGAAGACTTCCAATATGACCAGGAATAAGGGACAAGTATATAGTGTTGGAAATTATCTGATGACTGGCAAGGTACTGGGAAAAGGACACTTTGCGAGAGTTGAAGAAGCCACACATAGGATAATAGGAAAAAAGGTAATCTTTTGTAATTAATTCGTTAGCAACTGTCGCAGTTATTTCATGGACGTGAGCACCACACCTAGGAACTAACGTAGTGACCCTGAGTGAAAGATTAACTGTCCTTGGCTTAGTTTACTAAATGATGTGCCACGTCAATATCTCTCGTTTGCATTCTTGGCATGGTCTTGTCTCACCGACCTGCCTGAAGGATTACATTTGAACTAACGAAGTGTATTAACGTAAATACTGTCCCTATGAAATTCCGAAGCCGAAGTCCCTATGTCTGGACCCATATTATTATGATCAATATGTAACAATTTCTTATCTTTTTAAGGTCGCTATTAAGATCATAGATTTGACATGTATTAAAGAGGAGTATGCCCGTCGAAACTTACACCGTGAACCACGGGTTATGGCGAAGCTACGGCACCCATGCATCGCGGCTCTCTACGAAACTATGATGGTTAGATTCTAAACTAAACTAATTGCATTTGACGAAGAACCCAATAACTTAAATAAGCGTAAACTTTGATTTCCTCGCCCAAACTAAGTATTGAGGAAGATAAAGTTTGGGATCCCTTACTATTCATAAAAGCATCGACCTACTCGATTTATTATTGGCCGTGTTTCCCGTAGGTCTCGTAAGAACGGCACCGTAGACTGAGCATCACCTGGCTATAATAAACTGAACCTTTTAATCTACAGTCTACAAGTCTGTTAGGCGATAAAAAGATTGCCTATGACAAACAACCTCTGATGGACGGCAGTCAGTCGAAATTGTGGTCGATTCAATAAAAAGTAGTGGGTACGTCGTCGGAGGCGTTCTGTTGTAGCGCGCGGTGTGGTTGCAGCACGGGCCGCGGCTGTACGTGGTGATGGAGGCGGCGGGCGGCGGCGACCTGTGCGCGCACGTGCTGGGCGCGCGCGGCGCGGCGCGCGGCCTGCCCGAGGGACGCGCGCGCGCGCTGGCCGCGCAGCTCGTGTCCGCCGTGCGACACATGCACGCGCGCGGCGTCGTGCACCGGTACGACGCGCTCGAAGGGTCCAACTTCGACTCGATCACTACTATTATATTCTAGAGTGCGTCGTAAAATCGCATTGACATCATCATTTTACTTTTTTCAGTGACTTAAAAATGGAAAACATCATGTTGGACAGTACTAAGCAATTCATCAAAATAGTCGGTGAGACATCTTCACTAACGAAATTAATATAAACTAATTAATGAAATAAAATATAATGATATAATCTCGTTTCTGGCAGACTTCGGACTTTCAAATATGTGGAGCGGCGGGGCGGCACTGCGGACTCCGTGCGGATCGCTGGAGTACGCGGCCCCTGAACTCTTCGTGGACGGTCGGCGATACGGACCTGAAGTCGACTTATGGAGCATGTATACTTCTCACTTCACTTGTTTCACTTAAAAGCGCTTTTAAACTGTCAAGCACCAAGCGGTCACCGGTGACCGCGACCTATTGTTCTTTAATTGTGTCTATAAATACGGTACTCGACGAGTTAAATGTAATAGATGTATAATATACCTAACTGACATGTTTGACAGACTAACGGATAATTCTGTATGGCGTTCTTAAAGTATTTCGATGAATGGGACATGTAATGGTTACAGAGGTGTGATCGTGTACGGCATGGTGACGGGCGGGCTGCCGTTCACTGGCGCGGAGGGCGGCGAGGGCAAGTCCCGGCCGCAGCTCCGCGCCGCCATCTCGCGCGGCTTCACGCGCAAGCAGCGCGCCGCACTCGCCTGCGTCACGCCAGGTCCGCACATACCACCATACACTAGCCGTCGAAATCAATCAAAAATCTAGGTCTATCTTTGTTTTGACATAAACTCCATACAACGAATGTCATAAATCGATCTTTCATAATTCACCATGTCAGCCAGTAGACGTGCACACATATACTGAACATTGACCTCTTCAATAACTTTGTTTATGTAATTATTAAGATTACAAGCGTCGCACTCACCCAGGTGAGGTATCTAAATAATGACACACGGGCCTGTAATGGAAGTTTATTCCAATTTAAATGTACGAAAGTTCTTTATTATTTTGAACCCATAAAAATTTGTCTAACTTCAATTAAGTGCAAGTCTCAATAACTCTCAACTACTAAAACCAGTGATGTTAAAATAAAAATAGACAATATTCACTTACATAATGATTTAATTACAAAATTTAAAGAAACATGAACTTAAAATATGTTGCTTCAAAAATATTATATTAGTTTAAGGGCCGCGGTCAGCCAGTGGAATTGTAAAATATGTCGATAACATTTGAGCGTACAGTTCATTGACAGTGTTATCGAATGTCTTTGGGCTCACTTCACGGACACACAAACCTGGTTCATTCATAACGCTCGGATACTGGAGCCAAACGCCGCGCTCATTTTGGTCCTGAAATAAAAACAAACATTATATCGTTATTTTAATTCTCAATCATTTCATTACAATACGGAAGGTACTTGGCGATTTGTAATTGCATTCTAGCTTGACATTGTTTACAGAGTGTAAGGCGTTTATTCAACATCTGTTGGAGCCAAACGTAGAGCTCCGGATGAAGATAGAGGAAGCATCTCGTCATCGCTGGGTGCGGAGACCTGGCATGAGGATGAAGACACATCCGTTCGGCACTATAGACCCGGTCGTCAACAGAGAGGTACCACCCCGACCGCCCCGCGACACGTTGTTGACCGGCGTCAGTTAGCTTAATGCATAACTGTTTGCAGATATACAGACAGATATCGGATCTGTGCTCGATGCCAGTGATAGACGTGGTGACGGAGATAAAGTCGGAGCCATTCGGGCCCCTGGGCGGCATGTACAACATCAAGTGCCACCTGCAGCAGGCGGCGGCGGCCGGCACCGAGCTGCTGTGGGGCGCCGCCGCCCCCGAACCGCGCCCCCGCTCCCCGCCCGCCTACCGCGCCCCCGAGCCACGCCCCCGCTCCCCGCCCGCCTACCGCACCCCCGACCCGCGCCAGCCCGACCCCGACCGCGCCACCACCTCCGCCGCCCACCACCGGCCCCTGACCACCTCGCCTCCGAAAGTACAAGTAGTCACACAAAAAATACGGATCCCGAGCACTCCACCGCCGCGACCCGTCGAACTTAAATATGTTAACGGAAACGTGGAGTCGGTAATAAAAACTACCCCGAAGATGTCCGTTCCGGAGCGAACCAGCAAGAAGAGCCAGCTGCAGAGCCCGAGGTCGACGAGCCGGTCGCCGTGCAGCCTGTACGGAGTGAAGAAGCCCGTGTACAGGGTGTACGACAACGGAGACTGCGGCCTCGACCCGCGCCTGCCCAGCATCGACGAACATTCCAACATCGACGTCAACGAAGCCAAGAAGATGACGAGGAGTAAAACTGTGAGGATGCCGTGTGTCAGGAAGGTGAGCCTGGACGAGGACCGGGCCCTCAGACACAACACCTGCCCCAACAGACTCGGCGACAAGCGCGCAGAGTTCTACAGGAAGGCAGGCGACGGACTACCCAGGTGAGGGTACACCTCGTCTCTGAACCAGCTCGTCTACAATACTACATTACATTACAACATCTAGGACATGCTACACCAAGGTCGATAAAGTGTAAATTAGCTTAACTGACACACTTCTTGTTATCCGCCAATTAGACTAGTGAAATAGGGCCTTAGTCCACTTATTACACACAGGAGACACCTCGCTCGAGTAATCTCTGTGTGCCAGGTATTTGTATCCCCACCTCTTGCGTTACAGTTGGCGAGCTAGCGGCACGCTGGGAACGCCGCCCCCTAGAATCTTATTACAGAATAATGCCACAACCATCAAACGGGCCTCCTTAGGGTAAGCAAACCTTTTATACATATTTTACATAATATGTTTCTGAAAAATTGGAAATTTTTTAGAATATCAATAATAGAAATTCGACACATTTCTTGTAATTAGAAACTTGGATGTTCAACTTTGAATGTCGATTTTTTATGAAGTAGTTTAATTGAAAAGTTGTAAATGTTTGCGTATACAGCAACATCGTGAGCCCGCACTCGTCGTCCAACAGCCAGTGCCGCAGCGAGCGCGCGCTGCCGGTGGGCTGGGCGCGCGCCGCGGCCAGCGACGGCGCGCACGTGCAGCGACTGCGGCGCACGGCGCCCATGAAGTGACTGCAGCACACGGCGCCCATTTAGTGACTGCAGCACACGGCGCCCATGTAGTGACTGCGGCACACGGCGCCCATGTAGTGACCACCACGTTAGCGGGCCGCCGCGCACTACACTAACCGTCCCGACACAATCTCGCGGTTAGTCGTCAGTGTGCAGCGGACCTTAGTCAAAATTTGGCGTACTACCTTCGATGTAGTGTTAAGCGAATGAAGCACTTTTACTATATACTACGCTCGACTTCCAAGTAATCTTTTTTGGACTAGTATTTTTTGTTACGTTTATAATATAATGCGTTTTACATTTTAAATACTAAATAATAGAGTGTTATGTTATGCTTGTTGCATGTATTTTATTGAAAGATTAATATAAGATGTGCATTACGATATTGTACTTTTATTTATACTTAGTGATGCGCCCGCGCCACGGCTTCGTATAGTGATGATACAAATGTAGTTTTTTAAACCGTGACATTTCTCGAGGGCATGTCACAGAAGTCATAAATGTTGAATTTAAGAAAAGGTTTTTGGCCAATAGTTAAAATACAGCTATAATAAATTGTTTAAATTTGACAGTACTTCAGAATAAGTGACAACAAATAAAATAAACAGAATCGCCCGACATGTCAATGTGTACGTAGCAATTTAGCAAAACAATGGTCAAGACAGTGTGAAGGTGGCGCGGGGTGGTGCCACGCGAGACACCGCACTCAAGTACTTAGAAAGCGAAAAACAATAATTGCGTACATACATTTATGATTTTTAATTGATATGCAATAACATTTTTAATAATCCTTGAATGCAGAAACAATCAATGAAAGTAGTACACGTACCTATCTTCAAAGAAAAGTTCACGTAGGTAATGCTTAACTTATTACTTTTTATTGCAATTCTGGTGAACATTAATAATTCTAAAATTAGTAATTTAAGGTCTGAAGTCTGAACAATAAAAACACATAGCTAAGTAGGTAGGATCCAAGCGATTTTAGGTAATAACGCATTGTAGGTAATTTCAGTCCAAAGTTTCATTCGTGTATTTTCTTTCCTATTCATGAATTCACATTCCGCGTAGATGCGTGCGTAGATACCTACGATAGTTACCAGCTGGTCAGCTGATTCGTAATTCCTAATACTAAATGCATATCCTGCTGAATAGGTACAAACAATTTAAAACTTAGTACCTAATGGGTCTGTATGTATCCTTAAAGACGGAATGCACAAGTAAATGAATTACATATATCTACCTGTGTCACTCGGAGATTTCGTTCGAAGTCTGCATCTTCACAATCTACCTATGCACAGTAACACAGTCATGCACTACGTCATTGATTGGACTATACAACACTACGACATTTGTTTTTAATGTGTTTTAAGCACTGATCACTTGCAGTCTCTGGGTAACAGCCAGCATGCATGATTTTCATGTCATGCTTGTGTCGGGAGTTTAGGTACGATGCGATTAGCTAGATAGAGATTGTTTTAACTGCAACTGGTGACATAAAGCCCATAAAGGTGAACTATCTCAACTAATTTCCTGTTATCATTATCACATAAACACTGAACAGTTCAGTCTGAACTAAGAACTTTGATAATAATAAATAGTGACACGAAGTGCAAGGTCATGCGAAATAATTTCACAAATAAATACCCCCGGCAGCGCAAAAGCACAAACTAAATGCGTGTGCACTGTAGGGGGCGGAGCCGGCGGAGCGTTCGCGTTTCTTATTGGAATTTTAGGGACAAAGGAATAATATCAATTACATGTTTGACTTTGTGTGTGTTGAGCCGCGTTATAAAGCTAGTTACAAAACGGCGGCGTGATATCAGGCGTAGTTCGCAATTATGAATTTCCGTAATTCACAAAAAAAAACTTACCATACAATTTTTTGATTTCTTTCGGACTCAGAATCGGTAGCCGAGTTATCTCCTAGAGAATGTCACGATTTACGAACGACACTTTGTATAGTGTTTTCTACTATAATATTCGTATTACACATACATATAAACGGTGCATCTGGTCGTTCCCTATGGTATAAAATAATACTGACCGTGTGTGGAGGGCGCGGTGTCAGTGGAAGGGCATGTGCGAGGGGTTGGCCATGGTGGCCATGCGGATGTACGTGGTGTGTGGTCGGGACTGGGGGGGGGAGTCGCCCGGGACTGGCTCGTTCTTGAACACTGCCACGCACTTCCACTGGTTCAGGTATTGCACTGTAACACACACGCAACATACGTCAATATACACAATAGTCTATTTGTTTGTCGTGTTGTGACGGCATACTAGAATACATTATTTGGACATAGTTATACAGAAACGTTCCATATGAGTGTCGACGTATTGAGTCTCAGAGGTATCAAGTTTTTAGTTTGAAGAGCCTTAATATTGGTTTATATCGCAGTGTTTTAACGTCACCATTGTCATATGACGCTAGAAAATTGTATAGTTTAATTATTTTGTGTTTGAGCTTAAGGGATTGTTAAACCTATAAACGGTTTAGCTGCTTTATTTTTTGTATTGAATTCTGTATCCTATAATAGACTTGACATTTTCCTCTAAGGAAAAGCCCTTCTTATTAAATAAAGATTAAAAAAAAAGGTCACCCGAAATCGAAATAATATGATCATACTACCTTTAACTGTACTCTCTGGCCGACTGCCTCGTTGGCCGAGTGATCGCAAGTCCGACTGCCGGGCAAGGGGTCTCGGGTTCGATTCCCGGGTCGGGCAAAGTATTACAGGGTTTTTAAAAATTCTCAGTAGTAGCACGGAGTCTGGAATTGTGCCCGGTATATGGCAATAGGCTCACTCGCTATTACATGGGACTCATAACATAAATAGTGAAAAGTGGGTGTTACATTGTACAGTGGCATAATGTGCACCTCTGCCTACCCCTTCGGGGATAAAAGGCGTGATGTTATGTTATGTGTTACTACCTTTAATAACAGCTAGCGTCAGATTACCAAAAAGGCTCCGAGAAGGTCTTAAATCTTGGAACCTTTTTGCCTTTTTGCTTTTAGCTGTGATAGTTATAAAGGGTATTAATCTCGATTTCGGGTGTACTTGTGGGTTGCAACGTTTATGCATAACTACGTCCATTTGTCACTTTTCCCACAGATGTAGCAACAACTGACTAATGGTCGTCACATACATTAACGCACGCATCACTGTGGCGCGGCGTTTTTAGCTTTTGGAAGCAATACAAAGGGCTGGACGGCGCGCTGCCAGCCTTTTTGTATTGACGATGACGTTTGAATACTATGTCGCCTGGTGGTAAGCGATGATGCGGTCTAAGATAAGAAATAAGATTTAATGTTCTTTACATGATAAATAAATAGCTGGGTTGAGCCTTAAAAGACATTTAACAAGATGTAGAAGAAGCAATGACGAAAAATCATCAGCAAATTATAATGAATATACCTAGTATGTTTATACAGAAAGACATAGATCCAATCCCCCTCCCTCATCCTCAATGCCCAAATTGCACCTTTAAAGTAAAACCGTTATTAAACGAAAATTTTAATGAATTGAGATAATGTCATCTATTTAAAATTTAATTTTTATAGTTAATTCATCATCAACAGCCTATAAATGCCTACTGCTGAGCAAAGCCTCTTCTCACACAGAGAAGGTTAGAGCATTAATCACCACGCTTGCTTAATGCAGGTTGGCGATTTCAAACTTATAATTAGAAATTATAAGTCCAGGTTTCCTCAAGATGTTTTTCCTTCACCGTTTGTCAGTGGTGTCTAAATAATCTTAGAAAGTTCATATAACTCGGAAAAAGTCACATTGGTACTTGCCGTTGGTAGGTTTCGAACCCGCACCCTCATGTATGAGAAGTGGGCGTCTTAAACCTCCGGGCCACCACGACATTTTTGGTTGTTAATTCATGTTAATACTCAATTCGAGAAAATCTTTGTTTAATAACAGTTTTAACTGTAACTCCTCTAGTGTTGCGGGTGTGGACTGTGCCGATTGCTTACCATCAAGGAAATAGAAAATGGATGGTTGATATACTGACTCTTCCAGAGCCTGACGGCGCAGTCGTCCCCGGAGGAGGCGAGCAGAGTGCCGGTGAGGTTCCAGCAGACCCTCCACACACACGAGTAGTGCTCCTCGAAGGCGGCCACCACCTCGCACTTGAACCGCACCGCCGCGCCGTTGTTGCCCGACGCCGCCGACTCACTGCAACATACAATATTTTTTCAAGTTTTTCCGATTAGACAGTCATGTTTATGTTACCCAACTTTCGTCGTGTGAGTGAGGTTACCGGAGGCCAAATCCTCTTATTGGTCGATATTAATGATTTCCACTTACGCTATTGGCTCTATCTTGATGATGCGGACGTCTTTGGTGGCGACTGCGAGTAGATGAAAGGATCTGCCGAGGTTGGGGGCGAAGGCAATGTCGTTGACGGGTTCCTGCACCGAGGACAAGCAATCTGTCCGCGTCCAACGACGGGACGACTCACTGTACCTGGAATATTTAGTCATTGTTTTATTTTATTTGAATCGAATAATAAAGAACGAAAACATTATACAGACACTACTCTGAATTTTAAACAAACAAAGTTATAGCATTCAGCTCCTTCTGTCTTTCTTTATTAGATTTTCAACTTTATTGTTTTGTTACAAGGTCGAAAATCCAATAATTTTTTTTTACAGATTCTAATAGGTTAGTCACTGTAAGAAAACCAACTCCATTCCTGTAATTGCCACTGTGGCTAGGTAACTAGATGCGGCGCAATGTATCCCGGGTTCGAATCCCGCGCGGAACAATACTTCTTATGAACTAGCGAACGAAGATCTTCAACAAATTGTTGTTCCCGGTCTGGGCGTGATGTGTGAAAAGTCAAACTCAAAAGTCAAGATCATTTATTTTAATTACACTAGGGAGGCACTTTTGGACATCAACGTTTAGGGAACAGGAGGTCTACTCCGGTTCTCGAATGCGAAGTTTCGTTTGATTTGCGGCCGCAAACAACGTTTTCGGAACCATAGACAACTTTCGTGAACGAATGAATTCTACAATGAACGAATGAAGTGAAGATAAATAAATAGGCAATAAAAAGGTTTAGATTCGAAATTTAAAAATAAATTTTATTTTAAGTAATTATATAACTAAAATGATAATGCCATAGTTTAGCACACATAATCATCAAGAAAATCATGAATAAGCTTTTAATATTCATGTTTAAGATGGAAAATCCTAAACAGGATAAAAACCTCCTTTTAAAGATTTATTATACGACCAAGTTAAAAAGTTTAAGAATGTTGGCTTTGTCATTTATTGACATTTATTTATAAAAATAATGACAACCAAATTTATTCGTATTAAATTAGTACAGTCAGTTAAAAATTTTAAATGTCTACATGAGAATTTAAAGACACTAAATTATTTCATTTTATGATGGTTAACAATATATTTTTGAAAGAATTTATCTTATCTATAAATGTTGTTACATTAATAGATGTGAAAGAATAGCGAAAATATGTACTAGCAATACTTAAGTTTATTTTTCTAGCGGTATTATTCGTTTTAAAATAAAACATTACACATGAAACATTTATGTACAATTCATAAGGTATTCAAATAAGTATTTAATTACCCTAAATGTTACTAACTCTTATAGACATGTTAAATTATATAGGTTCGTGTTAACAAACTATTTGAGCTGACTGTACATTGATTTTATATCGTCATTTAAATGGTTTCTTTGGTGACCTACGTGTTGCCCACACGAAGAAACCGTGATAAAACGAAGACTTGCAATTACTTTCATTGATTTTTTAATAAAATTTAACCCAAACGAAAATCAAACGATAACTATTTTGGTTTCGTCGAAATGACATTAAACGTCCGAAGAATAATCTGTCAAACTCGAATTTTCGTTCGTGCGGATTGTACAACCAGAGTAGGGTTCCGAAAATATCGACGTCAAACAGTACATCTCATACTAATTTCTGGCTTGTTTCATTCCTTTTTCGTTCGTTTATATGTCATTGTGGTAGGTAATCTTTGAAGTTTCGTCCGAAACTTCGTTTTTCGTCGAATCCGAGTAGACCTCCAGAGTATAGTTCCCTAAGAAAAGGAGGATCCTCCGACCAGGCGAGGTGATCGTGCCTGGCGGGCTTTCTGCCCAACAGTTGTTCGTTGGGATTTTCTATCCGTGTTTATTCGCTTGTAAACTTTGCATGTGCGATGCAGGATTCTTGTGACGTCATCCGTTGACATGTGGCATGCGTCGCCACAAACGAAAAGAAACGAAGTGAAAAAAAACGAAGTTTAAAAGGAACAAGGTTTATCAGAGAACGCTGCTGCCAGGTGTCAGTTATAGTCCCTTAGCTCTTACGACGTCCGCGGGAATAGAAGGGGTGGAGACAAATCAACAAATGTACTATACTATACTCTGCCGTCAATACTCACTCGTATATGAATACTTTTCCGTTGCAAGCGGTTGTCTTGTCGCCCTGCACTGAGGCCGCCGCGTTCGTAGTATTGGGCTCATCACTGCCCACCGCCAACATCGGCGGGTGCACCACTCTAATTATTACAAAAAAAAACATCAATCAGCATCAGTCACAATACATACACTGCCGAACATAGCAATGACTTGATCGCTATTAAGTGACATACAACCTTATTCCTTAGATTTTAAGAACCAAATTACTCCAACCGGGATAAATTCAGAAGTTACTGAACAGATACTACCTACATACAAGTGTAAATACCGCTATTTCGTCAGAGTATACCAAAATTGATTATAATGTCTATGTCTAACAACTATAGAGTAATTGGAATTTTTTATTACCACAACTTTATAAATATTTTGTGAAAGGTAATTGTTTCATCTCGATCCCTCCAGACATTGAATGTGATTGAGTAACAAACATACACACAAAATGACAAACTTTCGCATTAATAAATTATTATTATTATTTGTAGAATTAGTAAATAATAAAATTGTGTTTACCTGGACAGTGAAGGGTTCCACGAGAGACAACTGATAGACACTTTGGTTGGTATCTCGTGCTGTAGAGTCCATTGCGCAAGGTTCATCACATCTGGAGCTTCGTATATCCTGGTGTTTAACATTAAGTATAAGAAAAACAAAAATTACACATCATGTGTAGTGTAATGCTGCGAATAGAAACCCCATAAAACTCAATAAAACTAACTTCCCTCATATAGTATTATTTTTATGGTTGGCTGGTAGAGAATGCCATTCGGCATTAAGTCCGCCATTGTATACAGTTGTACATAAAGTGTTAAATAAAATAAATAAATAATATTATTCCCTTTCTATAAATATAATATATATATAAAATTGTCGCATTGATTGAATGATTACAGTAAGCTAATATTTTGTATGAAAAATTATTTGGTGTTAACCAATCAGCGGGAGATTTCGGTGATAAAATGTCGACAAAACTAGACTAATACTGCTCTCAAACACCATCATACCTTATAATACCATCAGCAGAGCATGTGACTAGTAAGAGCCCTAAATGCTTTGGTCCAAATTTGACATCAGTCACTGAGGTCCGTGAGTCCACGAGGTTGGACCTCTTTAGCCATGTTCGCAGACCTTTCTCAGACCCTGAAGCTGCAGTGTCACCTGCAAGTGATTAGACCAGGTTATAATTATGCATATCATTTATTTTCATTGTATCATCATATCATCATTTCACAGAGGCCCTTTAGACAACTTTAATATAAATGTAATGGACACACAAACCGGCAACTAACCGGCAACTATGGAAATGCACCCAAGAACAATCCCCGGTTAGTGTAGAACTATTGTGGATAATGGAAAAAAAAGTAGAGCTATGGATGGGTTGCTGTGAACTGGTAAATTGGAGTCAATTCTATTACATTCTAATTTGATCCTATACAGATTTGATTAGATGTTTTAGTGCTTGAATTGTAAAATATGCTTGCAAAAAATGAGTCACATAATTTTTTATAATCTTATATTTTATACAAGAGATATTATGTTCTGCTTACCAACTTCCTCCCAAATGGCTGCTGTCCTATCAAAGGAACAAGTAGCAATGACCTGCCCAAACTCTGGATGGGCCCATGTGACCTTCCATACTGACCCATGATGTGCCTTCCAGCTGGCTGTGAGACGCCATCCACCGTTCCCATCAGAATCCCACACCTTCAATATTTTTTTTATAAATCAACATAATTTTGAGACCAAAATGATTACTCATTTTATTTTAAGGTTTGGATATGTAACATAAATTGTTCATCAATTCCAATTAGCAACTACTAGTTATATTATCACTTTATTTGTTAACTTAGATAAATACAAATAAGTAGGTAACTATTTTTACCATTGTGTAGTAAATTATGATTGTGATGTCTTTGTGAATTGGTAATATCATGTTATCATCGTTTTTGCGACTATTAGAGGTTGCCGCGATTTTGTTTGCTAACAATTCATACCTTCACATACTGGTCGCTGGAACAGGTGGCCATTCTCTCGCCGTAGAAATCATATGCAACATCGTGGATCAAATCCTTGTGATCAGCAAGTATAGTTTGGGACTCGAACAAGTTTGTTGCCGTTAATTCGCCCATTTTCGAGTAACACAAATCTTAAACTGTCAAACACCAAGCGGTCACCGGTGACCGCAACCTATTGTTCTTTGATTGTGTCTATAATGACGGTACTCGACGAGTTAAATATATTTCAAAACTACTACTTGCTAACCCCTACCTACCCCTATACTTATTATACTCTTTGCCCCTACCACTTAGCATGACAGATTCAGCATGACTTCAAATATCTACTGTCAAAGTGTCAAACTACGTTTAGTTGTCACAAATCTCAAGCAAGAAATAAATATTTAAAAAAATAGTTTGTATTCTAAGTTAATACTGAAAACATACTTGTATAACTACTTGTTTATATTAAAAATATTTTCATACTAGTTATTGGGATAGCAACTTCATTTCATACAACTTCATACGAACTTCCTATTATTTGAACGTCGCGTCGAAGTTCGAACGTTTAGTGCTTTAGTTATTGTTCCGAGGTCGACAATAGATAATATCATTCAAAGCCCGACCGGGAAAATCGAATCCGAAACCCAGAACCCTCGCTCAGTAGTCGCGTTTGCACCTACTCGTTACAAACATAACAATCGACGATTAGCCACTTTTTTAATAAATAATAAACTTACCCAGTATGTTGCGTGCGAATTGGTTCCAGATAATCAATTTTTACTAATCTCACTTTGAATATTATAGCATACCACGAAATGAAGCGTGCTCTCTTATTATTTTCACGACACGCACGATTTGAAATATAACATTTTTAGACGAACATACTAAGTGGGTAGTTAATACTGTTGATGGTTGGTATCGATAGGCCTGGGGTTCGATTCCAGAATATGGTACCAAAGAGTATAATATAGGAGAAGTTAGGTTAGTAACTGTAGGCACATAAATCAAACTAAGCAAATAGCATCATAGTAATACTATGTAATAGGATGGAAAACTTTATAAACTACTGAAAAGAGAAGAAATATACAATCAATAAAATACAGAGTGTTAGAAAACTGTTTATTGAATCCACATCTACTTATTATGTAACTATTAACAATCAAATTAACAACAACGAAATGCAAACATTCACAGCATTTAGTTACAAACGAGCTAAAAATTGATTATTGTCCACTAATAAAATACTGGTTATTTGTGAAACATTATATTTCTCTAATGGCACTGGTAAACTAGTTAAACTTCATGCCTTATACATGCAAATTCATTTTATTAATACAATATAGATTTGGCACTATAAGTATTTAAAGGAATCTTTATTCCCTATTTTCAGTCACAACAATTTATTAATTGCTTAACATAATTCAAATTTTGTGATACAATTTCATAGCTATTAACAATTTACTTTTAATTTTTTTTTTCTTAAGGAATATTTGAGATTCTATTTTAATTATTTTTTTAGCTAAAGGTTATCCTTGTAGGATCTAGAGAGCACTAGAAATGTTAGACAATAGAAGATAATTATCAATGTTGACAATATTATGCGTGTGAATAGTATACCTAATATTACAGTGCTGCACAGATTTTTTTTGGAATGTTGATTTATTTGCACCACATTGATATAAATCCAAAAACAATTTATATTAGCAATCAAACAAATCTGGCAACACTCAATTAATCACATAATTTAATATCTTGAATTTTGAATACTTATATTTAAGCAAGTTATAAATAACTCTGCCTAGCTTTCAGCTGATCAATTTCAAAGGCAAGTTTTCTATTTGTTTCAACTAAAGCATTTTGAATATGCATCATATTCTGTAATTGTTCACTCATGCCAGACAGTTGCTTCTCCAAATACAATTTCTGCTTAGTCAAAGCCATCATAATGTGAAGGAAATAGTTCCTGTTGTCGTCAGCAACATCCCCTAGAGTTAGTTTGATGAAGTCTTTTAGATCATCAACAGCCTTTGACTCCACAGCCAAAGCTTGGGTTGAGTTTGATGGCTTCAAGAGTGACAAATTAACATTAGAAACTCTTTCATCATCAGCAACACCATTTGTTATCACAGGTGAAGAAAAACCCAAATTTTCAGTAGTACGACTATTTATAGGAGTTGATACTTTACTGATATTTTTTTCTGCATCTAATTGACGGTATCTAATATCATGCCTGTCACTCCTTCTCTCAAATTCTGTAGATTTATTGGCCTCTTCTTCAAAATCATTAGATTTATCGAGGCCCATCATAACAAGGAACGAATCTGCTTTAGCATCACCTCCTTGTGGAGAAATATCAAGATTATTAATTCTAGGTGGGGAATCCGAAACAAAAAACATATCTGAAGTTCTATGATGGCGGACAGGGGAAGAATTTTTACGTGGTGACTGACTATTATGGATCTCTATTTCTTCACGAAGACTAATATCAGCTGATATCATCTTACGTCGCATTGGTTGAAATGCCACTTTGTGGACCTCTTCTTCATGGCCTTTTAATACCTTAGAGGGTGCAGTAAGATCCCTGAGATCATACATTAGCACCAGGCCATTTTTAGTACCAAGAGCTACCTGATTTTCAGAATTAATTGCTAAAGAAGTCAAAGTGTATGAGGTTCTTATTGTTGAAACTACATTCTGCAATCGAACATCATAGACATGCATTATTTTGTCATACCCAGTAGAGAGCATCACATCTTTATTTATGAGAGAGTATGCAATATCACTGACTGGCGATGCATGGACATTTTCAAAGAAGGCCTTGTCTTTATTTGTGGTGATATCACGTATTACAATATGGCCTTCGTCAGTGGCGAGACCAAGTAAAGATCGGCACTCATGATGAAACTTCATTGCAGTGATACTTTTAGAGCAGGAAAGCTTCACTGTTAGCACAGGAATGTTAGAAACAAGGCCATAGATAACTGTATCTCCATTCTGCATAGATGCAGCCAGACTAGTGTTCTTGGCATTGTAACTGACAAAGTTGACACATGACTGTTGGCAAGGAGTTGGGAATGTTTTAGTTATATTTTTGTTCTTAGTGTCCCATATCATTACATTTCCACTTTTAGTACCAATAGCAATGTTACGGTGACCATCACGATGAAAGCTAGCTGACCAAGTGTCTTTTAATGGTATATGTTGTAGAGTCCTGATATCATGATCAGCTGGGCTCAGTATCTCTACTACACCCTTAGAATTGACCTGGAACAAAACACAATACATTGGTACATTTTACCCAATGATACAATTTTGATACCATTATTACCATAATGATGACTGAATTGAACTCGCAGAATTTTTACCTTTTTACAGAGTAAGTAGGTTTAAAACTACAAATCAAATATTCTATATACAACCATTGTATGAACTCGAACAATGGAATACTTGGCACACCCAGAGATTATAATTGATTCGAGGCTATACAAACACAATACTGGTACTGTTACCTAACTCTATATGTGTGTTTTTAAACAAGTTTGGTGGGACATATTGATTTAAAAAAAAGTTAATATGAAGAACATACCTGCAATAAATATTTACTATCATCGCTCCACGATATATCTCGCAATATGCCTTCATAACACCAATAACTTTTTTTCAAATCCCAACTGTTGGTGTCGTACAAAAGTAACCGGGAACTTATTGAGGAGAAATACATTCTTATGCTTACAGTTGAAAGCCCGGTTACCGATAGGAGCTTTCCCCTCTAAAATGCTTTAATTGAATAAATTTATTAAATTAACATAATAAACAAAGTCGCTGAAAACAAATTGAAAACGTAAAATTTTGACAACTTTGACAATATTTTTTTGTGTCAGTGTTGCTATAATAATTAATAGAGGAACAGAATAATGATGTTTCGTAGTTACTATTTCTTTTGTTCCCGTAACATTTTTGCTCTCAATTAAAAGAAAATTATTAATAATAAGAAGTCATTGTTAATACGTTAATACTTAAAAAATGCCGCTTAACACGTTAAGGTCATTGATTAGAGGTCAATCAATATTTCGTTTTGCTTTTTTATCCTAATAGCCGTCACATTCCAGGGACCTATGCGTATGCTAAATATGTTTTAAAGCATTACATGAAATTTAATTTGTAAAAATCGTTAAGTGGTATTTTAAACAATTATTTGTTTCACTTTCATATTATATATGTGGTGGAAATAAAAAAAATCATGTTGTTTCAAAGACCAAATAAATATTGCTTATACATTCATCATCAACAGCCTATAAATGCCCACTGCTGAGCAAAGCCTCTTCTCACACGGAGAAGGTTAGAGCATTAATCACCACGCTTGCTCAATGCGGGTTGGCGATTTCAAACTTATAATTAGAAATTATAAGCCGAGGTTTCCTCACGATGTTTTTCCTTCACCGTTTGTCAGTGGTGTCTAAATAATGTTAGAAAGTACACATAACTTGGAAAAAGTCACATTGGTACTTGCCATTGGTAGGTTTCGAACCCGCACCCTCATACATGAGAAGCAGGCGTCTTAAATCTCCGAGCCACCACGACTCTTATACATTATTCAAAGGAAATACTAAAAAAAATAATTTTACAAAACATTCCGAATATGCTTAAAATTATCATTTTTGTTTTACCATCAACTTTTGACAGTGACAGCGACTGTGACTGACCGCTGACGTGTACTTGTTTTTATTGCGGCATCCGGACTGCATCGTATTTCTTGCAAAAAAGATTTTCTAAGTCTAATATGTAAGTATTCGGTGAATTTTACACACTATCTAAATTACCATTATGTTTCTATTGTTATTGAATGATTATTAATATTAAAGTATAAAAGCAGATTTTGTACTCGCAAGCACGCAGTTCGTTTTAGATGATAATAATTATCATTCAGTTTAGACCACAAATTATACGTATGCAGTATTATAATATTTGATACTTGAATACATAATTCAATTTACATTAGATTGCAGGCTTAAACTGTGCTTGAAAATCAATGTTTAAAAAGCATAGTTGAATGTGTAGGACTATAGGTAGCCTAGGTAACCTTTTGTATTTGTGTTATTCTTCTATATAAGTTCCAATTTACTTTTCAGCTACAAGCAGTCATCATGATCACCGACATGCAACTGGCAGTGTTCTCCAACTTTGTGGGAGTTTCTATATTCTTATTAGTAATTCTATACCACTACATCAATGTCAACAGCAAGTAGGTATAATACATCATACATAGAACATATTTAGAAAAAAAAGCTTGTTTAAGCTGGTGCTTATTAAATTGTTATGAATCCAAACCATCAAACTATAATAATCACTTTTCTATCAGAAATTACATACTTGACAATCACAATATAACATAGAGGACTAAGGGGGAGCTGTTTGTCCAGCAGGGGATGTCTTACAGCGTTGATGATGATGATTATGAAAGCTACTTCTGGGTCTCAAATGTAGACACAGATATTTTATAGATTATCAAGACAAATTTACCAAAATAATTATTATTTATTTATTTATTTCAATTAAATAGTATAACATTACAGTCATAAAACCAAGGCATTATACATTTAAAATAATTATAAAAGAAAAAAAAAGCAAAACAGAACAGTCCTTAAATAAAACAAACAATAAGAATAAGAAAACCTTACAAACTATGACAGGCTTTAATACCAATAAGCAAAATAAACAATAATGATTTTAATATGTTGTTATATGTTAAATTTACAAATAAAATTGACTTCATAAATTGTATTCATGACTATTGTGAAGTATTGTGCTAAAATATATTTTTCTTTTGCAGGTAAACACCAACCAGTCAGTTAAAGCAACTATGTGGTAGGATTATGTTCTCCATCTATGTAATATTTAAGATGTTAATAAAATAAGTATTCTCACTCATATGTCATTTTTATTTAAAAAAAAAATGAATATGATGTTCTGCCTGAAAATCTAAAACCGAAATACAAAAGAAGACATTTTCATTCATAATACAGTGTTATTTCAAGTAGAATCTCACTATGTCACTATAATTCCAAACTACATAATATATGTATAGCTAGCTACTTCCGCGCGGCTTCACCCGCTCTACTCTGCTCCAATTAGTCGTAGCATGATGTTTTAGCCTTCCTCGATAAATGCACTATTCAACATAAAAATAATTATTAATATTGTACCAGTACCAGTATGTAGATCTGGAGATTATAGCGTTAAAAAAAACAAACGCCCTTCAGCTTTATATAGTAGTAAATAGAATCCCAAGACCTTTCTTTTCTTAAGTCAAAATAAATTACACCTTTTTTACCGAAATAATTGTTATAATACTATATTTTATCAAGTTTTGATAATCCATTGAATTCTTACTAGAATTTTTCTAAACAGATTAGGGATTAGGATGTTGTATTTCTTAATCTACTGTTCAGTAATTACCCATACAATCAATTCGTCTTATCAATGCAATGAAAATATCTGCGTAACAATTCTTCAGTTATTTGGTACACAATACATTTGCCTTCTATTTTGACAGAGTATAAAAGTTAAGTGTGAAGTTTTCTTGCTAATTCATATTTTTAAGGCGTCACCTCGTTATTGTCAAACATGATTGCTTCTTAATCCCATCATTTTACATTGAGGTATGTTATTGCATATCTACCACATGCTATCATGGTCATGGTCGCACGAATTGCTAATCCGTCAGATAATCGGGTTAAGCTACGGCAGCTGAGATCGATTTGTAGATGGACGACAATCTCTCCTACATAGTAGTTTGTATATGTGATGTGAGTACCTAGATAGGTACCAGGTGTTTAATGTTTATCATAGTCTAAATTTCATAATGTATCAGGTACCTAAGTTCTTGTTTTTTGTTTTTGAGGGGGGAAAATCATTCCATGGCATCTTCCGCATTGGGTTAGGCGAGAGGGAGTGTCAGACTTTTACTGACTAAAAACCACACCCGTTCCTACTCCTGCTCTTCGAGCCGGAGCCCCGACAACCCATTGAGCCTTCCGCGACTCCGTATCGGGCATCAGCCCTACTGAGGCCTTAGTACGAGTTTGATTTACGTTTAAAGTATTCGAAACGAGTACGCGTTCGGCACTGTGATTGGCCGGTGCCAATGAACCAACCAATCAGAGCGTCGAACGCGTACTCGTTACGATTACTTTAAGTATAAAACAAACTCGTAGGTACTAAGGCCTCTGGGCCCTATCTGTGGCGGTTTGATGGCTCTTCGAGAGATATTAGGTACTTAGGAACCTATTATGTAGGTATAATATATTATCATAAAATCAACTACGCAGGTAATCATAGCAATTTTCATTTTACTGACGTAGGGCGTAGATTAAATCTGTTTTAAATGAAAGGAACTGAAATCGCTAAATAATTTGAATACCATTAAAATAGATTGGTAGATATTGAGTAGGTACCTAATAGGTATCTAATAAGTAGTAGTACTAAAAACATCTCGCGAGGTTAGCGAGATTGTTTTACTAAAGGATATTTCATATTTCTTGTATATTAGAAGATGGAAGATAAGATAAGACTTATTGTTTTTTTTTCATTTGATATTCGATAGTTGTAGGTCCTTATACGTCAAAGTAGAAGTGGTAAACTACTTAAAAAAAACTAAATTATTTCTCTTTTGTGCACGTTTCTTTAGGTAGAATGCTTTTGTTCCAATTTCCGAGAAAAAATGTTTTTTTTAAGGGGTAACATCATCGAATGACTGCTCCCGCCTGGGTGAGGAGGGAGGGAGTGTCACCTCGTTCCTACTCCTGCACTTCGAACCGGAGCCCCGGTAACCCATCAGGTTCTCCGCGACTCCGTATCGGCATCAATCCTATTGGGCCCCATCCGTAGTGGTCTGATGGCTCTTTGAGGCGCGCGCGGAACGCGACGCGCCGTACGCTCGGGTCTGGTTCTGGTCGGGCGGCGAGCCACCCATGCCCGCCGTCCGCAGGCCCGCGCTTACGGTGGCCGGAGATCGTCTCGCGATCCCCGACGCCCGGAATGTCCTTCGCGACGGCTGGGTTGTGAAGGCTAGCTAGGAAGTGCTGCATGACTGCTTCGCAAAAGGAGGAGACGGCATCCCAGTCCCCCTCGCTCCGCATCATGGCCCGCATTAGGCCCGGACGCGAGAGGTCGCCATCGCCGATCACGTCCCTGAGGGCACGGCGGTGCTCAGCCCACGCAGGGCATTCTCCGACTGTGTGTTCCACCGTGTCCTCAGGGTGGTCCTCGCAGTGATGACACCCGGGCGTTTCCTCCCGCCCTATCAGACACAGGTACCTCCCGAAGCTCCCATGTCCGGTGAGGACCTGCGTCAGGCGGTAGGTGAGGACGCCGTATAGCGTCTCTCAAGCCACTCCTCAAAGAGGGGACTTACCGCTGCGATGGCAGCAAGCCCAGACTAGTCCCGTGTAAGTAAGGGTGAGCCTATTGCTATATATACCGGGCACAAATCCAGACTCCGTACTACTATTGATAATTTTTTTAAGCCCAGTGATACTTTGCCCATCCTGGGAATCGAACCCGAGACTCCTTGCCCGGCAGACGCACTTGCGACTACTCGGCCAACGAGGTAGTCTGAGATGTACTGATGTACATAGCTAATCACAATATAGCTAGTGCTCGCTCTCTTGAATTTATGAGAGTTAATAAAATAATGTGGTCATCATAATCATCAGCAGTGATCAGCAGCTTATAAATATTCCACTTCCGAGAATAGGCTTCTCACACGGAGAGGGGAGCAATAATCACCACGCTTGTTTAAGGCAGATTGGCAATTTCGAACGTAGTTTTACGAACGTATTACCATGCACCGTCGCTTCACCGCACCGTAAGGTTTGCACTAGTGGTGTCTAAAGAAACCCTTCTGCTTCTACGGGCATTATAAAATACCTATAGAAATCCAGTCCTATACAGTGTGTTAATTTAAACGAGGGACATATTCAAACCCTTAATAGTGTATACTTATATGATACTAATAAAGACATGAGAAAAAAAAAACACTGATAAATAACAGACAGAACCATACCAAAGTTTTCGCAAAAGTCTCGCAACGTGTGTATGTCGTAGGATAATTTGATACTTCGAATCTTTGCGGAAATCCTAGGATTTTTGCAAAAACGCGGATAATTAGACATAGGCGAAAAATTATCAAATCTTACTGGACAAAGTCAGGATTTTTGCGAAAATACTCGTTACTATAGTAAGATTGCGAAACGAAACGCTGGCTGTTATGAAATAAGAACGCTGATTGGTCGGTCAGCGCGTTCAATAAGAGATCGTCTCTGATTGGTCTTAAATGTTTTTTCGTCGTCTTAAACGACCAGTTTCATCCAATTTATGGATTACTCCCTAAAATTGGATCATTTTTTTTTACTACGACTGATATCTTCTATTGTCTGTAGAAAACAACATACATAAGTACTAAAATTTTCAATAAAAAGTTTATAAAAATCAATTTAGTGATTTTTCTTTCTCACCTATTCTAAATCTTCATAACTCTATGATACAATACTTGAAGTTAATCATCGGCAAACTAGGAACCAATTAGAAGTCAGCCAGCAAAATTGTAGCCAATCAGTGTTGAGCACATCAAATCTTACTATAGTAACGAGTATTTTCGCAAAAATCCTGACTTTGTCAAGTAAGATTTGATAATTTTTCGCCAATGTCTAATTATCCGCGTTTTCGCAAAACCCCTAGGATTTCCGCGAAGATTCGAAGTATCAAATTATCCTACGACATGTACACCGAGACGATGTCCGCGGGAGATGGCAATGACTTTTGGTTGTTGGCTTTCTTTTGTGTTGTTGCGTGTGTTTGCGTGATTTGGCACGTGTCTTGCCGCGTGAGTTTTACAGTGTTCATGAGTAATGTATTTTATGGGACAATTCCGTCAAATATTAAGGTTATAAGTTTTATACATTTTTGAGACGAGAATCGAATACTGAATACCCTCCTTCAATAAGTCCCTCGTTTAAATTAACGTACTGTATAAAAAAAACCTTTTCAGACTCAGCTATGACTGTGACCCCAATATAAGTAATGGAAATTCGATAAAAAGGGCGCAAAATATTTATTAGGTTCTTATAATTCCCCCTATATAAGTAATGGAAATTCGAAAAAAGGGCGCAAAAATATTTATTTATAATTCTTTACAAAAGCGAAACCGGGGACGAAGTTTATAGTACCTACTACCTAGTACCTACCTATAAAAAATTGTTAAACATTGAACTCAAGCTGGATAGGTATCGTGCAAGCAAATTATCTAGGTCATGCTTACTGCAACTAAATTAATAATTAGTAATTAACTAACAGAATTAAATAGCTTGCAAAGCACCCTCATGTTTCCTTTTGTTTCGCAAATCATTCTTTCAATTTCCTGCCCGTAATGTTTTCGCTAACATCATCTGTTTGCGTAATTTATAGTATTATCTTCAAGGTATTTTTACCCGACTTCAAAAAAAAGGAAGTACTCAGTTTAACTTGTATGTATGTCGCGGAGAACCTAACGGGATATCGGGGCTTCCGGCTTGAAGCACAGGAGAAGGAATGGGGTGGTTTTTTAGTCAGTAAGAGTCTGACACTCCCTCCCGCCTCACCCACGCGGGAGCAGTCATTCGATAATTTTCCCCCATTTAAAAAAAAACCTGTATATACTTATGTATGTTTGTGCGCGACTATCTCGCGATTGGCCGAACCGATTTTGATGCAGTTTTCAGAAAAATGTTTGTTACACTTAGGAGAAGGTTTTAGGATAATAATTCTATGTAAGGTCTTAGAGAATTTAACTAACTAATTACTGTAAATGTACAGTACCTACAGACATTGATTGGGCTTCCTGTAATCTCACTCACACGACGAAACACAACGCAAGTGTTGTTTAACGTCGGTTTTCTGTGAGGCCGTGGTATCACTGCGGTCGAGCCGGCCCATTCATGCCGAACATAGATATAATTATTTCTGTGGTGCCGAAGCACGGCTCTCTCACACATGGCCACAGTCTGCACATGGCGCTACGATCAATAAGCGCCGAACAGAGCGAGTGAAACCGCGCCGAAGGAGTTAATAAATTAGACAATTCTAAGAAACCGTTTCATGATCCCATACTCATACTCGTAGGTTAGGAGGCTCATGCCTCCTAGCACTCAAAACTTAGGTAATACCATAATACCCAACCGTAAATCCAAAATCCAGAGATTTTCAAAAACCTAGGATTTCTGCTTTTGATACTCGTCATACCTACACCATACAGTGTCGATCGATCCGTTGTTGATCTCAATATTTTGTAAGTACTGTACTTACTGCCACTGTACAATGTAACACCCACTTTTCACTATTCATGTAAGGAAGGAGTCCCATGTAATAGGGAGTGAGCCTATTGCCATATACCAAATTCAAACTCACACCGTTCCAAACTCCGTTCTACTACTGAGATCTTTTTGAAAAAATACCTATTAATACTTTGCCCGACCCGGGAATCGAACTCCTTGCCCGGCCATCGCACTTGCGAAGCAATTGATAAATTAAAACTTATTTAATTGGGATCTCCAATCCGTCTGCCAAATGTGGAAATTACGGCAAAGACTCTTATGTATTTAGAGGACGTCCATACATATAGTCTGTTATAAAATTTAAATTATTACATTAATTATCACACGCAATACATAATACCATAAATGCAGTTACACTTACTTATAAGTAAATAATTTACTAATCCAAATTACCCAAGACACAATTTTTTTTTTTAATAGTTGCCCCACCCTAGTGTTTACTCCTGTGCCGTGGGTGCGTTTACAAACATACAAGTTCACATCACACCCAGACCCGAAACAAGAATTTGTCGAACACACAAAGAGTTGTTCCGTGCGGGAATCGAACCCACGACACGTTGCGCGGCAGCCAGTTGCCCAGCCACCGCACCAAACGTGCAGTCATATTAGAAATTGACATTAATTAAAGGTAGAGAGAGAGAGAGAACTACTCCAACATTAATTAAACATTCATTAAATTTACTTTTTTCTACATAACATCACGCCTTTAACTCCGACGGGGTAGGCAAAGGTGCACATTACGATTGCCACTGTACAATGTAACACCCACTTTTCACTATTTTTATTATACGTCCCATGTAATAGAGGGTGAGCCTATTGCCATATACCGGGCACAATATCAGACTTCGTGCTACTACTGACATTATTTTAAAAACCCAGTAATACTTTGCCCGACCCGGGAATCAAATCCTTGCAAGAAGTCGCACTTGCTGCACGGTTAGTGCTGTGGCTGGGCAACCGGCTGCCGTGCAACGTGTCGCGGGTTCGATTCCCGCACGGAACAACACTTTTTGTGATTCACAAATTGTTGTTTCTGGTCTGGGTGTCATGTGTATGTGAACTTGTATGTTTGTAAACGCACCCACGACACAGGAGATAATCCTACTGTGGGGCAACGTTTTTTTAAAAACAAAAAAAACACAACTTGCGACCACTGGGACAACGAGGCAGTCATTTTTTTCTCTTGATTTCGAAGTTATTTTACGTTTATTAAGGAATACGTGTAATGGTTTTAAATACTGTCGTTTTTACAACACAGGCTGCTAATGTTCTCACGAATCTTTCAGTGTTGAAGTCGATATATCTTTTTTATAAATATTTTCTTAATATGAGAATTAATATTGCACGAAGACTTCGCACCAAACTTCCTTGTGCGTACTGCTAAAGAGTAGAATTATTTGATAGAGTTACTAGACTAGCGACCCGCCCAGGCTTCGCACGGGTGCAATATGCATGTATTATTCATATAAACCTTCCTTAAGAATCAGCAGCATAACATCACGCCTTTTTATCCCCGAAGGGGTAGGCAGAGGTGCACATTTCGGCACCTAATGCCACTGTACAATGTAACACCCACTTTTCACTATTTATGTTACGAGTCCCATGTAATAGGGGGTGAGCCTATTGCCATATACCGGGCACATTTTTCCAGACTCCGTGCTACTACTGAGATTTTTAAAAACTCAGTAATACTTTGCCTGACCCGGGAATCGAACCCGAGACCCCTTGCCCGGCAGTCGCACTTGCGACCACTCGGCCAATGAGGCAGTCTTTAGGCTTTAGGCTTAGTCTTGAGGCCTTAAGAATCACTCTATCTATTAAAAAAAACCGCATCAAATCCGTAGCGTAGTTTTAAAGATCTAAGCATGAGACAGACAGACGGCGGAAAGCGACTTTGTTTTATACATACTATGTAGTGATTAGTTTAGTTATTTCCTAAAGGGTTCTGTATAACCTGGGTGTCTTCAAGGCCCGAGTGAATAGGTTGCTTATGGGTCGACGTGCTCCATCGTAGACCGCATCATCGCTTACCACCAGGTGAGATAGTGGTGAAACGTTAGTCCATCAAATATATAAAAAAAATTAAATCCGCAATATACAGGTGCCGGTTTTCCTAATGCACCAACTGTGCCATCGTATTGATTAGCCTAGGTATATGTTATAGAACGATTCTAATGGCAAACATTGAAGGATCTATGCTAATGTAAAGATCTATGTAAGATAGAATAATCATACAAAATAATACATAGTCGCGTCGGTCGACCAATGGATTGAACATTTGAACCTGACACCTTACATGCTCCAGTTGCACGTGCAACCACATAACTATCGAAGAAAATTGGAATATATCGTTATTGGAAATAATACTGCATGCTGCTCATTAGAAGATATCTAATTAAAAAAATAATAATAATGAAATGGTAAAGATAGATATAAAATAATAATTTAAGTAACGGTAATTTAGAAAATTAGGTTTTATTTTACAAAGTGAGTTTTTTGTATTATAATGCCTAGTAATTTGATTATTGAGAATATAATTATGAATTTATTAGTCATATTTTGTACTAATTACACATTTGTTAAAACGTTGAAATGACTTTTAGGAGTTTTCTATAAACCAATTTCTTGACTTCTCTAGCGAACACAAAGTCCACGTGGTTGAACTGATCGTACGGTATCTTGTATGTGTCCATCACATTGCTGAGCTTCCTGTGGAGTTGCTCCACGTCACTCGGATGTGCGAGCCAGTCTGCCTCACTGTAAAACAAATACACCGGCGCCACCACCTTCTCCAACTCATAACTCGGAGCCACCTCCACACCATACCTCGCCATATTCTCCTCACTGCCGTAATCAAATTTCCTAAAGTCTTCAGATATGAGTCCTTGACCGTAATGAGCGAACTGCTTTACAGAAGCCCCCGCCGGCAAGTGCCCAAATATCACAGGCAAGTTCGTAATATTCAGCTGTCCAAAATCAAAACCAGCGATTATAAATATAATGTTGCTACATAGTATTATGACCAAAGGTCCTCTACCACATATCAGCAGCTTCAAGGCATTGATGATGGCGTTGTCCGGCAAAAATTCATAAACACCGAGATGCTTCGAAAATTCGTGTAGTAATGATGTTCCTGGGGATAACAACCTGACTATAGGGGAATTTACTTTTGACATAAACGCTACCGGTGACAATGCTACCATGCCAGATATCTTCGCATTATATTCAGGTTTCTCAGAGGCCATCACAAAGAAAGCCGTAGTACCTTGAGAATGGCCGATGTATCGTAGAGATGTAATGTTTCGTTTTCTCAGTACAAAGTCGATCATAGCTGGAAGATCGTAGATACCGATTTCATGCCAAGAAAAATCCCAGAACGCGGCATTAGACGGCTTCAATTTTACGTGGCGTCGGGAATGTTTACAGCCTCGGGCGTTACCCATCCACACATCGTAGCCTTGGTTCGCGAGGAGGTAAGCGAGACCACTGTCAGTGCCCGCCACAATGTAATCATCTGCACTCCCAAGCAAGCCATGCATCAGGAACACCGCGGGGCCCGTGCCAGGAATCCTGAACATTGTCAATATATATCCATCTTCAGTGATCACCTCGTACTTTTCGACTGGATATCCATATTTAACGAGTATAGTGTCGATACTCATAGTCACATCCTCATTTTTCTTGCCTGCGTTGAAGTCAGCAATGAGTTTATCGACTACATCGATGTTGTTAGTTTTGCTAATTCGCGAATTGAGTCTGACAGGTCCAATGACTCTTGAAACTGCTAAAGGCAACTTGGTTACTAAGTTCACGGCAGCTGCGAAAGCGTTAGATGACACAAACGATGTTGAACTTATTATTGGATGGGTAATTAGTGTTTCGATGAATTGCTCCTTTGTTTTCGCTATTGAACTTGATATGAGATAGTCCACAAGATGTCCATTACTGAAGTTAACGATAGCGAGAATAAATAAGAACTTTTTGGACATATCGCACGAGTTGTTCGGGTATGAGCTGAGAGTAAACTGCTCGTTTCGGGTGCCATGGCCGACCTTGCCGGTATAGTTTTTACGATTTGATCTTTCCGCTTATTAGTGATGGGTAAATGAAGTGTCTATGTCATTGTCAATAATATGCTTGTTTACAATTGCCTATAGCATGCTTTAATGTTTCGACTAACCGCAAGACATCACAGTTTTTTTTATAAATAATTATATTATAATGGTCCACATTTTATTTACTGGTATTTATTTCCTATGTCCTGTATCCTGGGTGCATAATCTACAAATGACATACCTGCGCGTCATAGGCAGACACACAACAATATTTTTTGTGAATCATTACGAACTACACATGTCATCACATGTGGGAATTGAACCCGCGACACGTTTCCCGTCTTACTATCTAACTACGTATAGGGAATTTTTGAAATAAAATAAAAGAATTAAAAATAGCTTAGTAATTTAACTGAGCGTACGGCGCGTCCATAGGTATATCAGGGCCCCATCCGTGTCATCAGCACGGATGGGGCCCAATATATATTTGTATGCAAGGTTGTCGTGGTGGCTGGGTAACTGGCTGGCGCGCAACGTGTAGAGGGTTCGCTTCCCGCACGGGGCAATTCTTTGTGTGACCCACAAATTGTTGTTTCGGATCTGTGTGTCTTGTATATGTAAACTTGTATGTTTGTTAACGCACCCACGACACAGGAGACAATTCCAGTGTGGGGTAACGTTTAAATAAATAGGGCTGGTTTTTAGGCAGTCAAGAGCCTGACTTTCCCTCCCGCCACACCCGGGCGGGAGAAGTCATTCGATATATTCCCTCCGCAAAAAAAAATGAAATGAAATGTCATAATAATAATCATCCACTACATTGTGCACAATAGGATAATTACAGATGCATTACATAGACAACACACACATGTCTATGTAATACATCTGTAAGTATCCTATTCCTGTAATAAAACCAGTCAAATCTCAATTGCACGGTTGGCATATTGACATGAGCAACAGACTGCTAAGATAGTGTAATAATAAATATTTTCAAGTCACGGGTTCAATTCTCCTAAACAAACATTCTAGTGTTTTTACATATCCACTAACTAGATGTGGGTGCGATTTGTATGTTAAATTATATGTTTATGCATACACATAACAAAAAAGAGGTTAACAAACCTAAACTCCACGGAGAATTAAAAAATTCTAATAAAAAAATTATTATAAGACTGCCTGACCCGGGAATCGAATCTGAGGTAACTCAGTAGTCGCGTTTGTGATGCCTGGACTAACGACGCAATAAAGTGTTTTAATATAACATGCATAATAACGTCACGCCTTTTATCCCCGAAGGGATAAGCAGAGGTGCACATTATGCCACTGTACAATGTAACACCCACTTTTCACTATTTATGTTATGAGTCCCATGTAATAGTAATATGACATGGTATGCAGTTAAACCCGAAGTAGATACCAAGTAAATTTCGGATTCAAGCCCAGTAGGTAGGTAATACAGTAAGGGCATAGTATAAAGAAAAGGGATTTCTTTATACTATGGTAAGGGTAATGTAATACAGTAAGTACCCTTAACTAGGTAAGTACCTATATTCTAATTGTGAATTATGCAACAAAGTAGAGGACAACCAGTGGCGTAGCGTGTCTTGGAGGGGCCCCGTAATAAAAATTGTTTAGGAGCCCTAATGAAAGGTAATCATTTCTCAGAAGAGATTTTATTACATAAAATACCTCATCTGCCCAAATTATCGGACAATGATTAGGTACTTTAGATTTTCCTTTCTGCCAGAGAATAGATTTCTCTAATCCATGGTTTCTTTTCTGCCTTTAAACGCATGCATTTTGTGATTACTGAAATAAAATTTAAATTGAGAAGTTTTATATTTTTGCTCACACACGTTGGTGGCCCCCGTAGTCCGGGGCCCCGTATAATTGATACGGCAGATACGGCGCTAGCTACGCCCCTGAGGACAACATTTGGAATGTGCTAGGGACAATAATGAAAGGGAATCATTAATAAGAAAATATAAGTTGAATAAACTAGATGTTGGGCTAGTTCAAAACATTTTAGCAAATCTTATAACGAAGATTGCAATAGGGTTGTGTAAAATGGCTCACCATTGTTAATGATTCCCTTTCATTTACATAGAGTATTTTTAATTAATGACTGCCTCGTTCGTGGTCGCACGTGCGACTGCCGGGCAAGGGGTCTCGGGTTCGATTCCCGGGTCGGGCAAAGTATTACAGGGTTTTAAAAAATCTCAGTATTAGCACGGAGTCTGGAATTATGCCCGGTATATGGCAATAGGCTCACCCCCTATAACATGGGACACATAACATAAATAGTGAAAAGTGGGTGTCACTTCTGTGTGCACCTCTGCCTACCCCTTCGGGGATAAAAGGCGTGATGTTATGTTATTAATTATTTAATTACATAAGGTACGATGGGGTTGACGTATCCATATGGACATAAACCCCCTAAAAACAATAAAGGAGAATAAAAAAAGGTACCTATATTTCTATTGGTTAGAAAAAGTAAGTACAAGCAAGTAACGGGTATCAAATTGTATAGTTTTGAAACAATATTATAGGTACTTGTCAATATTTAATTTTGTGCGCATATAGCAATATGTTAGCATTTAATATTATTGCTAAATACTGTAGTCCAAAGTCTGTGTATGGTACCTATACTTACAACACAGTTAAAATGCTGATCATATAGGTACATGGCTACCTATACAATACATACAGTATACATGTGCATAATAAACTAGCATAACTTCCTGGCTTTACTTCTGCATTCTATTTAACACATATCATCACGCTTTTTTAACCACGCAAAGGTTGGCAGAGGTGCGCATAAAACACTCTTTTTGACCAGTTGCGTGTCTTGATACCGTGATTTAGTAATGCCATACACTAGGCGCAATTCTGAACTCCTCATTGTTATTGAAATTTTTCCAAAAAAAAAACATAGGGACTCGCTCTAGTCTTGTTCTTAATGTCCGAATTTAGGAATAAAGTCCTTTTATTGAATCACGAATCAAGATAAATCCCATTAGGGATAAATTACTCGAACGTTGTTTGTTTTATCACGCCTTTTATCCCCGAAGGGGTAGGCAGAGGTGCACACAGAAGTGACACCCACTTTTCACTATTTATTTATGTTATGACTCCCATGTTATAGGGGGTGAGCCTATTGCCATATACCCGGACATTTCCCAGACTCCTGAGATTTTTTTAAAAACCCAGTAATACTTTGCCCGCCCTGGGAATCGAACCCGAGACCCGGCAGTTGCACTTGCGACTATACTCGGAATTTTAATTCGATTCCAGATTTGACAATTTCAGTGTGGCAACGTTATGACAAGTACTAAATAGTGACGTTGCGAAATTATTCGATTTGGAAATGAAATATTTCTGGATCGATTCTTCTCGTTTATAATAATTATAATTTTACTCTCGTGAACTAAGTTTATCAGGAAATTAAATATTTCTGAACCGATAAATTAGTTTTGACGATTAATTAACGATCTGAGACGTTTCTTTTATAATTGTGTGTGAAATAAATAAAAAAATGTAATCATGAAGGAACATGACAAATAAAACAGATAGATGTAATAAGGTAATAAGTTATTTTATAAATTGTCGCCGTCATCGCTATCGCTATCCTGTCACTTTCTGTAACATTTATTATAAAACACACACACTGATTGTTTATCGATTTTTGTGTGCATCACTACACTATTATATGTGGTATCATTATTTCACAAAATGACAGTAGCTATTGTCAAATCTGGAATCTAATTAAAATTCTGACTATAGGTACTCGGCCAGCGAGGCAGTCTTTTGCTTAGGTGTTGTTGTTTTACTTTTAATTAACCAATTAAAAAAGGCGATTCTCTTTTTAATCTAAGGCCTTAGTAGTACTAGTTTTTTTACATTTAAAGTAATCGTAACGAGTACGCGTTCGGCGCTCCGATTGGTTGGTTCATTGGCGCCGGCCAATCAGTGCGCCGAACGCGTACTCGTTTCGAATACTTTAAACGTAAAACAAACTCGTACTAAGGCCTCTGTGCGTAGGTAATAGATATGTATGTTTGTGCGCAATTATCTCGCGTTTGGCTGAACCGACTTTGATGCGGTTTACAGAAAAGTTTTTGTTACACTTAGGCGAAGGTTTTAGTCAATTAATTAAATAACCGACTTCAAAAAAGAGATGGTTGAAATCGGTTTTTTAAACGTAGTTTTTTTTTATTAAACTACTATAAGGTGAATAGATATACCTACAGTTTTCTTACATGATTATAGTATTTATATCTCATTGCGGGTTGGCGATTTCAAACTTTTAATTTTTTTTTAAAGATACGTTGCCCCACACTAGCATTTTCTCCTGTGTCGTGGGTGCGTTTACAAACATAAAAGTTCACATATACATGACACCCAGACCCGAAACAACAATTTGTGGATCACACAAAGTGTTGTTCCGTGCGGGAATCGAACCCGCGACACGTTACACGGCAGCCGGTTGCCCAGCCACCGCACCAACCGTGCAGTCAGACATGATAAGTCCAAGTTTCCTCACGATGTTTTCCGTGACCGATGCCAGTGGTGTCTAAATAATCTTAGAAAGTACCTACATATTATAACTCGGAAAAAGTCACATTGATTCTTGTAGTTGGTAGGTTTCGAACTCGGGCGTCTTAACCTCCGGGCCAGTGATATTAGTGTTTAGCGTAACATGTACCTAAGATCTTTTTAACAATTATTTGACAATGAAAATGATGTGACTGTAATGTGACCAGGGCACGGACGCAAGACCGTAGATAAATATAATTTTCAATAGAGAATGATTTTCGAAAATCTGAAAAGATCAAATAGGTAGTCAAATGATCAAATCTTACAAAGTAGGTATGTAAATCTGTTAATTTGGAAAAGTCACATTGGTACTTGTTTTTGATAGGTTTAGAACCCGCACTGTCATGCATGATAAACGGGCGCCTTAAACCCCCGGGCCACCACGATATAATTAACATAACAATCAGTAGTGTATACATAGTACATCAATAATTCAGTCTTTCAAATGTAGGTACTGGTCAATTTCCTCTATCTTCATACTCTACAGTAACATTAGGCGGGTGTGCATCTACCTACTTAAACTTAATAATTAGCTTCTCAATATTATTTAAAATTTCATTAAATGTATAGATTTCATACTCATTAAGAATCAGACTATGGATCACCAGTGTATTAATTTACACCTCTACTGAACCTTTTGGCAAATAAAAACGCGTGATGTTATGTTATGAAACGCCCACAGTAACAAATTAATTGTGTTTCCAAGGATTGCTGACTGCGCTACAGGTACACTAGCAACGGCTTGCGCTTACGCTGCACTAACAACGCTGCGCCTGCGCTCGCACACAACTAACACATACACAACCACATAGTCAGATTGCTGAATTCATAAAATATCGTATATAAATACTGGCAATTTCACTACATTCGACACACTACAAACCGGCAAGATGAAGGCAGCTTGTGTATTGGCTTGCCTGGCTCTAGCCACCGGCATCTCCGCGAGTATCTTCAAGCAGCAGGAACGACGAGTGGAAGGCCTCGATGTTCTGCAGCCAATACTTAATAATAAATACATCAACGAACCGCTGGGCTTGCTTGACTCAATCAAGTCAGTCGGTCAAAATCTACTAGACAACACTCTTGGAAACAAGAAAACCCAAGAAGAACAGCTGCAGCAAGACCTGAGAAACTGGAACGTACAACTCCAGGAACAGCTCCGGCAACAAACATCCAAACTACAAGAGCAGCTTCCTGAGATCATCCAGTACCAGAAGCCTTCCGTGCCCCTGCAATACCAGCAGCCGTCTCTGCCCCTGCAGTACCAGCAGCCGTCCCTGCCCCTGCAGTACCAGCAGCCGTCTCTGCCCTTGAAATACCAGCAACCGTCCCTGCCCGTGCAATATCAGCAGCAGTCTCAGCGTGTGCCACGACACCAGCAGCCTCTCCAGAAACCCCAGGACTGGCACTCTACCCACGAAAAGCCTTCCCAGAAACCTCAGGAACCCCAGGACTGGCACTCTACTCACCAAAAGCCTTCCCAGAAACCTCAGGAACCCCAGGAATGGCACTCTACTCACCAGAAGCCTTCCCAGAAACCACAAGAATGGCATTCCACCCACCAGCAGCCATCTCAAAAACCCCAGGAATGGCACTCTACCCACCAGAAACCTCAGAATCCCCAAGAATGGCACACTTCTCATGAGCAGCCTTCTCTGAATTCTCAGGAGTGGCACTCTACCCACCACCACCAATCTCACTTACACAACCATGATCACCAGCACGATCATCATCATCATCATAATAACAAGCCTCGTCTCGCCCTTGAATCGTCGTCCTCCAGCGAAAGCTCTGAGGAATCCCAGGAATGGACTAACCAAGCTAAAGAAGTACAACAAATCCGTGCTCAAAGGTGGACTCAGCCAAGACTGCCCCTTGTGGACTCCATCATGAACCAGAACAACCAAAATGTCCAATCCAACGGTAATGTCATCGGATTGAATGGTTTAAAGATGACTGTCGGACCCAAATCTCTTGTCCAAGGCGTAGAAGACATTGAAAAAATCTTCGGCGATGTCGAGAAGGCAATGAAGCACATTCAAGTGGAGGACAAGATCAAGATACGTGAAGTTTTTGAAATCGCCCAGCAAACAGAAAATGAAGATGTTGTGCTCAATGCCACCCAACTGGCACAGAAATACGAGTACACCATCGAGGAGCACACTGTCAAGACCGACGATGGCTACATTCTCACTGTTTTCAGAATTCCCCCTAAGATGCGAACTCGTGATGTTCAGAAGAGGCCCGTTGTTTTCCTGATGCACGGTGTTCTTGGAAGTGCTGACGACTGGCTGCTCATGGGACCCGGCAAGTCACTCGCTTACTTGCTCGCTGATGCTGGCTACGATGTATGGCTCGGTAACGCTCGTGGTAACAAGTACTCCAGACGCCACGTCTCCAAACATCCCGCTATGTCAGACTTCTGGCAATTCAGTAACGACGAAATCGCTCTTCATGACTTGCCAGCCATGATCGACCTCGCTCTGGAAACAGCTCAACAGGAGAAACTGTACTACGTCGGTGTTGCACAAGGAACTACTTCATTCTTTGCACTCACTGCCACCCGCCCCGAGTACAACAACAAAATCATCATGATGTACGCTTTGTCACCCATGGTCTACATGACGAACGTGCGCAGTCCCCTTCTCCGCATGATGGCTCCCACAAACAAGTTCCAAGAACGTTTAAATCGCCAAATTGGTAACGAAGCCTTCACTCTCAACAAGGAGCTGATCGACACCGTCGGAGGAGTTATGTGCGAGATCATGATCGGCAACGAGAAACTCTGCTCAAACGTGAACTTTATTATGTCTGGACTGAACGTAGACTCTATGGATCCCAGAATCTTGCCCGTTGTGATGGGACACCTGCCTTCAACCACGTCTGCCAAGGTGATGAAACAATACGGACAAGGTGTTGCTTCAAATGAGTTCCGAAGATACGACTATGGTCCTTACATCAATTGGCAAGTGTATGGTTCGGAAGAGCCTCCTAAGTACAACATCGCTGAAGTACAAGTCCCTGTTACCCTGTACTACAGTGAGGAAGACTGGCTAGCTAACCCCGAAGACGTGGCTAGACTGCAGAAAGAACTTCCCAATGTGAGAGAAGCTGTCAAGGTGCCTGAGGAACACTTCAGCCACATGGACTTCCAGTTCTCGACCAAGGCTCCCGAGATGGTGTACCAGCAACTCATCCAATCCATGAAACAGCAGCAGCAGCAACAGTAACTAATAGAGAGCACGGATGTTTAGATAATTTCGTAGATGTATCATTCATTGTAATAATTTATTTTTTTTACTTCATCGACGCATTAAATAAATCCGTCCATTCTTTTTAAACTTTGTTTAATTATCTACTGATGTCACAAGAACTGAATATTACAGAGAAAACACACCACAGAACTCACGCTAGCCACTTGAGAGTTTACACAAGACAAGCATCTAATATCGAATACTTGCATAACACAACAAAATCTATAATAAACAATCATTTTTATTGAACTTTATTCAATAGATCTACTTAATTTTATTAAGTTCGGTTCTTATGCCGTTCTTTGTAGATTACATTGATCAAACTTCATTAGGTACCTAACTACACATTCTATAGGAGACTATAGATAAGTACATGATGGAAGTCATGCAATACCCCCCAGTCTTAATGTCATACTATAGGTAATAATACTGTTATTATTTTGAGTAGAAGGAGAATTTACTTGACTTACTTTGACTTTGATGAAAGTTTAAGAGACTATTAGAGTAAGTTTTAAGTGAGAGAGAACCATAATTATGTTTCGGCAGCTTCGGTAGAAATGGATCTGCCTACCTAGACCATCATAAAATTAAAACTACATACTAAGCTACACCTAAACTATACGAAGCCTATGCAGGTAAGTAGCTATTATTATGAACAAGTTCTCTACTTAGGAGGTGTAAATTAATATTTATTATAAAAATTTGTAATTTTAATTTACAGAATAAGAAGAAAAATTATACAATTTAAGAACAAATACAACCTATTGCGTAGTAAGTATTGTATTTCGTAGTAAAACAGAACCCATCAAACTATTAAGATAAACAATATGAAGTTTGACTGAAATTGTTCATCAATATTAGACTGATAGACGGAGATGTTATTTTCGTATCCTACGAGTTATCTAGACACTACAGAGTATTACTCAATGAGTTCAGAAGGCGGTGAAAACAGTGCTAAAATATCTTTGTGCCCATTTTTCTTTTAATTCATTCAAGTTTATACAGATGTCGCTACACAGAACGGTTGAATGTTTGACATTTTATAGAGCCCACGCTTTGTTTTGACATATACACTTGCATCTGTCATCAAATCGTTGTTGAGCAAGCGAGAAAGAAATATGTATAAAAACAAGTTAGAACGAGATAGAGGCGCGGCGGCGCTGTAGCTTCCCGCCGTCCCCCGTTCGACAGTCGCGCTCTGTTCGGTTTGCTGTGCGTAGTTGAGCTCAATTATTTTCGTTTTCTGCTTTTTAAGTGGTATTGCCAGAGTTATTTCTATACCAGGACGAATTTGTTATTTTATACTAGTGACTGAGTGTGAAAAGAAGTGTTCGCATGGATTGAGTGAGCAACGATGTTACCTCCCACGGCCGGTCTATCACAAGAACAACGCGACCGGCCCGACATGGCGTACCAGCAACGTCAGGACGTGCGAGAGCTAACCAGAGAAATCATCAGAAGCGCTCGAGTAGCCAACAGAACACATTCAACATCCCCTGGAGGTGAGCCGGTCCAAAATCAAAACGACGCCACGTTTCCGCCATGCTTGTCAAATTGACGTGATATGTCAAGGTGACATTTATATGAAAACATAGTATTTTTCGGGGGAAAATTACAATAAAAACAAATCTCGGAGGCCTAAAATCTATAACTGAACCTATCACATACAGAATTAGGACTGTTACGTCACCATGGAGCCCGATCTTGCGAAAGTAAAATGGCGCCAATGCGCCACATTGCTTGCTTATCATTAGCTAGGTATCTACGTATAATATTATGTAGCTAGGATACATTTTACCGAAGAATTTTGCCCTAATGAACTTAAAACTGTTCTATGGGCCTATTACGTTATGTAACCAATATTTTCTCAAGCTTATTGTTGATTTGGCACGTGCTTGGGTTATTTTTAGCTCGACCATTTGTGTCCTATGTTACGTGGACGCATCGCGTCAATCCGATCGATATTTTATGTGCATATATACTTAGGCACTTCAATATTTTACATATTTATAGCGGACGTTATGTTAAGTGCATTCGTTTACATGATGTTTGTTGTTGTTATTGAATTCCCTTTGACTTTTATAAAATGTCGTGGTGACAGTAAATTGACAGCGCCCAACAGTCAACATACACAAGATGGCTGCTTGCCCGCCATCGAAAGTAGTCAATTTTAGTTCAATCACGCGCTTCGCCAGGCGGCGCCACTGTCGCTTTGTTGATATTTTCAATTTGTTTGTCTTGTTCATTATTTTATCGGATTCTTTTTCATGAACCAGTTAATATATAATTTCTATTATTAAAATTATTTCGTTGTTTTGATACACCTAGTAAATCAATGAGTAAGCCACAAACATCATTCAAATTATTTACACAGTGAATTGCATTATATTATGAACTTACTTATTTTAAAATATCTATTCTATTAACTCGTTGAGTACCGTCATTATAGACACAATTAAAGAACAATAGGTTGCGGTCACCAATGACCGCTCGGTGTTTGACTTAAATTACCTATTACAATTAAACAATTGTAATAGGTAATTAATTTCAATTGGAGTGTACAATTTACCTATTAATTTAATTTTAAACCCATAAATTTGACTAGAAAACTGTTGAATAATATTGATAAGATAAATTAATATTTGATGACTATCCTTCTATTGTTCCCCTTAGTATATATTTACACAACTTTTGCAATATAAAGATGTGTAATGATCTCAGTAAAATTGGCAATGTGAGTAAGGACTATAAAATTGGCAATGTCCAATGTCATGAGTCCTTACTCACATTGCCAATTTTGCAAGCCCACTTCTTACCCATTCCAAATATTGAAATTCGCAATAGGCCAGCAAAACACTTGTAATTTTTTTATGGTACCTATAGAGCTCCAAATAAGCATACAGATCACTTGTTGGCAAGCAATTGGTGTCTCCCATAGACACTTGCAACGCTAGAGGAGATACAAGTTCTGTTGCCAGCAATTAAGGGATTAGAGTTGGGTACAATTGGGTCTTTGTTTGGGTCTCTATTTCAATAAGAACATAAAAGTTAACATAACATAACATCACACCTTTTTATCCCCGAAGGGGTAGGTAGAGGTGCACATTTCGGCACTTAATGCCACTGTACAATGTAACACCCACTTTTCACTATTTATGTTATGAGTCCCATGTAATAGGGGGTGAGCCTATTGCCATATACCGGGCACCATATAAAAGTTAACATACAAAATATTTTAAAAATAAAAGTGTCTGTTGATCAGTGAAGCAATTACTTGTGATAAATATGAATAAATGAAGATTCCTATAAATAAAGAAAATAGATAAGAAACTCCCAAGTTAATCTTCTTTGTGTCAAAATAATATCTTAGTGACAGCTCTAAATACTCCTTTCTTGCCAATGTTATCCAAATTGTCCAATTACAATAAATTATGCATGTTTGGGTATCATAAACTATTGAAATTATATTCAGAACTTATAATTATTATCTATTGATTGACCTAAATTACAAAATGTCTTGTATATAAATCTTATCAATCATTGACACTTCAGTACACAGATAAGAGACTGTTGCCCTGTAATTTGATGGTTTATCTCGTTATGATTATAACACATTAGATGCTTTATCTTGTGCTTCTGTGCAGTAACTAATATATTTAAATTAAATACATAATGAAATAGTATATTCATGTCCAAATACTCAAACACAATGGTGTATACTCAAACACAATAGAAAACAAAAACATATCATCTGAGAGTACTCTATAAAATGTTATGTACCTAACTAAACTAACTTAGACTGCGTAACTTAGTTAACATAATTTTCTTCCCCCATAGTAAAAACTTTTATAGATTCAGTACCTATTAATAATATTTTAAACTTACTTTCCCGCCTTTTTACTTAAATTTTGTAATTATTGTATTACTTGACAGAGAAGCATGAAACATCACTTCTGTTGATTCATAAAATTCTTTATTGATGCCTATTTATTACGCCTTTTAATACTCGACCGATTAAGTAAAGGTAAACAAAAATTACAAATACTCTGTGACAGCTCTTAAGATAGCTTGTCGTCTCAGTATCTTTAAGTACAAATTAGAGTTCAATTATGTATCATAACCTCTTTAGATATCTCTTTACCAACCCATTTTATAACGGGAACCATCAATCACTTTGACGACGCGGCGCGGGCGGCACAAATTGACGGGCGAAATGACAATAGACGCGGATTATCATTTGGCGCCATTCGGGTCAGCAGTTCAGCTGTTTATACATCTATATATATAAAAGAAAGTCATGTTAGTTACACTATTTATAACTCATGAACGGCTAAATCGATTTGGATGAAAATTGGTAGGGATACCTCCCTAGCTTAGAACCAGGAGACGGACATAGGATACTTTTTACATACATTTTATTTTTATTTTTTATCAACATACACGAACGGGAACGGGAAAAAACGAGATTACGCGTACGAAGTCGCGGGCAGAAGCTAGTAAATCTATAAATCATAATGTATTGGACTGTAGCTAAAGTTGTTTCTTATCGTTGATCGTTTTATATTGATGCTTGAGAATCGGAAATAAAAATTAAGTTACATAATAAGTTGTTGAAATTTTGGGATGTAAGTTATTATAGTTATCTTACGCTAAAAACAAGCCTTCATAATATGACAAGGAATACGTTTCTTATCATAACTTCATAACATGCATCATGAAAGAATGCAAACTTAAATACGAAGCCTAGAGCAAACGCTTGGTTATAATTTAAACAATCATTGCAACACTGTATACCAAGGTATTGCATTACCTCGATGCAGTTTACGCAACTGGACGGCCTGTAAACGTGCTCCGTAATGTCAGTCTGTTATCTTGGCGGTTGTCCCGCGCAGATGTTTAGATTGTGTTCCGGTTTTGATGCCGGCTCCCGGCCTATTCTTTGAAGCGATTTCTATAGATTCTATTGAGCAGGAATCTTGATTTTGAATCTCAGATACTGTATAAAATTGTGGTTTGACTATAACCGATAACGATGACCGGAAACTTACTTACATTTCACTGCCATTAGAGTCGACCTCAATAACAAAAAAGTAATGTTTATTTCAAAGTTAATCCTGATCGATGACCACTAAACAAGTGTTTGGTTGAGATTGTGATGTTTGTACCACTTCGAATAAATAGGTAGGTATAGCAGCTAGCAAATTATCCCCATGATAAATGTGACGAGTTTCTGAAATAGTTTCTGGCCTATAAAAGGGGTTAACTGTCGCCATCAGCAGGTCAAAATGGTTGCGATTAGGCACCTCATTAACAGCAGTTAGGGTCTTCTCTATCTTCAACAACATCATAAGCTAAGAATAGCCAGTTTATGTAGTAGAGTACGATTTTGTATGATTTACCATGGAAATATTGCAATAAATTGACCTAGAATTGTTTTACCATACCTTTGAACATGCCAATTCCGATTTCGCAGTTTTTGCACAATACCTTGGTCATCCTCGTTTATATTTTGTTATAATACTTAAATGTGAAGAAGATAGTACACCAGTAACCAGTTGGTCCAATTTTTGTTGTATCGTAGCGCACTGCCGCAAACGCAATTCCGTTGCGGGCTTGCGGATATCGATTCAAAACGAATTTTTTGACCAGCTGTTTGAATGAAATTCCAAAAACGTTAAGTCCACATCCTGTGACTTGCCTACTTGTGGTTTCCCACTTGCATAGCGAAAATCCTGGTTAAGGCTAGAGGATGAAAAACGCGCAGATATTTTTTACTTTATACATCCAACATTTCCTTTACTTACGTCTTGTCGGTTGTCTTTATCTCATAGGTTTTAAATTACACGAGTTCTGTGCTCGTACGTCGTCCGTTAAACAAAACAACTTCTGGTAGGACACAATGTGTGTCGCGTCTCTACTTGTAAAACAATACCGTCCACACAATGACGGGTTCACGAGAACGTTGTTTTGTTCCCCACTGAGCTAATTTACTTGGGCCATTTGAGCGGACCGTTATTTGAATAGATGTATAATCTACTGCGCACCAGTAGTGCTTGCAGATGTCCTTAAACTGACACTATTCTAATATTGATAAAAACTAAAACCTTAGTCTATAATATTTTCATCATAAATGCGAAATCTTTAAGAAACGGTTTACGAGTTAATACAGCTTAGTGTAGTAAGCTAAGAGCTACAACGCAGTAGTTACATTATTGCACTCAAGTTCTGTATACTTTGTAAAGTCGCAGTTTGCAATGATTTTTATGCGTAGAAACATAAAAAAGTTTAGCGTAAGTTAAGTACTTGTTAAGTCTTTAAGCAGCTGTCAAGTAACCGATTTATAAATTCCTACAAAAGCTAAAACATTCAAGGAATTCGTGTAAACGGTCGTTTCTTCGTTGTATAATTATTTAATTAAACAGCACCAAGATTTAAGATTATTTCAAGAACACTTAACAGGTTGATACGAGGTAGTTTTGTCAGTAAATATTGTTGTCCTTGGACGTGTTGCGTCACCCCCGGCCGTTCACCCGCATCGATCGCACCCCGGCCACTTCCGTCGCCTCACATACATACCTGCGAACACTTGGAGATGACACTCTGCGACAATTTACCTACCTACCTAGAGAATACTTCAAAATTGTTGCGACACACTCATACAGGGTTGTTCATTTTATCTATTCTTTACTTTTACTTTTTGCGATTCTATTTTCTTATTGATATTTTGCTTTTACGAATCTACCTACGTCATGCAAAAAGTCAATATTTTTTCGTTTTGGACGAGAATTGAACACAAGATTAGTACTGTAGCGGTCAGTGACCACGATTTTATTGTGACATCCTCATATGGAGCATTAAGATTAATAATAATGGCGCCATTTCCTTTGCTCTTTCGTCACCCTTATTCCCTTGAAAATAGTGTTCCAAGTTGATTACGCCACGTTTACTGACGCCATTCATTATACTTCTAAAACAGAAGTTCCTCCGAACACTGTTCCCGTTACTGTCATAAATAAGTAAAGACATTTATTATGAATCGTCACGTTATTAAAATTGCCATGTAAACAGAAACGTACGCGACTCACGTATTCACAAAACAAATGTTGACTCTCCGTTAGTATCAGGGCTACCGAAGGCGCAAATAATTATTGTGTTCCTTGTATTACGATGAGACAGGTATCGAGTAAAATAAATTATACTTACCTCTTATAACTCCCTATTGATGTACTGACATGAATATAGCTATGTAATAGTTTGTTGGAACTGATTATTTATAGAATAACTTTTCAGCTAAAGAATGTTTTTTTGTAATATAGGTAATTAATAATAGGTGTCCGAAAAGAGAAAATTACAACATTTCTTCACGTCTGAACACCGCCAACCCTAACCTAAGCTACGACACGCGTAAATAATTTACCAAAGTCATGAGTTGACAATAGATTCGGGTCACGCGTGTTTTGAAAATACGTGCGACGTGATTTTCACAGATTTATTAAAAGGATATTGCCTGAAAATACAAAAGACATGCGTGACATTACGCTCGATGCGTTCAACGGCACAAGCAGCCGTGTAAACAAAGAGAAGCATAAACAAACTTCATTCATATTACAGAAATCTCAAAACCAAAATAAAGTTGTTCGCTCCAGAAATAAGTAAACAGGATCTCATGCACTTACTTAACATAGCAAACTGCCTTCAGTTTGTTAGTTTACCTACACTTTACACAATGAAAATGTGAAACAAAAGCTGATTATGTAATAAACATCCATTCGCTGATACAATGGTACCCCGAAGACAAAAGCGAACTAATGATCCGGTAATGTTTAGCTAGCGCGTATAATACATTAAATCATGCACCTGAAGCAAGTATATTAGTATATAATATAATGGTGGTTGCATTCTAGAATCACTGATTTTGCACCATGTTGAGGAACATGACCTTTCCCATGGCATGTTAGAGTTGTTAGTTCTTCTTTATCATACACTAGCTACTTCCACGCGGTTTCACAGGCTCTGCTCAGCTCCTATTGGTCGTAGCGTGATTTTTATAGCCTATGGCCATCCTCGATAAATGCACTATCCAACACAAAAAGAATTATTCAAATCGGACTTGCAGTTACGAAGATTAGCGCGTTCTAACAATCAAACAAAAAAACAAACTATTCCGCTTTATATAATAGTATAAGATGCGCACATACTAACTGACTAGTAAATGAAGCAAACGGCGCCTCTACTACTCCAAACATAACAAATGAAAGAAAAATTAACATATTTTTAAATGGAATTAGGTATTTCTTTTCAGTTCGAGACCGTTTCCCGTCAACATCATCAACGGACGACAATGAGAGCGGTACAGATGGAGAAGCAGACAGATCTCGTCGTGTCAGCCTCATACACGGAGGAGTGCCGACACCTCCCCCCGGCATCGTGTCCATTCGCAAGCGACGAGGGAACCTTGCGAAACATTCTGTCAAGATTCTCAAGAAGTGGTTGTACGACCACCGGTACAATGCGTACCCTAATGATGCTGAGAAGATCGCGCTAAGTCAAGAAGCTAACTTGACCGTATTGCAGGTTAGTTCTACCACCTTGTTATAGTTCCTTGTGCACTGTCAACAATTCCATCTGAGACATATGATAAAAGAAATATTTTTCTTTATTGCCCAGGTATGCAATTGGTTCATAAACGCTCGTCGGCGTATCCTGCCGGAGATGATCCGGCGCGAGGGCCACGACCCGCTGCACTACACGATCTCGCGACGCGGCCGCAAGCAGCCGGGCGGCTCCAGCTCTAACGCAAACAGTGCCGGCGTCGTCGTCGCCTCCTGGGACGGAGTCGAAGTTGAGGTAAGAAATATACATGATTTAAAACACTAAAAGGATATATACGCAAAACACTGTACAATTAGCCTTTACTCGTTGCACTCATGTTTAAACAAACTTGTTACTGATATTTAGGGAGATAACGAGAATGTTATCGGCTCTGGCGTCTACTATAAACATACAAATTATAATTTTATAACATAACGACTGAGTTACCCGAATTACGAGATTATATGCGATATATCACAGTATACATTATACAAAATAAATTCATGCCGTTATCTTATGGATGTTTGTGTAGGCTGAGTTTTTAATTATAGTACCAATATTACGATTCTTGCATAACCCTCATTCATTCATTTTCATTCATCATCTTCATATTTCTCTTCTTCGAAACTTCTCCAAATGAGATCAGAATAATATTCTTGTAGGGTGGCACTGTACGTGTATTGATAAATAGCATTTTGCCAACAGAACGACGCAGACCGCAGCGCCGAGCAAGAGTACAGCGACGGGCTGCTGGTGTACCGGAGCGACGGAGACGACATCGGCGACGGAGAGGAGGGATACTCATCTAGCGCTGTCTCAGAGGAGGAGGTCAAATACGACCCCTCCGTCTGGCAGTCCGTCATACGGTACGGACCAGAGGACCAGGAACTACACCCCGTCGCCCGAGGGTTGGTTACTGATAGGTCTTTACTTAGGGCTCCTACATAAGCTAGCATTCATAATTCATTCTTCATAGTTTTTTCGATGCTATTGAAATGGCTTGCTACTGACTCTTAGGCCACATTTACGGAGACTCGCCACGTTAGGTTTTCGTCGTTCGTTGCTCGCGCAAACACAAACATATGAGCAATGTATGACGGACGCCCGACGCGCCGCACAAAGCACCGCGTCTCCGTGAACGAGGTCTTATGATCACATACAGCCAATCTGTGGGAGCCTTATAAGTGAAAACGGCGAATGCGGGTATAAAAAGGCGAAATATTGTTAATATTAGGAGTAATGTTACTTACGAAGTGTAACAGACTAAATGCACGAGTTATGTTTTTGTTTAATTTCCAAAAGTTTAAAACAAATATTCATTCAATTTAACTGTCTGTCCTGATTCCTGAACCAGCCAGTACCTACTTGCTAAATCTTGTGTTGATTCCATAAACATCATGTAACTTTACAATGACACAACTTTGCAGTTCTGCAAATAATAAAATATTATCTGTAGAAATTTTTCATTTGTCTTGGCCACACATATAATATTTGCATAAGTTAACTGGGTCATTGTCAAAATTTGTATAGAACATTAACTATCCTAGTACCGTGCTTTCTAAGACATATGTTGACATATATGTTGATGCTATATATAAAATATGACGATGAACTACCAATTAACACATGGACAAAACTTGGGCGAAGTATGTCAATGGGCTAAGGTAGAGCGGAGGTATGAGCGTGTGTGTTTCTCGTGATACAGGCGTACGGCGGGCGTGGTGTCAGTGCGCACGGAGGCGGAAGAGGGCGCGGAAGCGGGCGCAGGCGCGGCGCCGGCGGACGCGGGCAGCAGCGCCGAGGGCGGCGCGGCCGGCGGCTGGCACCCGCAGCTGGCGCACCTGCCGCAGCTGCCGCATCCACTGCGGCGCCGGCTACAGGTACACTGCACGCCCTCACTACCGCCACACCCCATCTCACAACACCTACTTATGTTTTAACCAGAAAAGAAAGTCATCTTCGTCTTACAATCATGAAAATACTTTGTAAACACACCAGCAAATCCAAGTACTCTAAAGTGTAATTATTTTTAAATGGATATTCTAGCGTTTTAAAGAATACGCTTGGCCATTTGTTAGGATTAAATTCTCACATCTGCATAAATTGTGTACTGTGAAATGAAAATGGAAGGAACTTTCTAGTCCGTTGTAGACCGTAATAATAATTCAGAAATATGTAAATCACACATAACCTTCACAATGATGACTAAGAACTCGGGTCGTGTTCATGGCAGAATGTTTTTAGCCTAATTTGCGATATTGTTTAAATTCTGAGCTGATAAATGAGGTGTATAAGTGACAATTTTCAAAGTTTCTGTTGCTTTCGATTTAAAATTGAATGACTAACGAAGATCGGGTATTGAAATTTAAAAAAATCTCTTATCAACTCGAATTCAATTATTTAGTAAATGAATATGACTTAACTAAAAATTGCGGGTTACTCACGTGAATATACTGAGAAAAGCTCTACTAGTTTCGAACCACAGAGAGGTTCTTCCTCATGAGCAGCGTGCGCGGTCGCGGCAATGTCGCGCAGCCTACTGGCCAGCGTTGGCGCTTGCTCGGTGTTGCTATTTAATTTGTGTAAAATGTTCCAGTAGACAAAGTGACATCTATAATTACCAAGATGCTTGAGGACACTGTGTTACCTACTGGATACATTGCGTGTGTGAATCATTGTCTCACTACAGGTTACGTCCTGTGGAGAGGAGAATATTACCTGCAGGTGAACGGAGTGACTATGGTGTCGCCACTAGCGCCGGTGGTGGCTAACATCTACATGGGGTGTTTTGAGGGTTAAACCTTGGCATCCGCCCCTGTATGACCGCGATATTGGTGGAGATAGGTTAATGACGTGTTCGCGATCATCAACCGGGAACATGTGGCTGAATTTGGACACTTGAACTCTGTGCACGGCAGTATACAATTCACCACTGAAGAGAGAGAAGAGATGTTACCGTTCTTGGACGTCCTCGTAAGACGAGAAGATGGTCGATTGTAACACACAGTGTATCGTAAACCTACACACATAGACCGGTTGTCGCGGAGAACCTAACGGGTAACCGGGGCTCCGGCTCGACGTGCAGGAGAAGGAACGGGGTGGTTTTTAGTCAGTAAGAGTCTGACACTCCCTTCCGCCTCACCCAGGCGGGTGCAGTCATCCGATGATTTTCCCGCCTTAAAAAAAAAAGCACACACAGACCGGTACTTACGAGCTGACTCACATCATCATCCCTCCCACCTGGCCGCTGTTCCCCGGACTTTGAAAAACACAGCGCCCGGTTTTTGCCTATGCGATCCTTAGTATATTGACGAAGAATTTTACCATTTAAAACGGGTACTGGAAAACAATGGATACAACTGGCGTTAATGTACTCGACTAGCGAGCAGCTAGAGTAGGAAGCGACCGGCGGTTGCGGAACGGACTCCAGCGTTTTTACCATACCTACGTGAAAGGAGTAACCGACAGAATCGGACACCTGCTGCGCCGTAAATACTGCATCAGGACGATCTTCTGCCCACCCGGTCAGCTAAGGCAACTATTACGCTCATCTAAAGATAAGGATCCGCTGGCTGTGCCCGGAGTGTACATAATACCGTGCGACTGTGGCTCGAGTGACATCGGGGAAACTCGTGGCAACATCACAACCAGGCTAAAGGAACACATACACAGCGTGAAGAAGATGGATATCCAGGCATCGGCAGTGGCTGAACACGGTTTGCGGTTCGGACGCGGCTCACTTCATACGGTTTGACAAGGTCTCCGTACTAGCGGAGGAAAAATACTTCGTTTCGCGAAAAGTGCGAGAGGCCATCGAGATTAGCCGACGTCCGTGCTTCAACAGAGATGGTGGCTGGGTACTGCCATCCTCGTGGAAACCGAGCTTGGAGTCTACGTCGATCCGTAGCGTCTCTAGCATGGAGTGTAACACAGTAAGCGTTATATGTAGCACTGACTTTGTCCCGAACCCGGAATCGAACCCACTACCCGCGCCGCTGGTGAACGTACCGTGCGCTTCAACATCGTCTGGCGCGCCGCCGCCGGAGTTGGAAGCAAACACTCATGGTGTCCGACAGAGGACGCGTTGGGCTAGGTGCGCAAGTAGCAAGGCGAGCGCCACCGCTGGCCAGTAGGCTGCGCGACATCGCCGCGACCGCGCACGCTGCTCATGAGGAAGAACCCCTCTGTGGTTCTAAACTAGTAGAGCTTTTCTCAGTATATTCACGTGAGTAACCCGCGATTTTTAGTTAGTTTAGTATGTCTCACGATAGTTATTATAAAAACAATGAATATGACATTAAAATGTATTGAAAACTTATACCACACTTGACGGAAGTTACAGCTGTTTTGTGTGATGGTGTCAGGTGGTGCCTACGAATGTGAGCAGTGAAGGAGAGCGAGACAAGTTCAAGTGTCTGTACCTGCTCGTCGAGACCGCCGTCGCAGTGCGCCAGAGGGAGAAGGAAGCGGAGGAGGTCCCCGTCTAGTGACCGAGGTAAATACTTTATTACCTTATAACATAAAAACCAGCGCTTTTCTATTCAATGTCTATATTTTCTAAACTATTTTGATTTATTATTGATTTTGTTTGCATATATTACTCTTAATATTTGGCTGCACGGTTGGCGCGGTGACTACCGGGTGCCGCGTAACGTGTCGTGGGTTCGATTACCGCACGGAACAACTCTTTGTGTGATCTACAGATTTTTATTCCGGGTCTGGGTGTCATATGTATGTTTGCAAACGCACCCACGACACAGGAGAAAAACCTAGCGACAAACGACGTTTTGCTTTAAAAAAAATGCTACGTATGATTCTAAATTTAGGATGCTCGCATCTGTAAAACCTTTCGGCATTAAAAGGCATGACGTTGTGTCTTAAATAACAAGAGCAAGGTAAAAATTTGGACATTGTTACAGATATCGGTATGGAGTGGACTCGGCAGCACCGCCAAACGGAATTGTACGTTCAGCACGCGGTATTTAACTTTACAATCTTCCACTAATGTAGAGTTTACAAGTCGTTCGTGTGTTTATCACTAATTTATGGCCCTCGGTAACTTCTATCCACGGTACTCTTACCCGTAACTCGTATATAGTACTTTGATTTGACATAGTTAATTTTGTACCTACGTGCAATAGGCCACTGTCTTGTCGGCCCTAAACTTTAGCTGAAATCCAAACCACAGACAATTTTAACAAAATATTCCAACGAATTGTGAACCACATATTTTTCTTTTGGAATTTAAAATAACATGCGCAACGATGTCGTTACTTTGCGCAAAGGTTGCGCATGTTTCGTTTTATTGACAGAAATGACGGAATAATCTTTGGATTGTCGTTATTTTTTTTGTATATAATTTAAATTTTAGTTTTTAAAAAGTGACCAGGCCTGACTAGATCGCATTAGTATGACCAGGTTGAAGGTTGCAGGGATGTTCGTATTATTTTTATATGTATATCAGTTGGTAGATTTTAAAAACATGGGAATAGATTACTGCCACTGTTGTGCACATAATGCGTCTTGAATCTGATCAATGTAACCGATCGTAGCCTATGTATACTCTAGTAGTTTAAATATATTATTATACACTTACAAGCTCTGGTAGTGCTCGTTTTATAATAGAACGCTTTTTAATAGAATCGCTATTTTATTTTAAAAAACAAATCAATTTCCTGGTTGAATCAGAAATAGAATCAAGAAAAACAATATTCTCTATCTCATCATTAGGATTACTTTTCTAAATTAGTATAAGATCATGAAGTTTAACATAATAATTATGTTAAATTTGCTTCACCTTTTAGGACATATATTTCTTTTTCATTTTATAAATTTCTGTAATGTTACAGCTTCGTCTATTTAACTCGTCGAGTACCGTATTTATAGACACAATTAAAGAACAATAGGTTGCGGTCACCGGTGACCGCTTGGTGTTTGACAGTTTAAGCCTAAGGCATTTAGTTCACCGACACCAATTCACTGTATGTGCAATAAAAAACAATACAACAAAGGTTTTAGTATATATTGTAGGTAGGTTATTATTTTTTAAAAAAAAAACGTCATCGATTTATTTACAAGCAGCTTTTTGCGCTCTATAAGATAATATAGAGATTTATTTGTAATTTTTATTCTATTTGAGAAAATTATAAAATAGTGCACTATCGAAGCTAAATTATGATACATACATATACACTGTTAACATATTTTTGTAGAATACATGATATATCAGTAGTCTTCTCAAATTTTATAATTAGAGTGACAGACTGGTTATAAAAAAGTATTTACTCTGCTTGTCTCGTTCCTATCAAATAATATAAATGTATGATAAACTCTTGAATTGATATAATATGAATACATATGGGGATTTAATATAGTCGTCCCGCTAATATTACAAACACGTATAAAAATCTCATTTCATTAAATATAATTACGCCTTTACGGCAAAAAAAAAACTATTTTGAATTAGAATTTAGATTTCTTGTTGGAAAACTGTAATAACAGCTGTAGGAAACATCCTAAAGTTGATACCATTTGACTAAAATAAATCATTTTTTTATTGTTCTCAGGCATTTATTCGACATCGTCATATCAGCCAGTTTATTTAAATAAAATGTGGTCACGCGTTTTCTTCAACATTTTGTCGATACAGGCCTGGACGAAAATTTTCGACTTTTTAACTAATTTAGATGCAACACGTCGCAACGTGTATAAGACACGTTATCACAGTGAAGCTACCCTCTCCATACAGTACTGTAATGCCTTGAAATAGTTCCACTATTCCCGCGATATTCATTCATATTGAATGCCATGTCCCTAGTTGTATACAGTTCAGGATATACTTCCACTGTGTTCGCCCACTCCCCACGTTTTACGATATGTTCGTAGGACCAGAGAGCCTAGTACGAGTTTGTTTTACATTTAAAGTAATCGGAACGAAACTGCGTTCCGCGCTCTGATTGGCCGGCCCCAATGAACCAACCAATCAGAGCGCAGAAAGCAGTTTCGTTAATAAAACGTACTAAGCCCTCCAGTAATGGACTGTATGGAGTTGTAGATTGCAATAATTATATTCGTACATTAAACTCATGTCCTTGTATATAGTATGTACACATACATAGTGTATGTTAGGTCTAAAGTTTTGTAGCTTCTAGTTAAATGTTAGTGCCAATGAGGCAATCCTATATTGTAACATCTCAGGATAATTTCGATGATAATTTATTCAAGGGTGAACACGTCCACAAAATTTAGGCGAGCAAGTATCATAGAGGTTGAAATTTAGCATTAGAGTTATCAGCACTAAATTGCGGGATTCACCCTGTATTCGTAAATAAATTGTCAAGGTAAATTATCCCAGTTATTGTGTTATTTTTCTATCGATACTTATAATATATCTATCAACTAAGCAAAAGCTTTAAAAGGGAGTCGAAACACATAATTAAAATAAATATTTTTCATATATAACAAATGTACTAGATGGCGAAGTTGTTGTATTTATCTACAAGTACCTTGAGCTATCTAATGTGTCCTGAATGTATCCTCCATATAGTAAATCATTTTCAATGTTACAGCATTATAAATTAATCTACAATTATGTTTGGATCCATCTTAGAACTCCATTACACTTAACAATGTTTATAACATAACATTTTAATATCTGTTCTCATAAGTCACAAGTGATGGTGATATTTCTCAATGTTTATGGTTCATTTTCCTATAAACATATTTCAAATGTAGTTTAAATTATGTCAATTGGTGAACAAAATATGTCAAAATTATAAACAAGATGTCACTATTATAAATATTATAGATAACAAGATAATAAACAATATGTCCACATTCAGGCTAAATTAAATTATACTTACAAAAAAAGTAGATAATAATTATAAAGAAAAACAAATAAATTGAAACTCACAATCAATGCAAAGTATCATTTATAAATTCATCTACGCTGTAGTAACATTTTTCAAGTAATAGCATCTGAAGAGATTGTTTAAATTTATGTATCGGCAAACATTTAATGGCATCTGGTATTTTATTGAAAATAATTGGTGCAATACCAAGGACACTCTTTTTTAGTAGGGCAGTTTTACATTTATATGTACATAATAAATTTTCGTATTGTGCACGAATAGGGGTCCTCTTAACAGTTGAGAATTTTTGAAACAAATGTTGATTTGTTTTAACAAATATCGCCACCTCTAATATGTACATACATGGCAAAGAAAGTATTTTAAACTTTTTAAAGTATGGAATGCAGCTATCCGTCTGTCTCAGACCGCACATAGACCGTAGTGGAGTTCTATATAAAATTGTTTGTATTTATTTATTGGTTGTGAGTTTGGGGCGTCGCTGTGTGAATCGGATGTTGTATGTATTTCTTAAGGCCTATTTGTAATTTCTTTTGATGGACATATTGAACTAAACACATGATCATTAAGAATGCTTTCAATCATTGTTCTGTTAGGGTGGTAAAGGAGAATGCTAATACATTATTGTTTGCTCCAAAACAAGCCTAGGGGCGAATTCTCGGTTTTAGAGATGGTGTCGAACTCGGCAAAAATTTCTAATGACGTAATTTTTTCGACAAATTTTAAGTTTGTATTCTGCGGATGTCGAATTCGACATTTCTCGAAGACTAACGTTTAGAGTTCATATCGATTGTAGAGATACGTCATTTCTGAGTGAATTCGATGAGTTTAGGATTGTACAGTGCTTTCTTTTCTTTTGTTTTTAAATAAAATACGGCTTGGCATACCTACTGAAAATTCGATAATTATACTCTTGAATTTGTGCATTATATTTTCTTGAAACAACTACCTTCGCGTAAATAACAGACTGTAATTTGTGTACTCACGATTGGACTTGAAACTACTGAAACTATTTATCTCGAAAATTTAATGTTTTCACTGTCAAACTGATTATTTTTACTCTAAACGTTTCGTTTTAGAACATAATCATTACTCAATTCACTCGTAGCTACCTATAACGTGCGATTCTTCATAATGGTAATATTATCTTCACTCGACTCGTACATTTTCTAACATTTATTTCTATTTTGACTGAGAATACGGATTTCAGCTCAATTCGACATTTTTTGGTAGAGATAAAGATATTTTTAATAGAAATCGAGACTTGGCCCCTGATTAGACTTGCTTTAGATCAAATAATGTTACTTCAATATGTCTATTAAAGTGTGATGTTACGGCTTCAATAGCTGGCGACGAATTCAGTGTAAGAGGTATGGGGATAATACAAAACTTTTGTTAATCAATTTTATTGAACATTGATTTATCAGCCAAGCTAAGCCCGAGTGACGAGTTTCGTTCGAGATGTAATCATTATGCTGATAACACGCTGTTACAGAGGTAAAAGTACCTCGTAATTTTAATTATTTACGACATTGAATATTTGTTCTACAAATTACCTTCCTCAATTGTTATGAGAATTCATTAGTTTAATGTTACTATGATACCTGTTATGGTACCCGTCGGCCAGCCTGATGCACTTAACGTTAGCAGTCAATGTTAATTAGCTCTTAAGTCGTTTGTTTTAAGGTGACTTTTCGTTTTAACTCTTTATATGTAAGTAGGGTGTCATTTTCGTTTCTTAATTTACCTGAGTACAATAACTTAGAACTTAGTATTTTTCGTTCATGTAAATACTCCTGTGTAAGATGCGTAATCTGTTAGTGAATAAAATAAAAGATTTCAAAAATATTTCGTTTCGTTTTCTAACCTCTTTCTATTTTTTTCTTAGCACAAGTAAGTAATGTGAATGGTGCAGAAATTGTAGTATCAAGTTCATACTACAGAGAAATGAAAACTATTCTTATATTGATATTAATAATTTATTTTAATGACATATAATAACTATCTATAAATTAATAAGAAATAACTAAAAATACTTACCAATCAAAGCAAGCAATTTATAAAATAATTGATATTGATTACGATCTAACATTAAGGCCAGAAGGTAAACCTATCGGTAAACTTTATCGTTTTGATATAAAGTAAAAATAAAAAGCTTACAGTAGGTTTTTCTGCTGGCCGCTGTACGGTCAAAGATCAAAAGTCCACTGCCACCGTAAGACTACTATCGGTTCCGATACAGCGCTTATACACACATGCCCGCATATTTTTATCCGTGTGCGTACGCGTGCGTGTGTTTATGCGTACGCACGCGTTTTTATGCACATTAATATGAAATTACTTACGCATTGCCGTGTGAATATCACTCACGGTGAGTGCAGTGGACTTTTGACCTTTGACTGTACCTATAATAAAAATAAATTAATCAGTTTTCATAATATCCAACTTGTTGATGGAGCTATTCCGTCGCTTGGCTGAGCTGGTGTCTGGCCCGGGGGACTTTCTCTTGCCTGGTTCCTCGCCTGTGGCCTCAATCATTATGTCCTGCGTCGGTATTTCCATCAGTAGGTGATCAAAACTGCTGCTGTTTCTACTCAGCTCTTGTTTCTCATCTGCAGACAATATCAGCCGTCAAATTAGTGTATGCATATAAAGAAAGTCTTATACACGTCTCCATCAACCGCTCCTAACTTTTAATGAACCCCTAGGGTAAGATAGGGGACGTCGACATCTTACTTTTTACCTACCTACAACACTTAACAGTATAAGTAAAGGGTTAGTTTAAGTGTTACATAACGCTTAGTGACTTTTAGGTATGAGGTGGTTTAGGGGTGTTGTTGGTAAAAACGGCCATTACTTTTCAGGGACTAACATAATCTGTCTCCTTATTGAATGATATTCTTCTAAATTTAAAGCAGGTGAAACGGCAGACGAGAAGTAGGTAAGCATTCAATAGCCACCATCACAATATTCTTTATTACTGGCTTGAAATTAGGTACTGAAGGCAATTGATACCTACATTATGTGCAAAGGTGATTAAATGCAGTCAGATTTTTTAGGTAAAACTAGTCTTCATTTATGTCTTGAAAATATTATTTAGTAGGTATGGTTAATATAGTTTCAGAAGGTAGTGATTTAGGTACCTATTCATCTATTTTCCTAGATTCATTCCTTCCCAATTAACCCATGCCATAGCTGGCAAGTTGTTAGTGCATCCATACTATTTGGATTGCATATTTAACCCACCACCTAAAGTGATGCATAAGTGAGAGAGGAAAATAATTAAGAAAATAATTTAAAGAAAAATCATTTAATAAAAAAGCAAACTTATAAAACAACGTTTTTGTCTATTACAAGAAATGAAATGAAAATCGGAAATAAAAATATTAACAAAAATGAGAAAATTGTACCTACCTACCTACTTACAACAACTTATACTTATTCATACCCAAGTATTTTATGGAAAAGTATAATTATTAGAGATGACAGCTATTTTTTTGCTCGTTATCTTAGATAAATCTCACTTGAATGTTCTTGCTCTACATATAGTTGGCTCTGGATCGCTTAGAAGTAAATAATGATGTGTCTAACCGAGTCCTTGTTGCTTCATCAACTGTTTCTGCCTAAACTCCTCTTGTGCGAGTCTCTGGCGCCTCTTTCGCTCCGCCCTCGCTTCTTCTTCGCTAAGCCCCTCCAGGCCGTTTTTTAGTGGCTCCTGTTCAACAATCATTCTCGATGAGAACTGTTACTGCCCGCTATTTTCTTACTATATACTATTTAGGTACTTCAATCATAATTATAATTTGTTGTTGATATTTGTTGATAACAATATTGTTAAGATGATTAAACTATATAGTTTAGGATGTCTACGACCAATCAAAGAGATAGTAGAACAAAAAGGTAAAATAAAATTAAAACATTGTCAATCAAACATTGTATTAATTCAAACAATTTTATTTCAATAAAAACAATTATTATTTACCATGTAGCTATAACTACACAGTAAACTACATACATATATTTATGTACATTCGCAATTCCATTTATTTTTTACCTAACTATGTAACAAGGTCAAAACCCAATTCCTAAAGTAATCATAAGAGGAAAATATTCAAGTGTCGTAATTTTAATACCGCAGAGTAAAAAATCTATTCGATTTTAAAATATTTCGAATTTTGTATAATTCCGATATACACTGTGAGCACTGCGCAGTAGTCTTACTGCTGCAAAATCAGTTCCGTTATGGACTGCAAATTCACTGCTACAGTACTCTCGGTTTATCATAAATCGCCGCCATATTTGTAGGTACTGTAAGCAGTGCTTTTTATCGCGCGATCAGTTGAAACGGTAGAATGCGCGATAAATTCAATATATATTTTTTATTAAAATTGAAAACAAATAAGAAGAATAGTTTCTTACAAGATTTAAATAAGTTTATAAAGAAGAGTTTATTACTGAAGTTATTAGTTTATTTTCAAAGAGAATGGAACGCTTGGAGTCGTTTTGTTAATATTGAATAGAATGAGTCAGTAAAACGGTGTCGAAAAACGAACATAACAGTTGACTGGACTGAGTTCAGTTTTAAAAATGCATCAGTATAACTGGCTATGAAGGAACGGACGTCCATTATACTAAATTGACGTCATACTGTACAATGGTCGCAGTGTATATCGGAACATACTCCTAATCAACCATCACATAAGTATAAAAATGCTGCTGGTGCACGAGCATAGATGCTATTCTCGAAAATATACTAAATAGTAAATAGAAGCAAACATTCAACACACTAGAATCACTAGATCACCGACTTCTGACAACGAAGTGGCCGACAACAGCGCCTGACCATCCACAACACTTACAACTACATACAACGAGGAAAAATTACATAAAAAATAGTTCACCATTTTTGAGATTTCAAACTTACCAATATACTAACATCCTATAATACATTTACTATTCTCAAAACTACTGCAATACTCGTATGAGCTGTGTGGCAAAAAACTTCCACAAGTGTATAAGAATAACTCGCTGATAAATTAATAATGGCTAGTGCGCCGGCTACGCCGCGGCGGTGACTGAGAGACGACGGGCGACTTCTACGACTTGTCTGGCGACGATGACGATGCTGCGCTCGCATCCTCGGGGAACTGCTTCTCCACCTGCTCTGCCACCCATTTTTTTACTTTCTGTTCTGTCCAGAAGCCGTCGTAAAAGATAGTGGGTTTGATCCAACACCCCTGGGCAGGAGGTGGCGGAGCGAACGTAACATCATCAGGAGGACGACACGCGCCTCGCCCATTCACTACCAGGTTTTTTGGTGGCAGGTTGAAGTTAAGGTTCACATTACCAGGTTGGCGCTCATAGCTCTCGTAAGCAAAGTGCCAGCCTCCTCCACCGGGATACTCGTAGTACGCGTTAGGAAACACATGTGGAGCGGCCGGGCCACCCACTCGGGGAGTTCCGTACATCGGCTGCACGCCGTAGCCACCCAACGCACCCACAACTGGTTGCAGCACAAAACTTACGTTAGAATTGGGGCGCGGATGAGCAGGCGGTGGAGCTGGTCCTGGTGGTGGCACTGCGGGGCCTGGCGCAGGCCGACCGGGGCCCACTGGCGGCACGCGGTTAGCAGGGGGCATACTTGTCGGGAGAACTCGTGCACTCGAGGGAGCGTTCTTCACAGCGGGCGGAGGTACGAGCGGCCCGTTCTGTACAGGCGGCGGGACGGCCGACGCGTGCGGAGAGCGCAATGTGGGGTGATTTGTGCCACTATCGCTCGAGTCCTTGCGAGTTGCTCGGTCAAGTGTCATGTTCTTAGGTTCTATTTGTTTGTTGGCCACATTTTGGTTGTTCTCATTGAGGGGCTCTGGTGCATTTGCTGGTGCATCAGCTCTGGTTGATTCTAGTAACTCCATCAGGTCTGAAGCCACACTGCCACCGAAGCTTAATAACGTCTCACGCAATGCATTCGTCACTGCACACTGCAATAGTATAATCGCATTCTAAATATAATTAGATCACAGGAAAAGCAAGTAGGTTAAATGAAACTATAATAAAGGTATACCTTTCTTGATTTATAGATAGCAAATCCTTTAGTGTTAGCAGTGCTGGTAGCATATCCAATATTTTCTCTGTGTATGTCAAAACTCTTTACTGTTATAGATACAAATGCTACCACTCCTGCGCAGTACCGTCCATTTGTGAAGTCCACAAAATCTAAAACAGTACAAATAAAAAGAAAATTAGGCAAAGCATTTAAATGCATGGGCAGAAGGAGATGACAATACTTTTTCTTTTTTATTATTCATCTCTTGAGGTTAGTGGAAATGCCAAGTAATAGGTATACCATTCTATAGAATTTTTCATTACACTTTCAGGAACAAAAGTTAAAAAAAATTTGTTCTCACCAAGCTCTTGTTTGTTGACTGACCAACTCCAATTATTAAAACCCCACTGTGAGTGGCCAAAGTTGATTAACTGCTGACGTTTTTGTTGCTGTTCATTGTCCTCGTCACACCTCATCTCACCTAGCAGATGCTCAGGCATCATTGGGTTGTCCGGCTGAAACAAAATAGATAATATTTAGATTTCATTATGCCAAGAAGTATAATGAGTTTTATAATGCAATAACAAGTCTGTGTTTTTCAAGTAACATGTTCTTTATACAAAACAGAGAAAAAATTAAAGGCCAAAAGGCTCACACGATAGTTTAGTCATCGCATGATTTTTATTTATTTGAACACAATGGTACGGTAAATACCATAATTGGTATTTGAATGGTACTGTTGTGTCCAATTACTATTATATAGGTTAATCCTTACTCAATATTCATGTTTATTAATACATAATATTGTTATTGTTAAATCAGGTACAAAACATCTACTTTTACAAATATAACCTAATGCAATAACTTTTAGGTTTTATTGGCGGTAATTATATTTTATTACTAATTACTAATACTTTCAAGAAAAGCAAAATCAATTGCACAAATGTGAGAAGCATTATCTGGAACACAATATAAGGGAAAATGTAATCTGAAAACTTAGTTTAGTTTCAAATTTCACCAACAGTCGTAACTGCCGTATGTCAGACATAAACGCGCTCTATTATTAACCTGTCTTTACTATAGTTTACACGACGGAAAACACCGAATTATCTAGATACGTCGATTTATTACACTTTCTAACTGTTGCGTATTGGTAGAAAGAAGCAATTATACCATTTTAATGCTGCAGTTAGCAACGGGGAATCCTGGTTTCCTTTGCATCGTTATTTACGTTGCCACACGATCAAATTAAAATATATCCATGCGTGTATTTGTATATATTGTAAATTTCTTTATTTTTGTAAATAGCTATATTTAAACACAACTTAATGTAAGTTGTTCCAAATTAATTGGCAAAATAAACCCAACAAATCCCAACAAAACATTTATTGACATTTTGCGCGGAACTTCCGGAAGACCAGAGACAATTAGATAGATTATTTTGATCATAGACATAGTGATCACTTGTTGCGTGGTTAGTCGAATAATTGAAATAGAAACGAAAAATTGATTGCTTGCGTGTAGGTGCACCCTGTGTTTCTCCGCATCGCTGTCAATACGGTGAGATGGTCGACCACCTCGGCCACCACGGCCTATCGTGTAGCAGAAGCGCGGACCGGATAGCTCGACACGCCAGCATTAACGACATTATCCGTCGAGCTCTTATCATCGCTGGTGTGCCAGCTGTTCTGGAACCAAAGGGTTTGGCACGCGACAATGGTAAGAGACCCGACGGTATGTCCATTATGACCTGGAAGCTGGGAAGGTCTTTGGTGTGGGACGCAACCTGCGTCGACACCCTTGCACCTTCTCATCTTCCAGTAACGGCGGGTTGTGCTAGTTCGGCTGCTGCCTCTGCAGAAAGCCTCAAGCGGCGCAAGTATAACAACCTTGCTGGTAGTTATATCTTTGAGCCGTTTAGGGTTGAGACGCTAGGTCCGTGGGGTCCGAGTGCACTTAAATTATTCAAAAATATTTCAAAACGCCTGGTTGACACATCTCGTGACCAGAGGGCTGGTCTTTTTCTCGGTCAGTCATACAACTTGCCATACAACGTGGCAATGCTGCCAGCCTTCTGGGTACTTTCCCCACTGACGTCGATGCGGACGAATTTTTCGACGCTTTATGTAAATAGTTGTTTTTGTTTTTTTTTAATTATTTTAATCTTAAGTTGTATATGTATAGGTATTTAATTTAGTAATATATGGTTTTAATTTCTCTTATACATAAATATATTACTATTTTTTGAAACGAAAAACAAATTATCATTTTTGTTTCATCTAATTTTCAAATCACAACAGTAACAGTAACACAATGCGAGCACGAGTGCCCGAAGGCTACTGGCCCGATACTAATACTAACTCGACTAAAACATAAGCGTAGTGCACACTGCACACTACACTTTTAACAGCATTTGGATTGAATGTAGATGTTGGTCATGTTGGTAGTATCTTATCAGTGATACGAGATGACAGGATAACATTGACATCTGACATTTTAAAAAGACAGTTTAACATCGGGACTCCGTGCCGGAGGTGTGCTGTTTCGAGGAACAATTTCTATTTATTTCTATTTTTCCTTTTTTAAGAAGATTCTAAATCGGGTTGCGACCCACACGCTTAAAATGGCACAATATTATACCGAAATTGACGGAAGTATGCTAGAAGGGGTAAATATAAATAGTAAGAATTCATGGTGTTTGATTTTATATAAAATTATGATTAAATAACGAAAATAAAAAAAAATTACAGGGTGGTCAAATACTTCGTACGTCTGTTTCATTGAGTGCTATTATGGGAATACCAGTGAAGGTGGTTAAGATACGAGCGAATCGCAGTAAGCCGGGCTTGGCGGCGCAGCACCTAGTTGGTAAACATATTTTGCAATATTACATGTATTTTTTATACAATTTTGATACTAATTATAACAGGGCGGTGGCCATTGAAGAAGCCTTGGATTGGACAAGAATATAGTACCTATACACATTATAGTTATAATTTATTACCATTTTGTCTGTAATATTCTTCTTGTGACAGCAAAGTGTAAATGAGTACTTACAATACTTTCGGATACTTTGTATGGTGTACAACCTCACCTATTTTGAGAATTAGGATGATGGAAAAAAGGTAGGGACCTAGACTTGAAATTCTACAAATAAATCGAACAAGCAACAGGTACTTATGTTACATTACTGCTTAATATTAAGTTATAGGCTGTTGATGATGATAACAATGACACTATCAAGTTGCTCTCAACTTGACAGTGTGCATATTGTAGCAGTTTCCCAACAATTTAAATATATGGTGCAATATTTTTTTGTAATAAATACACATTTAATTTTATTGTGTAATAATTTCATTGTCTACCAACTGTTATGCTATAAATAAATTACTTAAAATTACTGTATTTAATGTGTATTATATCATCAACAATAAGCACAGAAAATTACTGGCTTTAGATATTTATCAAGAGAGAGTTAGACAACATTTAATGTAGAAAAAATATAATTATTACATACTTGACTAGTTTCAATTCAAGCCATGCTAGAGGCTCATATTCATTTAAAATAAACAGCAAAAACCTTACTTAGTACATAGTGAATAAAATCACTTCTGTTTGTTGGGTGTGAACCTATAATGCTGAAGGTGTTAAGGATGTTCAATGTTCATCAACAATCATTTGTTCCATACCACGGCACATTGCATATGAAACCCAGAACCATATTATCTATGAAGCAAAACAGGCAAGCACCTGGGGTACAAAAAATTAGGCCCCCCCCCCATTTAATTTATGTACTTATTTCTTTGCACAAACCAAGTACCCAAGTATATATTGTAGTTATATACAATCTGACATGGAAGTCATTGAAGGAGGCCTATGTTCAGAAGTAGATGTCTTATGGCTGTGGTATGACAGTGATAATAATCTGACACTATATTTGGTGTATAGGTCTTCGGTTAGTAGCCGATATGTGTGAGGGAGAGCTCATCGGCGGTAACATCGGTTCCACTGAGATCAAGTTTAAGCCTGGTAAAGTGATTAAGGGTGGTCACTACGTAGCTGACACACGCACTGCTGGGTGAGAATGAGACACTAATACTGCTTAAAAGGTTATTCGCTTTCCATGTTTTATTTTGCTGATTAATTGTGCAGGTTTTATTAAGTATTTAGTTTTATTAACCGCATTTGCATCATTATATTATTACTTAAATGCCAATTTCTATACCTTGTGGTTTTGTTTTTGCGAAAAAACTGTCTTTATTAAAAACGGTTCGGTATTTCTTTCAATAAGTATTGATTTACTAAAGTGGTGTTCTTGAAAATAACATGCAGTTTTGTTAGCTGCTAGTAGTGTATTTCAAATAGTTTCAATCGAATAACTTTAGAACTACTATTGGTAATCTTAAGCACTGTTTATTTTCAAACACTAATTGACTAGCTTCTGCCAGTGAATTCATCCACACAAATAGGTGAACTCTTAAAATATCACAATATCCTTTTTGTTTGTTAGTTCGGTGAGCCTTCTAATGCAGATAGCTCTGCCATGCGCCTACATGGCTGACGGGCCAGTGACTTTGGACCTGAAGGGTGGCACCAACGCGGATATGGCGCCACAGGTCGAGTACATGACCGAGGTGTTTAGAAACGCTATGAAGATGTTTGGAGCCCCATTCGAGCTGAGGGTGAATAGGCGTGGGTGAGTCTAGTATACCTAATACTTTTGGTTCTTGAACAGATGTGCATTAAGGATTAAAATTACTTAATTATCGATTTTAATCTAAAAGTCTAATCCAAAAATGTAAGGATAATGTCAGTTGTGTACTTTTCAAGAAGTACTGGGCCTCCAGCAGCCTCTCGAACATGGTAAAATACAAGCAAGCGTTGTATTCTGTGAGGCCGTGGTATCACTCCGGTCGAGCCGGCCCAGCGGTGCCGGATCATGGCTCTCCGACGTGTTAGTCTCATTTTTGTTACTCCTTGATTCTTTACCGTATAATTTTTGTTTCAGATATTTCCCGAAAGGTGGAGGTATTGTGACGGTGGAAGTAAATCCGGTGACCAAGTTCAAGCCTATTCAAATCACTGAGAGGGGGTACATCAACGCTATCTTTGGATGGAGCTTTGTAGCCGGCACTCTGCCTTTGAGGGTTTGTTACGATTTGTACTTTATTATCATTGCGATAAGACGCATTATTACAATAAAATAGTTTTGATTGGTATAAAAGTCTATAAATTACTGGTGATTTATGAGTCTTTGAGCATACTAAGCGACAACGATACAATTTAAAAGTTGATCTAATGTCCAAAACATCCAATATTTTTATCATTCTGTAAAAGTAAGTCAACTAATATATCGAATATATTTAATAGAAATTCAACTTTAATATTCATTAATACAGTTGGAAGTATCAATATACGTATTGTGTACAGTGGGCGACTCAGATGAGCGACGGTGTGAAGGAGAAGATATGCAGCGTGTACCCGCGCACACAGATCACGGCGCTCAAGGAGGACGCCAACGTGGCGCCGCATAACTGCAGCGGCATCATGTGAGTGCAGGGCTGGACTAGTACTTCACGCTTCTGTTTTGAGTGAAGCATATTATCAAATACTAGCTTTTACCCGCGGCTTCGCTCGCGTCACAAAAGGATAAAAAGTAGCGTATGTGACATATACCAATACACACAGCGCCATCTATACCAATAATTTCGTTTTCACTCGAGAATATCAAATTTTTCCGGGATAAAAAGTACCCTATTATTTAATCCAGACTTCTAACTTTACGTCTGCAAAAATTCAAAGCAATCGGTTTAGTAGTTACGGCGTGAAAGCGGAACAAACAAACAAACTCACTTTCCGATTTATAATATTAGTAAGGATTTTCTCCCACCCTGGGGTGATGCGAGTGATGTCAGACATACTGACTAAAAACTACCCCGTTCCTACTCCAGAGAGCTGAGTACGCGTTTTTATACAGTTAAAGTAATCGAAACGAGATCGCGTTCGGTGCTCTCATTGGTCGGCTCCAATAAACCAAAGGATCGGAGCGCCAACCAAAGCCCTCTGCTTCGAGCAAGACCGTCGGCAAGTTGGGCGCCGCTATAATCGCCACGCTTTGCTTTGAGTTCATAGTTGAAAAGGCTAGTCTCTGTTAAATATGTATTTATACTATTCGCTATGTGCAAAGTGGGTGGTGGGGGACGGCAAATCGATCGAAGCGCACGATGTGGCAGAAATGTGAATTAGGACTGTCAAGTGTCACATTGCTTTATTTTCATAACTTCCTTTATAATTTTAAGTAAATACGTATTTTTGACAAATTGTCGAGTGCTGGGTTTTCCCCACTGCTGTTCGCTGCTTGTTTTTGATAAGCTCTCTTCTGTGTTGATGTAATGTATCAAAGCAGCAACATGCTTACACTTGCCACTTTGGTTGTAAACACAGTCGCACTTAACATTTGTAACAACACGTTCATCATTTATCTGGAATTAAAATAAACAATAAAATAATTATTTTAAGTAAGCTGACATGAAGCTAACTCAAATATACTATTTCTATAACTTAATATGTAGGTAGCAATGTACTCACATTTAATGATGTTTAGTAGGGAGTTTGTGTCACAGAGGTTTGTCTTATGATCAGAGCTCTTATTAAGAAGCTTTTCCCGTTCGTTCTAAGCTCTTCCACTTCTCTCACATGCTGTGCTAATACTAATTTTTTCCCTTTTTGCTCAGTTTGAGGTTGGAAATGTATTTTATGCTTAATCGATTCAAATCTCGAACGTATTATAATATCCATATTTTTCACGAGGAAGGAAATCGCTAGGTATAATGTAAACACTCATTTTTTACACTATTTTTTTCAATTTCGTTTAAAAACTAGTCGAAAATCAATATCACAAAGATATCATAACATCTAGTTGACACAGGGTTACCAACTCCTAAAACCATTTAGGCATTTACCCCTAACAACAAGATGAAATCTCCCTAAATTACCCTAAATGCAATATTCAATACCCCCAAAAAAAGCCCCATATATTTTTTGTAACTATTCAAGGCTAAGCAACAATGATACTAGCGTCTTCAATTTTCATATTGATTGTGACGATCATGAATGTTAGTTAAAAAAGCACTTCTAAAGAATTTTTGTTTAGTAACAATGCTTATTTGTTACACACGTGACACGACCAATTTTCACAATTTTTAAAAATAAGTACGTGACTTTTTTTTTAGTGAAAAGTGGGTGTTACCTTGTACAGTGGTATGATGTGCACCTCTGCCTACCCGTTCGGGGATAAAAGGCATGATGTTATGCATAGCATCATGTGTAGCATCATGGTGTTGATTTATCTATTGTTAACCCAAATAAGTTTTAATTAATTAAGAAGGTAAAAGGTAACGTAAACAATATAAAACCTAACCTATTAACTAGGTAAATAAATATCTACTGTATTTTGTCAATTGTAAAAGAAATAAATTATTAAGTAATAACATTTTGTTTTTTCGTTTTGGTCAGTCAATTACATTGTAGTCGTGATGCTAGAAATTATTTACGCCCCTAAAAAGAGTCCCCAAATTATTTAGGGCCCTAAAAAAGTCCCACTAAGCATAATTACTCCCTAAATTTAGGGTTAAAAGCCCTAAGTTGGGAAGCCTGAGTTGACATGATTTGACAGATGACAAGTCCTGAATAGTTGTGGCCACTAGGGGCGCTGTCATCACGCACACAGCGAATAACGACCAAGAAATTCCTTAGTCGGCACCCGCGGGAAGAGTGCATACAGATGCTGACAAATGTATTGTACATTCTGTCACAGGCTAGGGGAATTAGTCCCGCGTCATATGAAATGGAGAAGTCTAAAAATTTTCGTAACATTTCATAGTTTGTTCACATCTTTGTTGTTTAATGTGTATAATAAAATTCTGGTGTAAGGCTTTTGTTCAGCAATGTGTTTGTATAGTTATGTATGCTGATGGTGTATGTATGGCAGAGTGATATGCGAGACGTCGACGGGGTGTCGGCTGGCGGCGGACGGGCTCGGCAAGCGCGGCGTGGACCCGCTGGACCTCGGCCGCACTGTCGGGCTACTGCTCTCTGAGGCCATACTCAGCGGCGTCTGTCTGGACTCACACCTACAGGTATCATACTACCCTTTATTTTAAAGGAGAAGAATATCCAATGGCTGCTCCCGCCTTGGGTGAGGCGAGATTCTCAGACTCTTGCTGACTAAAAACCTCCCCATACCTACTCCTGATTCTACACTTCTGTCTCGATTCATATCTACAAGTAACACTTGTATTTATTTAATCAATCAATCCCCAAGCGGTCTCCGATAACCGCTGTCCACTAACTCAATTATAGACCTTATTTCCGATGTTAAGAGACTATGTTTGTGTGAACAAATGTAGCGGATTTTTCATAATCGGTCATTTACAAGTTAAATACTAAACTATTGTATTTGTACCTGCTTTGCTTGCATAGCAATATTCATTTTTAAGTATACTAGACTAATGTCGGAATACTCAAACGCTACTCAATTTTAAGTCGTGCTTAAGTATAGTTCTGTCTCTACAAATCTTTGTAAAATGACAGAGATGGCACGATATTTGAGCACGATTTAAAATTGAGTAACGTTTCAGTATTCCGGCAAAAGCTTTGAAAACAAGAAAGAGGCCTCCTTTTTGTTATTCTATTTGTAAGTTTCATCATGCACAATGCATCAGTCGAAGCTTTAGGTAATTAATATACATACAGTACATACAATTTCTAAAACAAACGTATTTATAATACATAAGGTATTTTACTCAACCCTGGAACGAAATGTTGATCATTTGTTGATGGTTCCAGGACCAAGTGATACTTTACATGGCGCTGGCAGACGGCAGGTCCGCCATACGAGTGGGAGAGATCACCATGCACACCAAAACTGTTATCTACATTGTCGAGTCTCTGCTCAAGGTAGGTCCACATATTTATATTTTCTTCTATTTAAAACTATTAACTTTATTACCTTACACACTACAATTGAAATGTAAAGTATTTATAATTATTACATTATTACTACCCTAATGATATCTTCTGATTTATTTATTTGCAAGATCCAAGTCAGTGATTCATCTCCCTTGAAACACTGAACTTAATGGGGGCTACTCAATTTTTTCACTAGATGGCGCCAGTGTCAATCTCTCGTTTTTGACCAATAGGGCTTTGGCTAGTGCCACACCATTGGTCATTAAATATTTGACAGCTGCAATGATTGGACAGAAGAATTTCTTGTTATATTTCCGTCATTTGGTGACCCAAAGTAGCTCCAATAGGGTAGATGCCTAATTTTTATTTTAATGTCCGTCTTGTGGATTATTTTAAAACATTCACATCTTGTAGATTATTTTTTCATTACCTAACTGACGGACTAATTACATTTTTAATTTTCATACCCCGTCATCATCCCTATTGGTTCGGTGTTTGCATGGTTGTGACATGCAGGAGTTGCAGCAGTCCATTAAAATGTTATCTGTGCATTATATTTAATATCTTACTTTACTCACTAACTGCAATTATTGATAGCCTTAGAAATAAGTGATTTCAATATAAATTCTGTTTGTAGATAAACTTTGAAGTGACTCAGGAGGATAAGATGAATTTGATCCAATGTGATGGGATCGGAGTGAACAACAAGAACCCACCGCAAACTGCACCACGTTAATGGAAGAACGAAACGAGACCTATGCCTGTTTTCACCAACCTAAACCAACATTTAACTAAGAGTTACTTAGCGGGAGGCACCTAAACTAACCCCTTGTACTGTTAGGTGTCACTTATATGTTAAACCAAAATGTCGTTAATTGTCACCTATCTTAGCTTAGAGGTGCCTTAAATTTGATAAAGGTTGGTGAAAACGGGCTCTACAATTTACAAATGACATATTTGCTAACTCCAACATAATAAATAATATTTTTTATTTCTAAGGAATAATTGAAAGTTTCGTTGATGTTCTGAGCTTAGAACACAAACGTCTTATTCATAACAAAATATTACTTACATGCATACACGGTGGTCAGCAGGTCAGCCTATCCTTTTCTGTCTTTCTCTATTACATCTTCAACTTTACTCTATTGACATAAAGTCGAAAATCCAATTAATAATGGATCATGGGCGGATGGGATGTTGAATCAACAGTGGTGATGTATGTATATGCCATTTGAAAGAGATTGATATATACTTTATTTCTTAGTATGATGACTTCTCGCTGGTTCGCCGGAGAACGGGGATAAAAGCCTAGAAATATGTAAAAATCTTTTGTTTCCCGAAGCAAGCCAAACGATTAACGATTACGTAGGTTTAAAACTTTTAAATAGGCAACAGTTAGGACCAAAACTTTATAAGAATGAGATCCTCTATAACAGTCTTTAACATAGGATAACATGACGCCTTTTAATTCCCGAACTGTTGAGTAGAGATGTATGTTATGTACTGAAAGTAATAACTACTTTCATTAGTTATGTGTTCCATACAATAGGAATTATCAATATTGGAAATGTGATTTTCTCAACAATCCCATGCTTTAAGTTTATGATGATATAATCTATATATGTAAAAATAAAACCCGTTTCCCGTTGTCACGCCATAACTTGAGAATGGTTGGACCGATTTGGCTGATTTTTTTTGTTGTATTTGTTATTGTCAGAAGGTTCTTATGATAAAATAAATCTTGAAAATCTTATAGGAACGGGAGTAAACGGGATTGCGCATACGAAGTCGCGGGTAGAAGCTAGCATGATATATATTCACGTAATCTAGACTTTGAATATTTATCAATAAATGACATTTCATTTCTCTTGGTTGAATGTCCAACTTTTATACTAAAGTGCCCATGATAGATTGGGGTAGATTGATCTGCTAGCCTGTGTTATTCGTTATCAATATGTCATAATAATTAATAACAGTACCTATCTATTTTTATGAATAAGATTATTAAGGCTTATTATTTAACAATATTTATAATACAGAGAATATGACAGTTCTCTATCCATGGCCCATGGATAGAGAACTGTCATATTCTTGTCATGTCATATAGCCATGGACCATGGGTAGGTAGGGGGAAGTCCTAAACGCCGGATGGCACCTAACGCCAGACACTTGTATTATCTCGATAACTAATAACGCAAGCGATTCAATTTTTATGGGGACGTCTCCCAGTGGCAGACACCTAAGATTTTTTGTAAAAATTGTATCGCTCGTGTTATCTGTTATCGAGATAATATAAGTGTCCGGCGTTAGGCGCCGTCCGGCGTTACGGGACTTCGCCCTATAATGAACGTGTGGCTAGCAAGAGTAAGGACCACCAAGTGTGCTGTGAATAAATTACAGGATAGCATAAAGCTTGTTGAACGGAACAGACTGATACGATGGTTTAAATAGCCGTTTTCATTAACCACTTCTAAACCATCTCTTAACTCAAAGTCACTTAGGAAGGGAGCCCTTAAAAACTGTTTATACTTAGGTGTCCATGTACATTGGTTAAAACTAAGACGTCGGTAACTGTCACCTATCTTAGCTTAGGGGTTCCATAACATTTCAAAGAGGCTGGTGAAAACGGGTATTAGACTAATAGGTGTAAGAGAAACGAATTTGTTGGACGGGCAATGATAACTTATTTTGTTATATGGCGCCATCATCGCCTTAAATACGACAGACTAACTATGTGCAATTTTTGTGTGATATATCTTACTACGCATTTATATAATAATAATAAACGGACCATACCTTTGTAATAGCGAAAATATCAGCATATATATGACACTATTGGGTACTTACCAACTAGTCAAATTCAATACTTTATTCGAACTGTCAAAAACGATCGTTTTCTATGAATTTTGTACGAGATTGTGTATTGTGACGTCACGTTTTTTTTGGGACAAACAGCATACTTATTTCTTAAAAAATTGTTAAAAATTAAAAATAAATATATTAAATTAAGTTCTCACTTTTTTAATATTTTATTGAATTGAACAGCCGAAATAAGGAAAGTACCCAATTGTGAAACATACTACATTAATTTTAATATACTATTTCCGGAACTAAACTATTCGAGGACGCTCGATAAGTTTCAAGCCACGACGGGATTCATAACATTTCGTGTATTTTAATTAATGTGTACACAGAGGCTACTTTCAATCTCTATGATAATACATTGTAAAATACATCTCTTTTTCTACAAATTTGAACCAAAATAAATGTACTGCATTTATCGAGATATTTTTCTAATACTGTAACGATATGTTATTATACCTATGAATATGGTATGGTATGCAGGGCGTATGAGGCCTAAACTATATTAAATCCATTTTAAGCAATGGATTCAATAATCTCTATATACTTAACATATTTTATAATAAATGTCTAGAGCTTACTGTGGATGATATTCTAAATGGAAATGTCAATGTTTTAGTATATGTTTAAAAAGGTGTAATAATTTGATGTCGTAAAAAGATTGTTTTTTTTTATACTTGTTGTTGCGAAATTCATTAAATTTTAGCTGATTTTCAGACCTAAATGCTAAATATATGTTGCAAGTGCTAGTGTAATTTGTTTTTATTGTAATGTTCAATGTTGTCTTTAACCTCTCAAACGTCGACTTACTATAATATTAAACAGGTATTTCACATACGAGTAGGGAAACCATAATGTAACTGCTTGATGATATTAAAAGAAATAAGTTTAAGATACCTTATCTATACCGAGTTATCTGCTATAAAATATTTCTAACTATGAAGCTCTTTATTTTTCGATTTGAATAATTTACTTAGTTTTAATGACTTGCATTTTTCATACACAACAGTAATAACGTGTCCTATTGCATTTAGACTAATGTTGTCTAAGGGGTTTCTGCGCGTTGCGGAGAACCTAATGGGTTACCGGGGCTCCGGCTCGATGTGCAGGAGAAGGAACGGGGTGGTTTTTAGTCAGTAAGAGTCTGACACTCCCCCCTGCCTCACCCAGGCGGGAGCAGCCATTCGATGATTTTCCCCCCTTAAAAAAAGGAGGTTTCTGCGCAGGCTTCGGCCTCTCGTACGCCTCCCAAATGACCGGGACCATGTGCTCCTGTGATTGGTGACAACATAGCAGGTAATAATAATGATTAAATGATTATGTTTCAACGCTATATAAAGATAAAAATGCGATTCTATTTAAAATTACGTCACGGTAACATTTTCAGTTCAACAGCTAACTTCACATTTGAAAGAGATGAGATGAAAAGGGACCGCAATCTTCTCTCTCTTTTTAACCGATTGATTGGGAAATCTGGCTTCCTTGCTCTATGTATAATACCTTAATAAGTTACATACGGGTAGTTCTCATGTTGAAGTCAATCAGACATCAGAACACCAAGTATGGAGTACCTAGTACCTAGCTATACGGCCCGCATTGGATGATAGTATTTAAGTTTATATACCTATGTCGATGTTTGACTGGTTTAATTAGAATAGTTTGTTAAACTCTGGCTTAAGTGCCCCATAGTGCTGGTTTTGTAAGTTTTTATTAGCTTTAATTTTATATTCTGTGATCGTTATCTATGCCTGTGTCATCGACAATATAATAGTTATACTGTTTTCAGTGTTGTAGTGCAATTATGTATAAGCATGTATAACTTATTCTTTAGGATATTAATAAATGTAAATTGAATATTCTTGTTTTATTTCTAGTATAGTTTAGAACTGACGAATATACTCCGTCTTCTTCTTATAGTGCCATTTCATTCCTGAAGGTTGGCCGTCAACTTTTTGAATTGGTCCTTGGCCAGGCGGAAAAGTTGTTCCACAGAGCTGATACCAGTCCACTCCCAAATATTGCGCAGTCACGACTCTCTGTCACGATACTCTGTCTATAAGGCCGTAAATATTTTATAAAATCAAATCTAGAGTTAGAAATGGACGTACAGCATTATGTCATCGAAATAAAAAATGTAAGTATTTATTTGAAGGAGTATCTAACTACTTTTATATGAAATATGTTCCGTGTGTATTCTCGTTGGGTGTACAATGAGTAAATAAAAGTCCAAGTCGACTGATCTGATCATTTTAATAAACAGCTCAGCGCTCCACAATACCATCAAACACAATGATACATTCAAAATGTCTAACTATACACGTTACCTTCACAAACAAAGTTAATGTAAATTGTAACTTCCAGGGGTAGTGCGACTGTTGAATATTGGAACAAGTGCTACTAATCATAAAGGTTATATTTGTAAAAACTCATTCGGTCGTAGAAACAATAAAATTTACATCATTACAACCTGCTGTCTAGTAAAAAATGTGTGTACATAATAGCTACCAATATGTTATATAGGTACTCTAATAAATTAAACATTGCTGTCTACCCCTCCGGCCTACAGGTATAAAAAGGTTATCAGTAAAGTAGCCTTTGAGGCTGATGTAATATTTGCGGGGTCGTCGCCCTCCCTACGTTACTATACATACTATGTAAATAGTACATAGTGCGCAATATTGTTATTCCTACAGAAGTCATTGTTTAGGAAGCCAAAGGAAAGTCTCAATGTAAAGTACAATTTGTACTCATATTCCAGAAATTCGGTCACCAACACAGACTCGACGTCTCACAAATTTCCCAAATATGTGATCAAAATGGCTAAAGTGAAAATAGCATCATAGCACGTATAATTATATATTTATTGTACTTAACATAACTATGTTTAGAAAAAAATGGAATCAAATCAGCGAATACTTTGCGTCGGTAACTTTTGAAACAGCTAAAAATGGTATGGATGTTATTAATATATAAACTTATTATTAACTTTGACAGAAAACAATAACATATAAAATGATTTTTTTTTCATAAAAAAATACCTTAACGAAATATAGTATAAAAATTATTTTATTCAACATAAAAATATAGAAATTAATTTAGTCGCAGCGTTGCTATAATTTTAACAAATTCTTTATATATTACACATAGATCTGGTAGTTTATAACAGTGTGTGTACGGACGATGAGATCAGGCGGTAGTTGGAATGTTCGCAGTTCTTACAATCGACACCTAACGGGGCCTGGCAGCCCGACTGCACGGTACATCGCGCCATGCACTCTCCACGACATTGTATTTGTTCTACAGATTATTTATCCAATCAAACTTGAACGCTTTGTACGTAAATAAATGCTGTACGTTCGTATGACAAAGTTAACAATTCTTCATACACCTAACACATACAATTTACACGAATATTTGTGACGCGTAAGTATAAATATTATCACTAGTTTCACATGTATCTACCTGACATCATCGTCTGATTATTTTATAGACATTAATGTTGAATACTATTAGATATACCAATGGAAGATACGACGGAAGTCTAATTAAATTACCCTTTCATTTATTTATTTTTACAATAGCAACATTTACGTACATATACAGGACATCACGTGGTGCAGGACCGTTTATAGACCGCGCCGTATACAAGTACATCGAGAGAGAACAACACGGATAAGGTTACAAACGAAGTGACAGTGTTTTTGTAACGATTTAAAACCTGATGCTTAGGAAATAAAGATATTAAGAGATAAAATTGACATGGCTAACATCGAAGAAGGTGGTTATGACCGTAAACATAACATAACACTACCTACTTATAATAGCAGCTAGACACAACACAAGATATAAAACAAACAAACGACGGTATGACACAGCCGAGTACCGCGCGGTCTGTAAACGGTTCTGACGTCAAACCTGGTCCCGAATGGGGTGACGTCACGCCATGGCCCGCCATTGTCGCGTGATAAATATGAATGTACTTAAACGGTACCGGTGTGCTTGTTGTTTGTGCTCTGGACGTGGCATACTCTGTGTCTATTCAGTCTTTTTTGACTTGCTCGTGTCTTCGCCGGCCGGTATTATCGCCGGTTGGTCTTCGTAGCTGTTGATTAATTAACAATATCAATTAAATTGTACATGTTTTTATAGATACAGACAGCCATAGTATACCGACATTTCCCACTTAAGTAAGAAGCAATATGAGTTCTATAGGAATTCAATTTGAGATTTGAAGTAAATGTTAGATATAGTGAGTGGGTACTGACTTGAAGAGCGCGTTGATGTCGCCGCGCAGTAGCGCGAGACAGAGCGGCGTGGCGAGGCAGGCGGGCACGAGGTACAGCAGCGCGGGCTGCGCGTGCTTGAACACGTGCATCACCAGGATCGTCGCCAGCAGACCCACCACGTACGCCGTGAACGTCGCCCTGGCCACAAACAAATTCATATTATTCACCTATAAACAAAAATTATTCACCGAAATGTATGTTAGCGCAATTAAGTAAATATAATAATAACTAGCTTCTGCCAGCAGCTTCGCCCGCGGTCCCAGGGGTAAAATGCCTATGTATCACTTCAGACCATAATCTACATTTTATTCCGGTCCCTTCACTCGTTTTAATATGACTGAGTAACAAACATACACATAAACTCACATATTTTCATTTATAATATCGAGTCAAGCTAATTTCAACCATTGGCCTTTCAGTTACAGCGTAAAATCTATGAATGAGTATTGTAAACGTTAGAGTAGATAAATACAATCAGAAATCACCGAGTTGCTAAGCTATCTGGAGTTTCACGTGTTATTGTGAGTCAACCATAAAAGATAGACATATGCTATCGAGGAATATTTTTTTTATAATTTAAAGGAGAATATTTCCGTCATATATGATTTCTATGTAGCTTTAACCTAAAAGCCTGCAAACGCGACGGAAGTTTAAAAAATGGAGTAACTTCTCCCGTTTTCCCAATATTTCCCTTCACTGCTCTGCTCCTATTGATCGTAACGTAATGAAAAGTATACTATAACCTGCCCAAGAGTATGAAGAATTATTGTGCCAAATTTCGTTAAAATCCATCGAGGAGTTTTTGTTTCCATAACGAACATACAGACAGACAGACAGACAGACAGACAAAAATTTTACTGATTGCATTTTTGGCATCAGTAGCGATCCCTAACCACCCCTTGATAGTTATTTTTTAAATATATTTTATGTACAGAATTTACCTCTCTACAGATTTATTATAAGTATAGATAGATAATAATAATTAAGTAAATAATTATTATTAAATTTACTATTTATTAATTCGAACAATTCCTGTTTTTTGTATTTGTTGTTGTTAGGAGTACAAAAACGAAAATTTTCAAATGAAACAAGTGAATTTATTTCCGCAAATAGACTACAAGGCAGCACTTTTACACGTCAATTTTAACAAGCGAACGATGAGGTCGACATTTCCTAACTGACTACTCTGATAAGAAATGCCGAAACAAACTCAGAGGTCTGTCTCTTTTAAAGTCAATAGGAACACCCGGAGAAATATATGCAGGCGAAGTTGAGGCGGGTCGTTAATCCTTACTTCCTTACTAATATTATAAATCTGAAAGTGAGTTTGTTTGTTTGTTTGTTTGTTCCACCTTCACGCCGTAACTACTCAACCGATTGCTTTGAATTTTTACAGACGTAAAGTTAGAAGTCCGGATTAAATAATAGGGTACTTTTTAACCCGGAAAAAATTGATATTCCTGAGGAAAAACAAAAGTATTGGTATAGATGGCGCTGTGTGTATTGGTATATGTCACATAGGCTACTTTTTATTCTTTTGTGATGCGAGCGAAGCCGCGGGTAAAAGCTAGTTGTATATAAAAATATTATTACGAGCTATGATTTGAGTACTATACTACAACGATAAGTAACATTATGGTAACAATATAGAAATAATACAATAAGTTTCATAGAAATTGCCAACCCATGACAAATGCATTCGTGTTAAATATAATAAACAATGCGAGATTCCAATTATTTTAATAAATAGTGTATAGTTATTTACTTGTATGATGCCTTGAAACAATGAAAGAGAACTTAACAACAAAAATACCATCTTTAGTATTATTTACAATTAATCTATCTGTACTATAATAGAACCGTCAAAAACTGTGTTTGCACACCCTATGTCCGAAACTAATTGACAGATTTTAATGAAACTTTTTGTTGTATAGCTCACAAATCGAGGCAACATGTATAATTTGTAAGAAAGTGAAAAAAAAACAATGGCGTAAATTCGTTATTCTATCTACACGGACGAAATTGCGGACAGAGGTTTTTTTTAAGGGGTGAAAATCATCGAATGACTGCTCCCGCCTGGGTGAGGCGGGAGGGAGTGTCAGACTCTTACTGACTAAAAACCACCCCGTTCTTACTCCTGCACGTCGAGCCGGAGCCCCGGTTACCCGTTAGGTTTTCCGCGACGCGGACAGAGGCTAACCTCTCATTTTGATACTAATATCAAAATGAGAGAAAAGAAAAGATACTTGTTTGTATTGTATGAAAGTATACCTGAAGTAGAACTCGCTGTTTCGCTTGAGGCTCTTGTCGAAGCGCAGTAGGAGTGCGATGAAGATGCCAGGCACCACGATGTCGCCCAGACCCAGCATTGCGAAGTTACTCGCGTCCAGACCGTTCACCAGCAGGTCTTGCGGGAATACCACTGTCGATAGATACATACATGATAGATAGGGGTGGGAGAGCCATGCTTCGACGCGAATGGGCCGACTCGACCTGAGTGTTACTATGCCTTACAGAATTAACGTAACATAACATTACTCCTTTTATCCACGAAGGAGTAGGCAAAGGTGCACATTATTCCACTTTATGCCACTGTACAATGTAACAACCACTTTTCACTATTTATGTTATGAGTCCCATGTAATAGTGGCAGAGCCTATTGCCATATACCGGGCACAATTCCAGACTGCGTGTTACTACTGAGAATTATTTTAAAAACCCAGTGATACTTTGCCCGACCCGAGAATCAAACCCCTTGACCGGCAGTCGCTGAAAAACCGTGTTAAACAACATTTGCATTATGTAAGTAAGGTTACTGGAGAAGGCGCAATCCCCAAAAGAACTAGGAACGCACTTGATAATCCAGTAGGGTCGCACGTATCCATGGGCGGTAGCTTATCATCAGGTGATACGCATACTTGTTTGCCATGCCACCCTATGCCATAAAAAAGATACATACTATGAAAGTGAGTATTCTTACGTTTGATGGGAGCCTCGAAGGACTTGGCGACGGTGACCATGACGTTGGTGCCGAAGACCCAGAAGATGTCGTAGATGAACAGTCCACAGAGCAGGATGCAGCCGGTGACCACGTTGTTCAAATGTAACAGCTCCACTCCGTTCACCGCGAACGCGATGCCGAACAAGTTGTTCGCGATCCAGTGCTAAAGTAAATAGAATAGTTTAATTATTTTATTTATTCAATACTAGCTTCTGCCCGCGACTTCGTACGCGCAATCCCGTTTTCTCCCGTTCCCATAAGATTTTCAGAATTTTTTTCTATCATAAGAACCTGTCAATCTCCTGTCTCCTGTCAATTGGAGTTTGTAAAAGAGACAACGTTCCTGGGAATTACTGTAGACGACAAATTACAATGGGGTCCTCACATTACATCATTAGCGGGACGATTGAGCTCTGCAGCTTATGCTGTCTGGAAGATACGACAGTTAACTGACATAGACACGGCAAGACTAGTGTATTTCAGTTACTTTCATAGCATTATGTCGTATGGCATTTTGCTGTGGGGACACGCTGCTGACATTGAGTCTATCTTTATCTTACAAAAGCGCGCCGTCAGAGCTATCTACAATCTAGGTCGTCGCGTATCTCTCAGAGAAAGGTTTAGGGAGATCAACATTATGACCGTTCCATGTCAATTTATTTATGAAAACATTATGTATGTTAGGAAAAACCTAGAGTTATTTGGTAAAGTGTCGGGCAGACACCACTATCAAACTAGACATAAGAATAGATTAAGTCAGCCAATTTCGAGATTAGCGAAAGTAAGTAAGTCATTCATGAGATTCTGTGTTAAATGTTATAATAAGATACCAGGCGATGTACAACAACTAAATGAATCCAAATTTAAATTATGTATAAAGAAAACTTTATGTAGACAAGCATATTACAAACTTAATGAATATATAGAGGATAAAAATGCTTGGATGCAGGCTAGTCCGGCTCCACAGGATAACTAAAAACACTGTTGTTTTAATGAAAACGTAAATAATACAACCATATTGCTAAATTGTATATTGTTTAACTTAGATAAGCATTGTAAATGTGAGAGCCCTATAATTAACTTAATATTAAATCAGATTAGTAAAATTCATTTGTGTCAGCTCGGAGTTGTCATGCTCACTCAAAGGTCTCATTGGAGGTGGCACGGGCAGTGGATCGCTCGATTCCCTACAATATGGTTGAGTTGGGCGGTGCTGGTGTACGTGTCATGTTCGTGAACGGGCGCCGTCAACTGGGACTGGTCAGCTCCAGACTGTATTTTTTATTGTCTTTAAGGTTATTTTCTTTTTCAATCACTTTGACTGGATTTTGGTGTTACATTGTTCTCGCACAATCCAAACAGCAAAACTATGTAACTAGTAAATTGTATTGTGAACCTGATTGAAAAAGAGTAACCTATGGAGTTTCTTGCTCGTTTTTCTCCGTAGGAATCTACACCTTGGAATGAGCAAATAGCTTCACTTTTAATTTTCTTTATGTTGACGTTCAAAAGTGCCATTCTGGCCTAATTGAAGGCCAGAATGGCACTTTTGAACTTTAACACACTTTATAAATGATTTTGACTTTTGACTTTGAATAACAAACACAATAAAAAAAATCAGCCAAATTGGTCCAGCCATTCTTAGAGAACGGGAAACGGGTTTCATTTTATATAGATTTTAACTTATGGGAAAATATTTTCGCAATATCTTTCGATGTAACGCAAAAATAAAACGCGAAATACGATGCTTCGTTTGGTTTTCTATAAAGCCTGGTGTCACTCCGATCAAGACCATCCGTGCTTAAGCATGGATTAAGTGCACTAACAAACAATAATTAATTACATATAATCTAGCTTAAAAAACTAAATACCCAAGCAATTTAACTGAAATTTGTTCTTATACGATTTTGTTCAAACTAAGAATAGCATCACTTAGCACTGTTATAGATGTCCATAGCACTTCCTTACAGTCTGATATTGAAAAACTGAAGAATAATTACTGAATGAAAATGGTGTAGCTACCTTCTTAAGTATGTACCAGCCTCCCATGGCTAGTGAGATGAATATACAGATGATGTCGTACGACGTAAACTTGTAGTTGACAATGTCCGAGCGAGTGTCGTCCTCGCCGCGCGTGAAGTGGATGTGGTACGACACGTTCGGGATACACGCCGGCACCATGAACGAGATTATCGGGCTGTGAGGGACAAAATACAACAATAATTAGGTATATTATTGGTATTGTATTCTGATAAATCGGCAAAAAATCACTTGATGGTAAGTAATTGGTGCCTGCGACACTAGAAGAGTCACCATTATGGTGACGGTGGGAGCCTCACTCACACAGAGATTTTCAGTGAGGCTCTGGTATCAATCCGGTCGAGTCAGCCCATTTGCGCCGAAGCACACTTAACACTATTATTAAATTGTAAGCTGTTTAAAAATAATACTGCGAAATAAACATTCGAGTTGCCTTTGACATTATATTCTGCAGGAAACCTTGAGACTGACTTAGCATGTAATAAATAAATACACAACCATCCATTACTACATAATGTACTGTTTTGTTACTTGCATTATGTCAGTGCAATTATTTCTTTTTTTCCATTCAATTTAGTATTGAATTCAAGACTGACGGCTAATAAAAGTTAGCCTATACATTAACTAAAGGAGTAGACCATAGTGCTATGAAAGTAGGCATGTTAATACGCAACACTTTTACACTTACGATTGAATACCAACTATTGTACAGTATTGTATATACAACCAAGTATTGTACAGATAGTCTGTGGATTGATTCAATCACTGCGGCTAGTCTCAATTACTGTACCCCTGCATTCGTTATATTGGCACAAGTACCCTGATATGACACTGAACATGTGCACTAAGGACAACTCTTTGTTTCCTGACTCTTGATCAGTCGGAATATTTAGACTGGGGAGTGATATACGATATTCTAAGTATCCATAATAAATGTTGAAATAAAAAATCTGTACTTGTTGTCAAATCAGTGAATCTAATTATTAATACTAAAGAAATTGAAATGCCCCAAAGTTCGATTTGTTCAAACTGACTATAAATATATCACTAGGCTTTGCATTGAATAAACTGGTATAAGACAAAAAAGTTGGTTAAATAATCCTCTTACCTAAGAAGATGGCTCAAGGCAAGAACTCCTAGGAAGAAGAAGTATCCAGTAAGCAGCAGGTTGATGTACTCCTTGGAGAAGAACTGGAAGAAGATGTACAGTCCGAACAGCGCCGCCGATGCGATCAGAGGGAACATCAGCGCATCCTTGTTTGACATTGTCTCATGTCGCTCGCCCGATTCCTACAGACAATAAAATAAAAAATAGTTTATTTCACTCCTTGAGGGTTGAAGTGTTATATCTACTACAATTTATCTTATGCAGGAGTCTCTTATCAAGTGTATGTAATATCTGTGTTGGGCAACAAATTATTAGGTCCTGATGCATCTGTTTTTCTGTTTGTTTGTGATAGTATCAAAAGTTAGGCACCATTAGCAAATTATTGGTAGATATTTATTTAGGAAGGTTAAAATAAATTCATGAAGACTTCAGTGAAAAGCTATGCTATATTTTTTTATGATATTATCATTATGTATACTATTTCATGTTGTAATAAGAATAAAGAAACAAAATACGAAACTTATATATCTTCTTAATGTATGAAAAAAAATTGTATGTGTATTATCTGTATTAAAAAATATATTAGGTACTTTATCAAAATAATACTTTAATATTATTACTCATAATAATTATCTCTATAGAGATCAAAGTCTAGTAAAGACTGACACTGCAAAATACTAGGTATTACTCATAAGTCATTTAACTTAACAACATACAGTTATAAGGGGTCAGTTGCACAGGTTCTTGATAAAGGAAACTATCAGGCATTTAAGTATGGACTTTGACCCAAGTAGCATCCAATGGACCTGTTTTATTTATTAACTCGTTGAGTACCGGTTTTATAGACACAATTAAAGAACAATAGGTCGCGGTCACCGGTGACCGCTTGGTGTTTGACAGTTTAAATAACTTAATATTATAATACCGTGATTAAAAGGACAAACACAGAAATAAAATTGCCGCTTGCGTAAGCTATACATCTAATAAGCAAAATATTTTGTTATTAACTATGATCAAAAAACAGACTTCAACCCCTTTTTAACCCATAGATCCCCAAGCGGTCACTGGTGACCACTCTCCACTTTTTACATTATAGAGTCTATAATATAGACTCTATTTCCACTACTTAGAGACTAGTTTTGTATGAACAAATTTAGGGGATGAATTAACAGGTTAATATGCGAAAACCTTCTCCTAAATGTAACAAACACTTTACTGAAAGCCGCATCAAAATCGATTCAGTTAATCGAGCACTAACATACATACACACATACAGCTCAAACTGCGAACATCCTTCTTTTTTTGAAGTCGATTAAAAACTAGTTGTCCTGCACGATTTCACTCATTGCTCGTCTCTTATTGATCTTAGCATGATATATTCTAAACTATAGCCTTCCTTGACTGGGCTACTGAACACAAAAACAATTATTCAATACAAATGAGTAGTCCTAAATTAGCGCATTCAAATGGATAAAACCTTCAGCTTTATAATATAGTACAGAAGTATAGAAAATGTTGCAATATTTTTGTTATTTATCGGTAAATTATGAGCACAGACACTGAAATCACCAAGCACAATACAAGTGAAAGTAATTGTCTTCTAAGAAATAAAAATATTTGTTATTTTTTCTACTTCTTACTTCATCATTGTTGTATAAGTAACAATTCTCCTTATTTTATGCAACATTTTTTATTATGTTTTAAGCTAAATAAGTTATTGATCTTTGACTCCTACATTTGGGTTTGACTAACAAACCATGACACAATGATTTCTATCAAAATGCTTAGTGAAAGTTTGTTTTAGGTTTAACAACATCAAAACAAGACCGCATTCAGTACTCTTGATTGGTTAGTTCATTAGAACCAATGAATGCGGTCATTTCAATCTCGTTAATCGTAAATCAAACTCATGTTAAGCCGTCAGAAGAATCAGAGATGAGCTAGGGCTGCTATCTGTTTAGGATGCTAGGTTTGTCTTAGTCATTTCTAAAATATAGTTTAGATTAAAAGATGTCTCCGAGTAGGAGTTCATGTGAGTAGGATTAATCATGATAAAATTTGCATGGTAAATCTTTACTAATATTATAAATTGGAAAGTGAGTTTGTTTGTTTGTTTGTTCGGCTTTCACGCCGCAACTACTAAACAGATTGCTTTGAATTTTTGCAGACGTAAAGTTAGAAGTTTGGATTAAATAATAGGGTACTTTTTATCCTGGAAAAATTGGTATTCCCGAAGGAAAACAAAAGTATTGGTATAGATGGCGCTGTGTGTATTAATCTGTCACATAGGCTACTTTTTATCCTTTTGTGACGCGAGCGAAGCCGCGGGTAAAAGCTAGTACAAAAATAAATTTTACTGAAATACTAAGTTTGCAATTACTCTAAGGCAGTGCTTTTCAACCTTTATCATGATGCGACTCCCTTGACCCCTCGGTTTTTTATCATGAATGTATGTGTATTTTACAATATTACCAATATTCATTCCATAAGACGTATTTATGGTCTCAATGATTAGGATTCGGACATAAGTAAGTACATACTTATGGGATACAAAAACACATTTCACAATTACATAGTAATTGTTATCGGATACATGAATAATTATCCATTTGTTAAAATTCACTTACAGTAATAGAATTTTAAGTAAGAGTTATTTAAGTAAGATTCTTACTTAATAAATAAATATTAATAGTCTTTATTATTATTGTTTTTTTTTACAAAAGTACCTAGTTTTTACGACTTCCGGCGACCCCCCTATAGAAGCCTTGCGACCCCCCAAAGGGGATCGCAACCCACAGGTTGAAAAACTTAAACGATGGACTGGCCTTTTGATACATTATTATTCTGATAACTAGTTATTTTTTTCTTTTAGTTAGAACCTGTATTAAGTACCTACAGTCATGTGTGTGATATCAATTTGATATAATGAATGGACTGCACGTTTGGTGCGGTGGGTGTCATGTGTATGTGAACTTGAATGTTTGTAAATGCAATCATGACAAAACCCTATTGTGGGGCAACATTTTTTAAAAAAGAAAAAAGAAAGATAACAGATTATTTAACACTTAAAATAATTTACTAACTGGAATCAAAATAATTTAATATGGTCTACTCATTAAAAACCTGAATGTGACAAGTATTCAATTGAATATTAGATACATATATATCCTTAGAACGCACGGAGATAACAAGGAAAATTTATATATTTTCCTTATATTCTGTAAGAAGTAAAACCATATTTTTTTATGAATTGAGGTAACATTATAGATTTTTGGAGCAACTTAAAAAAGTTACAATGCTACTCGAACATGTACTTATTAAAACATGTTATTTTACTATAATTGTCATCTATTTATTTATTATATTTGCAAGGTCTTCCAACATTTGACAGCAACATATGCCACGATGATAGAACGTGTATCTCTCTTATTGGATCCAACTAATTCCTATAACTATGAAATAAAACTACGTGCTATCACCAAATCACTATGATCAAACTTACCTTTTGCTCTTTCAGGTATTTTACTGATCGGAAAGCCCCGAAGAATATCGGTAACACAGCCATAATCACTAAACTCAGGTATGCAATCGCAATACCTTCAATACTCGTCGGTGGCTTGTCTGTAGCATTTTTTACGGTTTCCTTAACTGCTTCTTCAATGTTTATAAGGTTCTCCGTCGCTGATTCTGCCATTTCGTATAAATTATTTGCCGAAATGCGTGGCGAGATGGCTTTCGCACTACGGACCAAGTTTGACAAGAAAATGACAAGTGTACAGTTGGTTTTCTAATGTTGGCTAATGACAACTAAGTATTTAGAGTAGTACTTTTTCGCAATAATCGGTAGGTATTCATTTAATCACTAATTTTCATCATTTTTAATTTATTCAGTATATCATGTATTTTCGTAAACGATTCAATATTTGTGGAAATCAGTTTTTATTAATTTTACTTTTATGTCATATTTTATTTTTATTTTGTCAATGTTGGTACAACATTCCATTCTTCCTTTCCATATGTCAAATCAAAATAAGTCAAACAAGACTTTCGTTTTTTAGGTTTTCGCGAATAATAAATTATTTATTTCTTAATTGTCATGTATTTGTGCTTTAGTACTTTTACTTTACAGTATATATCATAAGAAGTGCTATTTTATAAATTAAAATGGAAGTTTCTGGTGGTGCCGAGGAAGGTTTCGTGAGGGAATGGGCCCCTTGTTCGCATATTTTAAATTTAATTCCGCCTAGGATACAGACGGGGATATTTTCGAACGAGTTGTGCCTAACATGTGTGGATGCGGTGAGCGAGTACATAGCCCTGGGGACCAACGTTGGGCTGGTGTATTGGTACGATCGGAAGAAAGGCAACATTCAAAGACTGCGTTGCGAGGTAAGAGAGAGTTCTGTATGGCCTGTGTCAGGGACGGGGTTTCCCCACTATACCTTAATTGGGCCCTAGCACGTACTACGCACGAGCATCGATTTCTACGGATATTATTAATTATTTGAGTGGGTAGACTAAAATAAAATAGTTTTAAACATCATTTATTTACCTTTTAAGACCAATGAGTTTATAGCTTTCTTATCAATACATATACATAATTATTGAAAAGGGAGAGAGAACCTTGAACAGAAGATTTTGAAAGAGATTCATCTATTCCATTACTTTTTCTTAGAGGATTCTAATTAGCCATAATAACTTCCTCAAGAGCACTTTTAACATATGATATTTTTTAATATAGGTTTTACTTATAAAAATATAGAAAAAGGTTCATAAGAGAGCATGAAAGGTGGTACAACCTTACTCTGACCTTCATGGTTTACCAATTTAACAATAATCCTTGACCTTTACATAAATATTATTAATAACTTATTGACCAAACAACTTTGTTCAGTTTCTTTATTTGTTTTTTAACTAGCTTCACCCGCATTCCAGTGGGAACAAGTGACCTATGTGTAATTTAAGGCTATAATCTACCTCTGTTTTAAATTTTGTCTCGATCTCTTTAGACATTTTTATGTGAAAGAGTATTTAAACAAAGTTATGTTGTCGAGAATGCCATATGGTATTAAATCTGTTTTATATGTCATTATTATTTTCAACATTGAAGTAAATAGGTTACTAAGTTGAATTGTAATTGATTTTTTTTTATTAATTTGTAACTCGTAAACTACAGAGAGTGAGAACATGTATGTAAAGATAACAAAAGCAAACGGGCAGATAACAGCTATTTAGATTTCTTTGTAGACACAATTTATTTGTGTAGATAATTACATTATCTTTCCTGTTTTTGTTGTATGATGAAAATAATAATTACACTTTGTAATTTTTATTGACTTCATATTTTCTTCATTTTTGTTAAAATTTAAACTAAAATACATTAGGTATTTAATATTAATTTTATTTAATAATAATTCTTGTAAATAATGCGCTTGTATATTTTATTTTGTACTCTTCTGCTAAACATGAGAAAATGACTCATAATATTGGTTTATTGTTCACAACTATTGTTGTAACTAGTAACTGGGCCACTGATAGACAAACAGATCTATCCATTATTTTTTAAAGACTTTCGAGAGTAATCCTGTAATGGCATGATTGAATTACTTATCTTTTTTTTTACCCATTTGTGCTGAAGCACAAAGTTTCTTTTACTTTAATATTATGATCTACATCTGAAACAATTGAAACATCGATTTTATACATCTTCATTACACTTCCTGACAGATCATATTTTAATAATAATATCTGATTATCAGTAGAAGTTTAAAAACCATGAAACGGGAAGTCACCATATTATCACTTTATAAACATGGCCAAAAAACATGGTCTAAGTTTAAAAAAAAATCAGTATAATTGTGATTAACTTTTTTTTCATTACTTTTTAGGCATCTACATCTCCCATAACGTATGTGAAGATAGTTAGCACAGTGGACTATATGGTGGGTGCGGGCAATGCTGCCGGCCAGGTCAATGTTTTCCAAATACCTAAGGAGCATCCCGAGAATGTACCTGACACATTTAAACCTAAAGTTGAACCCAAAGTTGAAAGGTGAGTGTCTTTCGAATGTGTTTATAGTATTTAATATGATAGCAGGTCCAGTTGACAGTTTTTCCTCTCTAATATAACACCGCTAATCAGGTTCAATACTAATCTCAACTTAATCAAAATTGGTTTGCACTTAATGATATAGTAACCCATATTCATAATTGTATCAGGTCAATATAGTAATTACAGAAACTGAAAATAGCATCATACAATCAGTTATATTATTAATAGATAATAATTAATTCATCTAAATTAATTACTAAGTTGTACCCCTGAACTTATTATTAGATTCTAAGTGATAACTGCTGTAATTTTATTGTTATGTAACACTTTGTATAAATAGTTAAAACGAGAGTGCATGAATCTAATCCAATCTGTCTTTATTTAATAGACCTTCAATCTTTCATATTTTGTATTAAGGATGATAATCCATTGAATGAATTAGACAGGTAGTGGTAGTTTGATATCTATCGATTATGTGGGCTATATTCAAGCGTGATTGGTGCAATGTATCGCCGGTTTGATTCTCCTACGCAAAGCTGCTTCGAGTATTAATGTAACATTTTAATTATGTACAGTAGGGGACAGATCTACCTGAGCATTTTATTGCTTAAATCTTGTAATAAATTTAATCCCTACCCCATGAATGTCTCAACTAATAGAAAAGCGATAATGTCGCAGCTTAATCACGCAACCCGTGTAATCCATTAGACAATGGTGCGTTTGATGTTGTGCCGACCTGAGCCAGTGCCAGCCCCGCCCAAGACTCCACCCCTCATTAGTCAATTCAAGGTCATGGGGCGGGGCTAGAAAACGGATCTCATCAGACGCAAGTGAACATTAACTTAGTAGTGGTCAGGCGGATGTGCCCCCCATTGTACTTACATTTAATTTTGTGTTGTACTATCTACAACCTCCATGCTAATATAGCTCTATTTCTTTTTGAAATACATAGTTATTTTAGTAGTACATTTAAACATTAATGTACTGCTTTACTTTGTAGTTTTGTTGTCACATTACTTACATTATTATGTTATGGTCATGTGAACCTGACCTATACATGACCACAACCTTCCACAATTGTTTATAATAACTGGTACATTTTATATGCATCATTAAGGATCTCAAGATATTTCTACATTACAGAGTTTTCATGTAATTTCAGTGTACTACGCCATCTATGAGAATGTTTGTGTCAACGTTTTGTTTTACCTGTAATTTCCCTATAAAAAAGTTAAATAAAAAGCTGGTTTAGTCTGTTGCGAGAATTCATACTAATTTTATTTCATAACTAGCTTTTACCCGCGGCTTCGCTCGCGTCACAAAAGGATAAAAAGTAGCCTATGTGACATATACCAATACATACAGCGCCATCTATACCAATACTTTTGTTTTCCCTCAGGAATATCAATTTTTTCGGAATAAAAAGTACCCTATTATTTAATCCAGACTTTACGTCTGCAAAAATTCAATGCAATCGGTTAAGTAGTTATGGCGTGAAGTCGGAACAAACAAACAAACTCACTTTCCGATTTATAATATTAGTAAGGATAGAATTGTCTTCCAGTACACTATTCGAAACTTTTAGGGTAAAACTTTTGTTTTCTCTGCTTACTGAGAGTTGATACCCTATTAGATCCATTCGTGTCGAAGCGTGGCTCTCCTAAATGGCGACCCATTAAGTATGTCAATAAAAAAGTCAGTCAAAATTACCTAATTTATTATTCTTTACATTTACAGATACACAATAGGAGATTTACACAAAAGTAAAATTACAGCAATAGAGTGGTCCAAAAACGGTATGAGACTGTTTTCCGGCGACAAGAACGGCGTCATTATTATGACTGAAATAGATTTCTATATGGTGAGTGTTCTTTTATTTATTCTTGTTATCATTCTGTTATGTATTTACAAAGCAATTATGATGATATAACAAGTATAAGTGGTTTTTAAAACATCTAATTTACACCAGTTATGTTGTGTTAGTAAAACCAAAATACGCACTATTATTGAAAAAAGAATAATATAAATGTAATAGTTGCCGGTTTCCAGTATAGATATCTACATGAAATAAAGTGATGATATAAAGGAATCATATAAATCATCAAAGGAATGATATAAAGTGCACTTCGTAATTGTTTGAATAAACGACAATTAGTTGTCATCAGGTAGTTAAAACAGACACACACAAATAACTATTTATTCCACATAAGTTAACATGCATTATCATTTTAAAACTCATAACTAAATTCTGCACAAATCTAGAGTCAAATCTGAGACCCGGCATGGTATAGTATGAGTAATGAGTATTCATGTAATAGAATGAGTCTGTTGCTATATTTTCGAAAAACCTGGGAATCGAACCTGCAAACCCGAGGACCAGGTAGTCCCTGTATTATAATTATGTATAACTAAGTCGGTCATTAATACCCATAAACGTCCCTTAAAGTCACGAGAAATTTATAATATATCTTTTTATAATAACTATCGTGAGACATACTTACTAAATTAACTAAAAATCGCGGGTTACTCATGTGAACATACTGAGTGTCGTGCAGCCTATATCGCGACCGCGCACGCTGTTCATGAGGAAGAACTCCTCTGTGGTTCTAACTAATAGAGCTTTTCTCAGTATGTTCACGTGAGTAACCCGCGGTTTTTAGTTAATCAATAACATAACATCACGCCTTTTTATTCCCGAAGGGGTTATGAGTCCCATGTAATAGGTGGTGAGCCTATTGCCATATACCGGATATAAATCCAGACTCCGGGCTACTACTGAGAATTTAAAAAAAGTAATACTTTGCTCGACCCTGGAATTAAACCCGAGACCCCTTGCCCGGCAGTCGCACTGGCGACCACTCGGTCAACGAGGCATTGACACTATATTAATCACAGTATAGCAATTATAAAATATAATTTTTATCGTGGAGAGTAATTTATAACTATGTCTGATATTATAATGGCCGGATATATTGATAATATCATGGCTAAATGTGGCCAATGCTCTGAACAAGGTTATTTAGGTAAGATCTCGTTTATGGGTCATGGTTTTTAGGCATGTGCTTTGTACTTGGTTTTTTATGGCATAAATGGTAAGCTATCAGACAATTGCAACAGCGGGTGAGTTACAATTGCATTGCCGGACTGTTGGGAGTTAAGGATTTTAAGATTGGGACATTGGGGATGGGGGGAGGTGGTCTTCGAATCTAAAAATAAGAATTAAGTTTTTAATTATCTTGATTTAAGAAAGTTGATATGAGTCCACAACGTAAAAGTAAAAAGTCGCCTTTGTGCACCTGGGTTAATTTATTGACAAAGGAGACTACTTGAGTCAACTCCATTCTCCTAGGTGAACAAAGTGGAATAAACCAACTAAACATGCCAAGTCCACCATTTGAATAGTTAGTAAATATTCCAAAAGTTTTTTTTTACGTCGATATTATGTCGATAGTCGAAAGTCGATATTAAAAAGTTACATTTGTGTTACAGCACCTCTGTAAATCAATGGAGATTGTGAACGAGGAACACGAGATAGTACAGATGAGTTACTATCAGAACAGCTTGTTGGTATCGAGTATGTATCGGACCATCGTCTGCGAGCGACGCGACGGACGCTGGCATGTCAACCAACTTGGCAAGAAGGAACGAAAGAGGTGAGCAATTAATTTACAGACAGACAACTTCTAAAGTAGACAAGAATCTAGAACAAATTTCCGTGCGTTTAGGCGTTTTTGCCACATACCTATTATTTGGAAGCAAGTATAACAGCTCACACATCAGGTCTACTAAGTTTTAAATTAAATTCCGGTGGTGCTTGGCGACTGGGCTTCTCCCAGTTGCGCAGTCTCTTTTATGTCTTTAAGTCATTCTGTCTCCTGCATTAAATTCTCCAAAGGAAGTGGAAACCACCGGTTTTTTCTTCTCTGATTTGTATCATCTGATTTCTTTCGTTGCGGGAACCAAGACAGTTATTCACGTCCCTGGCACGCGCCGGACTTCGGTGTTCCGGTATTTCCATAGTTGTATCTACTGTAGTTCCTTGCTAACTACTGTCCGATTGCTATAATTATTTCTTATAAATCATGTAAGACGACATCTGATACGGAATCATCTGAAGGAAGATATGTTTTTATACATTTTGTACAACGATTGATCGTATATTATCCCGTGCAGCCTGTGTGCCCTGGGCGCAGTGTTCCAGTACTCGTACGCTCGTGGTGGACCCGTGGCGGCATACTGCGCCCGCCCCGGACTCAGACTGTGGCGGGCAGACACACAGGGGAACGTACTGCAGACACTACTGTTTAAGGTGATACACTGTATACTTTATTACATACTGCGCCCGCCCCGGACTCAGGCTGTGGCGGGCAGACACACAGGGGAACGTACTGCAGACACTACTGTTTAAGGTGATACACTCTATACTTTATTACATACTGCGCCCGCCCCGGACTCAGGCTGTGGCGGGCAGACACACAGGGGAACGTACTGCAGACACTACTGTTTAAGGTGATACACTGTATACTTTATTACATACTGCGCCCGCCCCGGACTCAGACTGTGGCGGGCAGACACACAGGGGAACGTACTGCAGACACTACTGTTTAAGGTGATACACTGTATACTTTATTACATACTGCGCCCGCCCCGGACTCAGGCTGTGGCGGGCAGACACACAGGGGAACGTACTGCAGACACTACTGTTTAAGGTGATACACTCTATACTTTATTACATACTGCGCCCGCCCCGGACTCAGGCTGTGGCGGGCAGACACACAGGGGAACGTACTGCAGACACTACTGTTTAAGGTGATACACTGTATACTTTATTACATACTGCGCCCGCCCCGGACTCAGACTGTGGCGGGCAGACACACAGGGGAACGTACTGCAGACACTACTGTTTAAGGTGATACACTGTATACTTTATTACATACTGCGCCCGCCCCGGACTCAGGCTGTGGCGGGCAGACACACAGGGGAACGTACTGCAGACACTACTGTTTAAGGTGATACACTGTATACTTTATTACATACTGCGCCCGCCCCGGACTCAGGCTGTGGCGGGCAGACACACAGGGGAACGTACTGCAGACACTACTGTTTAAGGTGATACACTCTATACTTTATTACATACTGCGCCCGCCCCGGACTCAGGCTGTGGCGGGCAGACACACAGGGGAACGTACTGCAGACACTACTGTTTAAGGTGATACACTGTATACTTTATTACATACTGCGCCCGCCCCGGACTCAGGCTGTGGCGGGCAGACACACAGGGGAACGTACTGCAGACACTACTGTTTAAGGTGATACACTCTATACTTTATTACATACTGCGCCCGCCCCGGACTCAGACTGTGGCGGGCAGACACACAGGGGAACGTACTGCAGACACTACTGTTTAAGGTGATACACTCTATACTTTATTACATACTGCGCCCGCCCCGGACTCAGGCTGTGGCGGGCAGACACACAGGGGAACGTACTGCAGACACTACTGTTTAATTATATTATTATAAAAAACTTACATTGGAATACATAAATGAATATCTTTTCACAAGTTTTAAGCTGTATTTTCCTTTTTTCAGGAAGCCATATCAAATCCGTTGACAGTAGCTGAATTATTAAACCCCCGGCAACAAAAGCCATCACCGACCGGTCGCGAGTACAACCTGGGTCCACTACACGTGTTCCGGGAACATTTCCTTGTCTCACACAACGACCAGATCCTGTACATACTGGACCCTCGCTCCCTCACCGCTGTAGCTGTCGTTGATGACTTCAGAAAGTAAGAATTCCTTTCTTATATTAAAAAAAATATAAAGACTGAACTGTGTTTTCTAATAGACTTTTGTACTTTGAAACTGATAACTTCTATAGCAAAGAACAGAATCAGGTCAATAGCTTCAATAAAGAACCATTCAGTACACTCATAATTGGTAAAAATATTTATCGTAGAATTAAATTCAAAAGTGTTTCTCCAATAAAATTATATGACGGTGGAAAAATCAGTAAAACGTTGTAAACCTGTGAGGTTTATGCAAAATATTATTATTTTCTATAAATATATCAGCTGTACTTACCTGAAGCCTTGAAACTTCCCACAGGATCCTGTCAGTATCGGTGCACAAGGACGAGGTGTGGGTACTGGAGGGCGCGCGCTCATTGGTCCGCCTCGCGCATGCGCCCGAGCCCGCTGTCCGCGCCGCAGGTCTGTTCGCCAAGACATAATACACCCCATACTTCTATAGACCCCATAGAACCCATTACCCCACATTGCATGGTCATTGGTCATCCCGTGCAAACATTATGTTCATATTTCTGTATCCAAAACATTATTTAATATTACATTTTTGCTGCCATATATATTGTAATGCACATTTACAATTCTTTTGTTATTTTGCCGCCCAGTAGATGGCGCTAGTGGCACAAACTCATTTTAAACTTTTCTCGTTGGATATATTTTATCCTGATTAATGTGTCGATTTTGGTAACTACTTTTATACGATACAGAAATATGAATCACATTTATTTTAAAAACAATGTCACAGATGATTTAGATATGGAGTGCTCAATTCATATAACGTTTTATGACTCTATACATTCCATGTGAATTGGTATCAACCAATGTCTAATCTGTTAAATAATACATTCAAATTCGTACTCCATTTCTTGTCCAATCTGTGATAGTAAGTAGCATGTTACAGTACAACGCTCGATGTTTCTTTATTGTTGCACGTACTATGCAAATTATATGTTGTTCTTTACACATAAAACTATACTCAAGTGCCTTAATATAAAGTTCAAATTGGTTCAAAATTGATTTCTACTTGAGCATTGTTTTTAAGATGTTAGTTGTAAGATTTATTGACGTAGTACTTATTTGTGTATAAGTAAGCTTGAATATATATTTGTAGTATAAGAATTGTAATTCAATTGCGTCTTTATTTTGTACGCAATAAAGGCGGTTTTTGTTTGTAAGATTCCATCAAACATTTGTTCAGTACAGACCAACTAGATGATAAAGTAAATTCAACTTTATTTGTTTCTTGTAGTAGTTAATTTTTTAATGGCAGATGCGAATTGAAAATGTCGTCTTGTTGGTCGTACATCAGTCATCAATCACTTTTATTTCATTTAAGATAGCATAGTAATATTTTTTCAAACTAAAATAAGTATAGATATAACTAGTCGCCATATTTAATTACATGTATATAATAATTAACACTTTTACTGCTGATTTACTGGAGTCGCCAATATTTTATACTATCAACAGCGTTCAGCGCTAATACCATTAAATTAACTCGTTGTAGGTATTAGCTACATAATTCCTTGCAGTAGGTAAACCGTTATTTCATGTTCAAATATCTTTAATTCATAATATTCGTAGTATTGATTCTGTGTCTTCAGTATTTTCAAAAATGTACTTGTTTTTTTATTATTTTTCAAATGAAAACTCCGTTCTGAACACTTGAATCTAACCCTAGTATACGTGACTTAAAACTAAAATAAGTTCTTACATTTTTATTCTAAAATTAACTAAAACTATTTTTAATTGATATTGTAGTGGAAATGATCATACAGTTAAGCGCGTACACGTACGCAGCTCTAAGTTATGAGCCCTGAGCTTGACTTGAAATTAGTCGAGCATCCTCGAACAGTTACGAGTTAGTCGTGTATTCTTACTAATAGTATATCTCATGATAGCCATTATACTAACATTTCATACTTATTATTACGACGCGTTTTACACATAGTCATACATACATAAGAATGCACTTTTTAAAAGTAGAAATTTTATGTTAGTTTTCCATGGACGATAATTGGTCATTCCAAAGGAATAAGAATCTATATTTTATAACAAACTATACTTTAAAACGGTTGTACTACACAGTGTTGTGCTTTATAAAGTATTATATAAAATATATTTCCGTCCTTATACTTATACTGCATTTATATACCCATTATACATAATATATTACAATCTAAAGTATTCATTTCAAAGTATACAATATTGAATATTCTATAGACAATAATAAATACATATCTATGGCATTTAGACTAGGATATTAGGATCTTTAATAAATATATCTTCTGAAAATATTTTGCAAATGCTAAGTCTCGATAGTGACAGAAATCGGGTCTTAAGTGATAAAATATCTCTATTACTTTTTCAATCTTATCCTTGAGTAATAGAGTTGAGAATCTATTAATGAAATTTCTAACTTGGCGACCTATTTTAACTCCCTTGCAAAATGTAGACTAAGATTAATTTGTGTGATTTTAGTCAATTACAGTCTAACGCCCAAATACAGAAATGCTACCCAATTTTAAGTCGCGCTCAAGTATAGTTCTGTCTCTACAAATTCTTTGTAAAATGACAGAGACGGCACGATATTTAAGTACTACTTAAATTTGCGTAGCCTTTCAGTATTCGGGCGTTAAAGACTTCTCTCAAGTCGACGTAAAATGGTGGACTTATATTAGGAATTCCATATAATTAGAATATCAATGGAATGGAATTTCCCCTTATCATATAAGACTCATAACTGACGAAATGAGAGTCATGTTCTACTCTGTCTACCCCTAAATAGGTCTATGCACAAGTTTGTGTGTTTGTTTGTTTGTTTGTTTGTTTATTACCAGGGATGTTAAGGAGCTCCGTAACCGAAATTATCGGTTATCCGATATAAAAAAATATCCGTAACCGAATCCGAAATAAAAGTTTCGGATACTATCGGATAGGGGTGTGATGTATAAATGAAACCATTATATTAGCAATTTGTATTTTACTTTTGTAATTCCTTAAAATGTTAATATCGGTAACCGAAATTATCCGAAACTAACAGATCCAGTATAATAATGTCGCGGAGAACCTAACGGGTAACCGGGGCTCCGGCTCGACGTGCAGGAGAAGGAACGGGGTGGTTTTTAGTCAGTAAGAGTCTGACACTCCCTCCCGCCTCACCCAGGCGGGAGCAGTCATTAGATGATATTCCCCCCTTAAAAAAATCCAGTATAATAATCATTTCTACATTCGTATCTAATCCGTATCCGAAATTTCATATCCATAACATCCCTGTTTATTACTCCTTTAAGTCAATACGGCTGTAGGGATCGAAATTTGTTACAGGGGTAGATTATGGTCTGTCTGTAATAACACTTAGGGGCACGCGAGCGAAGCCGCTTGCAGAAGCTAGTAGCTAATATATGCCTTAAGTATAGTGCCATCATCCTAAACTTTTACAATAGTTTAATTTTTTTTTAAATTAATTTCCGGTTTAATTTGTACCTTAGGCGGTGGCGTTAAAGTTTATTATCAATTAACTCGAGAATCTGTGTTGACTAAGACTTTTTCAAATGACTAATTATTTTTGATCCTAGTTCGAGTTACTCAACCAAGGGAATATAGCTATTTTCATTTTTAACAGATATATAGAATCTGTTTTTATTAAAATGGCGTAAAAAAGCAATAAATGCATGCAACCAACCCTTTAACCTATAACAAAAGTGACATTATGTCAGTTTATATGCAATTATAAAATTAGGTACTTATAAAGCTAATATTAGACGCTCTGTTAACAAAACACTGAGATTAAATTCTGTAGAAATTAGATTTACTTTATAACAGTTTAGTTAGGATTGTTAATATTAAGCGACTGCTAAAATAATGTAATTTCTTCATTATAACATTTTCTATTTTATTACAAAACTGTAAAATAAAAGTCTTTCTAAGAAAAGAGACTCTTCTTAGCTTTTTCGTTTTTTTTTTAATTCTTCATAGTAGCATGGAGTCTAAGGGCTAGTTTGTTGTTTGGTTGATTGGCCTGGTCCTTTGAACCAACCAATCAGACCTCTGAACCTTCTGGAATCTAAGCCCTCTAGCAGCAGCAGTAGCAGTAGACTCACTCCCTGACTATCGCATGGAACTAATTTATTGGCAGAAGTGTATGTTTTTAATGTGAGCATTTCTACCAATCCTTGCGAAGCTCTATTGAAGAAATTTGAATCTTGCTAGGGATGTATACAGACGCCAGCAAGTTAACCTACTCCGTGATTACTTCTGTGATTGTTAAGTTTATTGCTTTGTTATTTTAATGTCGAAAATCCAATGTTTAAAATTGACAATTTGGAATAGGTTCACCTACTAGTGTCTGTACCATTATTTGTGTAAGTTAGTAAGTAATTAGAAGTGCCTTAATCATACCAAATTGCGACCAATGTAAGTTAATACATAGTATACATGTATCATAGACAATAATATATTTATTAGGAATTTATTACATTATATCATTGTAGGTGTAGTATAACATAGGTGCTTTCTTAAGGGTTTAGGAGATTTTTTTCAAACGGCCTGGTTTAGCTGTACTTTTGCTTGTTATTGGTATTAAATTGCGATATCAAGATTTTTTTGGAACACCTAATTTATTTTTATTACAGATTGATGAAATAGGTTTTCTCTCAAAATTATAAGTTTTTTTTTAGTTTTTATATTTGTTTTTGTTTAAATATTATAGGAATAGTCATTTTTGATAATTTAACAAATAAGCGGTGAAAGATAATATTACACTATTACTTAAATATTACCACTAGAAATAATTATCTAGATTGTATAGGTAAATAATAGAAAGAGTATAATTTCAATACAACATTACGACATTTCTACTTCCTTTTGCAAACAGAAACTCATTGTAGCAAGTTTCGAATTGCAAAACCTACGTTAATATTCACTAATAATATCGAAGGTTTATTATGCTGACAATTTCTATTATATTTACCTGTGCTAAATTGTGTAACCTATACTTAGACCAAGCTCTATGTGAACATTTGTAAACATGCCATTAAGATAAAACTACATCGGGCTGCACAAAACAGCATCGTTCTTATATGCATTGAATTTTTAGCTGTTAGTATAGTTAAAAAGATGATGTGACTGCACTCGAAACGTAGTTGTCTTATGGTTTGTATAAAATATGTAGCCAAACGATTATGTAACGACCATGTCTCAATACTGCATTCTTCAATATATTATATAATTATATACAGATTACAAGGTAACTGGATTTAGCTGCACTCTATCTATAGAAAATCTTTATTATTTTTTCAAAGCCGCTTATAATATACAACGTGTATCGTGAAATTCTCGTGTATTTTGGAATTCGCACCTGTTTAAAATTAATTTCCAAGGAGCGATAGGTATACACGACTACACATCGAGCTTTATATAACCAGTATAAACTAAACGTTAAATGTGCGGAAAGATGATGCGACGCGACACCAGGATAAACTGGTTTTGTATAGATTGATGTGTGGCCGTATGTACTTATTTCAACTATTTTCTGACGTTTTCCTAATTTATACTCCATATTTAATCTGTCGATGTTGTGGTAATTGAAAATGGCCGTAGACAAGTAGAGTAAGAGATACTTGTGGGTAGTCTGATTCCTAAATTATGTACTTAAACTGACAATACTATGTACTTATACATTCCTAATATACATTTATATAGCCGAAATTATTAATATAACTCCATCCAAAATCTATCGATTACAATCTATTTTGACAGAAACTTCATGCTACCAATGTCAAAAATCGATCTTTATATACAGATTGTGGATCGAGGTAAGGTAATAATTTCGGCCATTAGTATGGCCGTATGTCCATATATACGCCTATTGCTATCACTAGGCTCACCCTTACACGGGATTTGTAACATGGCTGACGAAAATTGGGTGTGATATTTGTCCAGTCTATCTTATAGGGAAATAAAAGCGTAATGTTATGTAGTGACGTCATCATTGATGTTCCTTGGCAGTCAAACTATTGTAGTGTTTGTGAAGTTGTTTATATGTCTTCTAGTGCCAGATTCAAGATGAATGCAGAAATAAATATTTAGATACACATATGTATTAAAGAGGTTTCAAAAAATACCGATGAAGTACTTGAAGTTGTGGAGTTTGGAAAACATGAGCCTTTATTAAGTCATAAATTATTTGTTTATATTATTTAGTAGACAATTTAGAATAACATAGAAAGATAAAACATATCATGTAAATAGAATAAACGTAAATATTTTATTTAAGAAATTATTGTTTCGAAGAAAGTGGTGTCAGTTTTAAATTGTAAGTTTTGTAAAATATTTGGTAAAAATATTTGTTTAAAAATATGCAGTTAATGAGTCAATTAGTGTTCTAATTTGTTACAATTATTCATAATTATAATATTTATCACCTAGGTATAAAAAAAAATTAATAAACTTACTTTAGTAGGTACTTAATTTTTTTGCTTGAAAAATAAGTGTTTATTTCTGCATTTATCTACTTAAAATAATTATTGTAGTTTAGATCTTTCGCCTATTATTAAAAGCTTCGTATACAGGTTGAACTATTTGAGCTTGTTACATTATTTGTATTTACAGGGTAGAATGTATTATGTAGAAAAAGTTAACACCTGTACGTAGTTACCCGCTGTAGTGAGATGTTTCTATGACTAGTACACTTGCTTGCAAGAATATTATGTTCAAAATCATTTTTAAGCTAATTATTTCTATTTTATTAAGTTATTTTTTCTTTGTTTTTTTGCACGATTTTTGTATTTTTTTCTTTTGTATGCATGCGATGTGTTGTGATGTTACGTTTGCAAGCAAGTGTACGCTCATGCATTGTCCTGTTAGCATGGCCATTGACTTATATATAAATATACACATGCACAAATATATACGCATTTTTATTTAAAACCAGACACCTCTCGCTTCTGTATGTATATTTATGTATACGAGCAATGGCTTGCCTGAGTTGCCTGTAATGTTGCTCGAAACTGCTTTTTAACACTATTTTACTTATTGCTAATATTAGCTGCTGATTTTCTGTAGTTGGCTATATTTTTTACAGTTTCGAATATAAATTGAAGAAGTTTGTGGTGACATGGTTTTTGACGAGTTCGAATCTCGTCAAGACATAAAATGAAAATATTCAAACATAACTTATTTGAGTTCCATATTATTAGAAAAAAGTTTTTTATTTACACATTTATTTTAAAGTACACCTTACACTTACACAATTTTTAATTTCTTTTTACACTTATTACTATTTCTTTGTTTCTGTACCTACACATTATCTGACCTGAAGGGGTCTCGGGTTCGATTCCCGAGTCGGGCAAAGTATTACTGGGCTTAAAAAAAATTCTCAGTAGTAACACGGAGTCTGGAATTGTGCTCGGTATATGGCAATAGGCTCCCCCCCTATTACATGGGCCTCATAACATAAATAGTGAAAAGTGGGTGTTACATTGTACAGTGGCATAATGTGCACCTCTGCCTGCCCCTTCGGGAATAAAAGGCGTGATGTTATTTTCTGACCAAATAAGTACGATACGTGGGTACGTTTCGAAATATGCTCTACTTCTCAAATACAATAATTTATACAATTGTTTTTAATCACTAATACAACCCTAACAAAACACAAAATTCTTCAACAGAGGAGCCAATAAACTTGATGACGAAATCGCTGACGTCATCGATCCAGCAGGCAGTCAATTCAGTCCGCGACTTCACACACATAGACCAGACGGTGCCCTATATATCCAGCGTATTAGAACAACCTATATCCATGTTCACGAAGAACGAGATCATAGAGACCGGGACCGTAGCTAGTGCTGAGGAGTGCTTCGAACTCCCTCCCATCAAACATCTCCCTCACGACCTCTCGGAGAACGTCCTAGAGTCCATAGTAAACGAGTTCAGAGACGTGTCCAGTGATGCTGAGGAGATAAGGCGAGTGAAGACCGAGGAGTTACAAAGGAAGTTGAAGTTGTATAATAGTATAATGGAGAAGAAGTATGATGGGGAGTTGATACATAGTAGCAGGCGCAGTAGGCGGAGGGATGGCGGGTCCGGTGGTAGTACGCCGCGCATGGCTACCCCGGTCAGGAAGGCGGATAATGTCAGCTATAACAGCTCCTGTGTCATGAATATGAGTACTTGCGGGTAAGTAATATGATATGATTAGTAGAATAGTCGTCGAAGTACAACTGCTAAACAAACGGTCGATTCCCAAGTCGAATAAAGTATTTTCGATTTCTGTAAGCCGTAAATCTGTTTACTGCTGCTCTCTACTGCCTCGTTGGCTGAGTGGTCGCAAGTGCGACTGCCGGAAGAAGTCTCGGGTTCGATTCCCGGCTCGAGCAAAGTATAACTGGGTTTTTCAAAAAATCTCAGTAGTAGCACGGAGCCTGGAATTGCGCCCGGTATATGGCAATAGGCTCACCACTTATTACATGGGACTCATGCCATAAATATTGAAAAGTGGGTGTTTTGTACAGTGTGACATTGTACAGTGGCAGTAAGTGCCGTAATGTGCACCTCTGTCTACCCCTTCGGGAATAAAAGCCGTGATATTATGTTATGTTAAGTTTAAGTTTTAAAAATCACTCCGTGTTGTTCCAGGACCATACCACAACCGAACGACGAACTACTAGAGAAGCAAATAGAAGAGAAGGAGAAGATACTAGCGAAGATGTTGAACCTGGAGTCACTCAGTATAAATAGTCCAAAGCTAGACACGGAGACACCGCCGCCACCAGCGCCCACCTTCAGGCACATCGACATACAACCCACCGAGGTAACGCCCAAACACATCCCTAAACCAAAAACACCAATAAAGGACCCAAGCCCTATAGACTTAGTGCCCAAAGTCGTACAACTACCTAACACGTGGAACTTAGAGAATATAGAACTGAAATTGGAGACAAAACAAAATGGCTTCAAGGACCATTCGCTTCTATCTCCTGACGACCATTTAGATAGCGAATGGGAAATAATCTGATACAGAATGATGTCTAAATCTGGTTTGTTTTATACACTGTGAAGTTGTACGTATAATACCAGATTTGGTTGTGCAATCCAAAAGTTAAGTGGACCCATTGTACTTAGGACTCATTTTGTATTTATTATGGGTCAAATGTTTGAAGTTTTCTGCTAAAATACATGTGCACTTTGAAAGTAAGAATAACATAAGCTGTTAGTTATATCGTCAATCACGCTATAAATTCTCAATAGTGATTAAAGCTAGGTTTCTTTCCTAATTAAGGTGTAATAATATAGATACACATTACACATGTAGGTATCTTGTGTTTATAATAAATGCAATTGTGATATTTGATAATTTAGTTATAGTAACACGATATTTGATGCTTATTTTGCAACCACGCAAGGATTGTGCAACCACTAAATATAACGACTTATGAATAGTTGTATTTCTCAATAATATAAGTATGTGTACGCAATGTCATCCTACACGCAATGTTTAGCTTATGTGGTTTTGATACATGCGATTTGTATAAAAATTGTTACATTGGCAATTATTGTAATTAAGTGTAAAAAGTATTACTATGTAGTATGTACGATCACAATTTTATTTAGGTAATACGGATCAAGGTTTTTATTAAGTTCAATTTATATATGGTATCGTAATAACATTGGTCACAAATATGATGAGACATATTTATGAAGCAGCTGTAAAGATGATGAGATTAGAAACTATAGGTTTATCAAAATCAATGCAAAAAGAAACTAAATATTTATCACTTAGGTAGGTTTGTAGAGTAGGGCCAACAACGCCCAAAATCAACTGATTTTATTCGAAAATGGTTAGATCTATTTTGATTTCTTTGACAACAATTCCATACAATCGTTATGTTAATGATTTCGGCTGTAAGTGAATGGTAATCGATTTCCAAAAGTAGATATTCCTCTCGACAAATGCATTTATAATTAGGTTACAGACAGTAATGGCAATATCAATATAATATCAGATAAATGTAATAGTTTGAATATCCCTATAATACATAGTCATAGTTTGTAATTGAAAGAACAATTTATTCTAGTATTTCTTTGTAAGTTTAAAGATAGCATTACTTTTGAGGCTTATATTTAGGTGTTAAGTGTGCCCTTACTATGATAATATATAGGAACTTTTTTGTGAATGTAATGGCATTGTGGTAGTCTATACTCCAAAAAGGTTTCATGCAATTTATAAATCACTTTTCTACAAGTATAATTTGTATGATACATATGTAGAATGTTTAGTTACATAAGAAACATTTTTTCACATTGCTCCATGGTATTTTCTTTGTCATGGATGTGAATACAAGATTTGGATTTATTTTGATTACACCAAGAATTGTTTCGTAGGGGAATAGAACGAATACATTGCGAAGCAGTCCTTCGCCCAGCTACTGCGCCAACCGAGCAATCATGATCATATTTACATCACATCAACAGCCTTATAAGTGGCCACTGCTGACCAAAGGCCACACGGAAAAGGTTTAATTAAGCATTAATCACTACGCTTGCTCATTGCTCGCGATGATTGGCGATTTCAAATTTATAATTAGAAATCATAAGCCCAGGTTTTCCTCCCAATGTTTTCCTTCACCGTTTGTCAGTGATGTCTAAATAATCTTAGAAAGTAACCAGGAAAGTGTTCTTGCCGTTGATAGGTTTCGAACCCGCGTCCGCTTCTCATGCATGTAGACGCCTACATGCATGAGAAGCGGACGCATTAAACCTCCGGGCGACCACGACAAAAATATGATTATATAATTGAAAATTTATTTATTTAGTTAGGATCTTCGACACTAGACATGGGTTTAGCTCATTTACATACAAGTCCAGATGTTAATAAATGTCACTGGAATGTCCTAGAATCGCATTTATATACATAGGAGGAATTGAATTTTCATTTAATGATTTTGTTAAAGAATGTTTTAAGTATAAGTAGGTTTAGGTACCAAACTGAAAGGATATTTGTATTCTAATTATAAAAGATATTTGTGTTGTCTACAGCTCTCTCAAAATGTCGCAACTATTTTGTGTGATTTATTTCATGATGATAGATGGAATATTTTTTAAGAATTATAAATTTATTTTAACTTTGAATCTAAGAATTGGATGTTACTAAAAACAGTATTCGTTTAAAAATGGTATTATTTTATTTTGAATTGTTTCGATATTTCCAAATTTTATGATTAGGTTTTTTTTTAGTTTATGCAAAAAAGCAAAAGTTATTTCGATAAAGTATTTAATTATACTATGAATTATTATCTACTCGTATGAATTTGTAAGATCTCCTAAGACTTAGGTACCTACATGACAATTATAATAATATGTATGGGAAATTATCAAAGCAAATAAAGACGTATGCTTTAATATTAATTACAATAGCGCAGTACTTTTAGTCCCCATAAACTTATTACTGAAATTATATAATTGGAAGAAATACCTAAGTTTTGGCCTTATACCTAAAATGTTTATTTCCTCTATATTTTTATGGTGTACAACAAAAAGTTTGTATTTTATTGTATGTTAATACAAATCTATACAGTCTCTTGTGTTCGCAGCTCTATTTTGTGTCATAAAGATTTTGTACACTCAATAATAGTCTCGTATCTTTTTTATTTTGTATAGATTTTACAATGCAAAGACCTAAATACCTACCTACACGATAATAGTTATTCTACTAATAATAACTGCGAAAGTTTATATGTATGTTTGTTTGTTACTCATTCACGCTAAAACGGCTGAAGAGATCGAGATGAAATTCGGAACATGGGTAGACTATGGTCTGGAATAACACATAGGCTACTTACTATCCCGCGGGAGAAGCCACTAGTAGAAGCTAAACTTTAGTTTTAAATGAAAAATATTGATCCTTGCAGTAGTCGTTTTTAAGTAAAATAAGTTCTACATGATACACGATTAATAAAGTTATATTGTCAAAATGTTTCACGCAAACATCACGCGATTACTTATACAGGGTCGTCGGCAGAGGTGTACAATTAGTATACTCACTTTATGCATAATAAATCACGTACTTATTAGTTTTTTTTATATATTTTCGAATTCAATTATATGTTATTATAAATGTTTTTTGTTACTTCGGATTTTTATACGATACATTTTTATTTACTGTGTTGATATTCAAAATTTAGTTTAGTTTGTTATAAAAATCTCATTTTACACGTAATGCACAGAGGTTACGTTACAAATGTATAAATTGTGATATAATGTAATTTGTTTTTGGCTGAAAATAAAGCGTTTGATAATGATTACATTTTGTTTTATTTACTTGCGCTGAAACAATATAGCAACCAATGAGGTTAATCAGAGGTGCGATTATTTCTAGTTATCAACGTAGGTACCATACTTATTCATCACTGCGAGGATGGCCCGGAGGACACGGTGGAGCATACGGTGGCGGTGTGTCTCCCGCCAGGGTGAGGAGGGAAGGAGTGTCACTCTTACTGACTAAAAACCACCCCGTTCCTACTTCTGGACTTCGAGCCGGAGCCCCGGTAACCCGTTAGGATCTCCGCAAGCAACCAATGAGGTTAATCAGAGGTGCGATTATTTCTACTTATCAACGTAGGTACCATACTTATTCCTGTCAATACTGGATCATAAGATCCTGTTAAAACATTGTTCAGTGAGAGTGTATCAGGGTTTATAATGACATGACAAATAAAATACGTTGATTGACATACAAACTTTATTTGCATAACACGATGCAATGTTACTTATCGACACTTCGCAGTACAATAAATAAACGCAAAAAAAAACAATTTGGTCCATTACCGAATTCCGAACTAGCTGTCTAATATACAAATAAAAAAATACTGTCTTTCTGTAATCAACAATGATTTTATATATTTTATATTTAGAGCTCTCCATATCTTTGTTTAAAGAAAGATTTCCTACCAGATGGTCAAGCCAATAGCTGCCATAATCATTTAGAAGAAACACAACATACTACAATACATATATATAATATATAAACTAGTTTTGATTAATACATTCCTACTTGCCATCCAGTACCGAAACATATGTACAGTTTGTTAAACAAAATGTGGCAGATAGGAACTCAAGCGCAAACATAGGTTCAATATGTAGACAAATTACATTGTTTTCTGTGAAGTCACTAGAACAAACCAAATGAACTCTGTTTTGCTTTCTTGAATTCCTAACTCCCCATTTTACTCGAAAAATGCTGATAGTACAAAATTCTTTCACAATAGAGCTCTAACAATCAACCGAAAATAAAATGAAAACATACAAAAAATCAAGAAAAAATATGGTAACAAATTGTGATCAAAAGCAAAGCGGAAGAATAAAATATATTCTCATGATATTTATATAAGGCGAAACAGAACAACAAAACATTATTATATTTATCACTTACAAAAAATAAACAAACGCGTATAGGCTTCTTAATTATTTACAATAAACAATCATGAGATTGTAATGACGAGCGCACCACAAACTTATACAATCATCATCATCAATATAAAATATAAATGATACCTAGATCATCGACAAAAGATCTAGTGTGAGTAATCAGATAAAATCGATGTAAAAATCAAATAATTATTTTTTACTTCTTTCATTCAAAGTAGTTACTTTCCTCTATAATCGTTCATTTAATAATGTTTTTTTATGGTCAAATTGCTCAGCAGAGCAATTGAGTAGTTAGTCATGAACTCCAGATGGAGAAAGTGAATGTTCAATTTTATATTCATACAAATAAGGTTGGTAGTGCTGTGTGCCTGAACGTAGTGTTCATTCATTTTCACTAAGTGTAAGTAATAAGTTTAAGTACTCTACAGCTAGATACAAAATTGGTCAGAACGTGGTTGATATGAACGCGACCTACTAACCTAAATTAGACTATGGCGAGTCACCCACAATTCTGAGTAAATTTTTCTAACTAAACATTTCTATCCACCCTGTTGGCCAATTCTCAGGAGACGCTCGCGACTAGGAAAATGTTCAATCATAGCTTCACAGTCACAATAAGTATTATATCACTCGATAAAATCGTTTTACTCTACGCCATGTAGTAGGTATCTATCATACATCATTGCAACAAAACCATCGTAGATTCTTCGTCATGTAAATATTACCAAAAGCTAGGATTGAACTGGCTCCTTTTGTAAATCATTAGAAAGGTATAATTGCAAATTGTAGCGTCTCCTTCGAAACTACAGAGATCTGAGCCTACACTACAACGTGATAGTCATTTGTTACGACATTTTTGAGAAGTACACAAATCTTTGAGAAATATGGTAATAAATTATGTCTTTGAGTTTCCCAGAATGTCGTAACAACATCTTAAGACCTTACAACCCTATGTTTTATCCCTATGGAACTGTGGATGACACCAACGAAGTAAGCTACACAGTAAAGCTAAATATTAATAAGATCAGCTGAATACTGCTTTTTGACTAAACACACAAACATTGGCGCCGCACATCAAACATTTGGCAACGCGTTACATACAAATAGGTATAACCAACAAAAGCCTTCAAGCTTATAGAAGTTTTAACAAGTATTTAGCATTAAATATCACAACATATAGCAAATTAAGCCGTATACATATAGAAGCTAGACTTTAGTTCCACGACACAAGTGACTGAGGTCTACGAGCCAAACTTAAGAGTAAAAAATAACTTATTTGAATCAAATACTGATGTTATTCTCCAACGCACTGGACGGAAATTGGCAGTGACTGACGAGATTAAAATTAATTTATTATGCTCACTAAAGTCTTTTAATTACTAGGCCTAGAATAAAAAGTGACGCTGGTGTATGTGTCATTGAAAATTATCATCTCATTGTCTAAAGCATCCACGCCTAAGGTCCACGTTTAAAGTTGATGTTAATACATGTCAAATAAAAATACTTACAAACAAAAATTACTCAAGTTAAATGCTATTTTAGCTGAATTTCAATAAATAGTGTTATTGTTTCATTTCATCGAAAAGCAATAATGCTGATAGTAAAAAAAACAAAGTATTTCAATTTTATTGCTACATTTCATTACCTACATGGAATAATTTATGTTGAATTATACATATTCTTTTAAACTATATCCGATTCAATATTTACGAAACATGCTGTTTCAAAATAAAGTAATTTGCAGTGTAAGTAAACATACTTGATTATTGCTTAATAATTAGTAAAACGATACACCATCACGCCCTATACCCAGAAAGGTTAGGTAGAGATGACACACACCTACTTATCCTTCATAAAATAAAAATTAAATAAATATTTGTCTTAAAGTTATCAAAGTCTTTCATAATCAGTGCTATTCAGTCACACTGTGTCGTAGAACTCGGTCCATAGAATGCCCTCCGTTCGCCCTCCACGTTTGTAATACTGGAGCCCTATACCCACTAATAAATCTTCAAAATACACTAGTCTTGTCCCTCCTCAGTCTTTCTTTGATGAACGAACGTTTTTTACTTTATACTTTTATACTCCAAATTACATTTTAACACGCTTTTATTAAGGTCGTAATTAAAGTGCTAGCTGTCTATTTTGGAAGTCTAAATTGACTGATGTCTTACGGCCTGTTTTAATCAGCTATTGGTAGATTAGACTACCAAAGATTGATTTGATATTCTTTATTCGAAATTTACGTCAAATGTCGCCATTAGTCGCCAAATCTACCAAGACGTACATTATTACGACGGGCCGTTGATTGATTTGTAACTTTTTATGAACATGTAAAAATCGTAATACACTCTTGTTTAATCCCTTCTATCAAGTTTAAGCGCCTAAAAGCGTGTTTTAGTTTTTTCGTTAATTTTGAAACTATCATTTCATTTTAAACCAACTCTGTATAAATAAAGTACAAATTACAAATTAGAAATAGCGAGTAAGTTATAGATAAAATACGAACATTTTAAAATAGCTGCCTTGATTTCGTTATTTTATTCACAACCACTGACCATTCCCGCGTTCAAATTGATCTCTAAGAAATAAACTGGAATTAATTTCTAACATTTGGGGACCATTTTCAAAAAGTTCATACTTGCAATAATTTCTTTTATCAAGTATTTAAGTCTTATTCAGAAGTTTGACTCTTTAAATATAGTTCTTCATTTCGAGACACATTAAACTACAGTTGACCTAATGACACATTTCCTACGTCTTTCAGAAATAAAAGACCTTTTATGACCAGTCTCATTATCAGTTTTATAGTAGGTAGATAACTCGTCGAGTACCGGTTTTATAGACACAATTAAAGAACAATAGGTCGCGGTCACCGGTGACCGCTTGGTGTTTGACAGTTTAATAATAAATATTGTGAGACATACTGAATTAACTAAAAATAATAATATTTAGTTACATAATATGTACGTCTGTGACTCGAAACTAGTAAAGTTTTTCTCAGTATATTTACGTGAGTAAAACGTTATTTTTAGTTAATTAGTCTAGGCTACTAGTAAGTACTAAATACTTACTAGTAGCCTAGACTATTCGTTAGACTAGTACCACTAGTAAGATCACATGATGATAAGCAATTGACGTTGCCCGTGGACACCCGCAACACCAAAGGTACCACTGCGTTGCCGGCATAGACTTGATGGATTGGGGTACTTGGGGATTGGGAATGAGGGATGGGGGACAGATCCACTCATAGATAGGTTACCGAGACTGGTCATAAATCATTTTCATTCTTATACCTACATATTTGGCAGTACTCGACCCAACATATACAAACAAACGTAACCTACATCATACTACATACAATAATTTCTTTCGTTATTAGTAAATAATTACAACGTCTTTACTTTTTACACTATTGCTGTCCTTTACCGATAGTACGGGCTAGAAAGGGGTAGCACGAATTTACAGAAATAGGTAAATATTTCATTTCAACTTTTATAGAATAAATTGTTCTAAGTAGTTGCGTGCTGTTGCTATCCATTTCTTTTTTTACTGTTAGTAAAAGACAGCATTATAATAAATACGTAGTATATTAGACAACCTTCTATACCTCAATTTTGTCTTTTTCACTAAGCCGTGAAATCATAGAGCGTTATTAGGGAATCTAAAGTGTTGCTGTCTCTGTTTTATGCGAATGTTAGAAAGAGAAAGATGGTTGTGTTTGGCACTCGCTTAGCTGTTTACAAAGAACAATAGTATTTGTGTAGAAAAAGTAAGAAATTGTGCAATTATAAGTGGAATAGTTACAGAGGTTTATGTGTGATGGTATACCTGCCAATCTCAATAACTAATCTGTAGGTAGACTCACGGCCAACAAAAATAACAGATTTCAATTTAAAAAGTGATTAAGATCCATTTTCGACCTTTTTCTTTTAAAAACTTGTTTCAATCTAGGATTTTGTCTTAGGTCGTGGTTGTTTGCCCAGCCACTGTGTTAAACGTACATAAGCCAAAAATCTAGAATTTAGAATTCATTTATTATTTTGACTGTTAATAATCTAGAATTTTGACACAATTTGTATATGTCTTATGTACTTATGTCAAAATTACTTCTCTAATAAGCAAATCTACAGACAGACATGCTATTAAGATTGGCTATAGTGAATTTTGTTATGAAGAACTTTATAACCTTTACACCAATTTGTCAAACTTTATTTGACTTTCAACATTATTGCATTGTTATAAAATCTAAAATGGAATAGGTACATAGGTTGATAGTTTTGCTGAATGGTGACAGAGTTTCCTAATCAACATTGTCGATTATTATAAATCATCAACTATGCTTTTAGCATGTTCGAATTTTAAAAGGTAGTGTACAACACTTTTATTGGATTCTCAACCTTATGATATTGCAGTAACGCTGATAATCTATTAAACCAACTTTGACAATTTGAAATAGCTGAATCTGCTTGGCTGTATATATTATAAAGTTTTTTATAACAAAACAAGCACGGGTCAATATGTTAATGTCATATATTGTATGTTTATATGTAAATACGGTATTTCAACAAAGGTATGATGGTATATAAAAATAGTTACATATGTATATATTAGACCATGTTACTTCGGAAGATTTCACGAGGTAATAATTTTTTTTAGTTGATATTTTTTTAAACTGTATTAAATACTTTTTCTGGTTTGTTTGAACGTTCTCAATTTGAAAATTTCACAAGACGTGCCAACTTCAATTTACAGTTCTGTCAAACGATTTTAATTCGTATTGCGTTAATGATAAGACGATTAGCAGCTGCAACCATTAATTGGTAGGTATTATAAAAATATTTTTGGCTGGCATTATCATCTTTATGTCAACAAATTGGACTGTATAAGTGGTAGGTTGCGATTTTAAGTTACCTTGCGATATTTTCAAAAAGTACGATCGTTTTTAGTGCATATAGAAATGTATAGAAATATAAACCATCGTTTCTTGAAAACTAAAATTAGCCACAAACATATAAATATTTTCAATAAAATATTTTTTATTGTATGTATACTGTAAAATATATTCCTCAAAACGTTTATAAAGTAGTTTATCATGATTTTATTTAGAGAGCTTTAACATTATACCATCAGCTAAAATTGGTTATTTAAAAATATATTTCTTTATTATTCTCGCGATATTACGTCACGTGTGATGTAAATATTGTAAACACCAGGGTAACAATTTGTCTTTTCAGAGTTCCCTATTCAGATCAACAGAGCAGTCTATACGAACACAGGTGTCTCAACAAGACACCTGTAAGTCTTTTCAACGATTCGGTACGCCATCCGAATCAATTCGATATTTTGTAATTTTATCGATAAAACTATCGACCATCACTATAATAGATAATTACTTGCTACCTCATCTGTCGCGGGTAACGTTGATATGTAAGCCACGAGAGCAGTGAGCGTCCGAGTAATATCAGCAACATGATACATTATGTTGCAGAGAATGACAACCCACGAACAATGTCGATATATTTCTGGAATCTGTCAATAAATATAGTTAAGTAGGCTACCGACATTGCTCCAGCGATGTAAGGTCCACACGACAGTCTAACCTGGACTTTTACGATTCAACACAATTTCGTCTACCCCAGCAAGTTAGTAAAATACCTAATAAATTGTGCAAAACCCTCAACAAGCAGACAAATACGAAAACAATCTCTTCGAGAATGGTCTTTGGTCAAACCATTTTCCATACAGGGTTACTAAACATATACACATGAGAACTGTCAACGTGTCAATACTTACAGCTTAGAGTAACTTATAGTTAGCGTGGGACTAGTTCAGGCGATATTGGTCCGTGGCGACATGACTATGTAGTGGTGCTCCATCGGCGCGGGCGGGATGATCGGCGACATCGGCATGTAGTCGTTCTCCACCTGGTCTTTTAGCCGGACCTTACTCATCTGCTCGTGGCCCAGGAGGAGGTCCACGATCTGCTGCGGGAGGGTGAGGGCGGCCATACTGTCTTCTGTCAGTTCTATGGAGAGGTCGGCCTCGTACTCGAAGTCATTCTCGAGGCACTCGACGGACTTGGAGCATCGGTTGGGCTGTACGTGGTCGGTGTCGTCGAGGAACTCGCAGCTCTTGGTCTCCCCCTTGGCGAGGTTGCCGGATGTGATCTTCAAGTTCTTCATCTTGCGACTCACCTTGAAGCTCTTGAATATGTCCCGCGTCGGCGTGAAGTCGAACTTCTTCTTTTTAGTTTCGACGTCTTTGTTCTCTTTGGACGTTTCAGATTTCTGCGATCCAGTGATGCGGGAGTCGCTTTTGAGGCGTTTCCTGGGAACAACAAAGTTTGTTTGAAGTGAATGTTGTTTAGGTAATAAAGGCATTAGTGGTTGTGATGTGTGGTATAGTTACCGGAAGACGCTGAAGGGTTGTCGCTTGGGCAGCGTGTTGGTGTGCGCGGGCGGGCCGGCGGCGGCGCGCGGCAGGGAGCCGAGCGACGAGTGGCGCGTGACGCTGTGCTCGCGCGCCGCGCCCCCGCCCGCGCCCCGCGCGCCCCCGCCCACGCGCGCCCAGCCCACGCCCGGCTTCAAAGTACTGTACAGATAAACAATACACACGTTACAATGTGTATTCCTACAGATATTTATGACTTTAACGTATACATCATCGAAGCGTATAAAGTGGGTACCTAAAGGGGTGTCGCGGCGGTAGTGGCGGCGGCCTGCGCCTGCGCATGGTGGCGTACACGCAGTCCCCCACACACTCGTACGTCGGCTCCTCCGTCAGGGGGGCGCATAGAGCCTGCACAAACATTACAACATACAATATTTATAAACAATCATAATTATTTAAACTTAAAATCAAAACTATATTTTTGGCTGTACAGAGTTACAGGCCAGATATTTCTAAGTTCAAAACAAAATTTATTAATAAATAGACAATGAATGTTACCCTGAAGACGCCGTCAGGTACGTCGCAGGTGATGGTACAGAGCGCGTTGGTGTTGGTTCCCTCCGGCAGGTCGGGGATCTCCTCGTAGATACCTGACGCCACCGACAGTAGCGAGCGACGGTCCGACATACTACACAAACAATAACTTTAAAATAACGTTTGCTAAAAAACTATCGCGAGACAAACGAAAATAAATAATTAAAAATAACGGTTCCTCGCTTGACCTACTACACACGTGAAAAACTACTACTTTCAAGTTACAATGCGACTCTTATTCATGAGCAACGTGCGCAGACGCTTAGTGGACGGGCTCGTATCTTGGTTATTTAATTAACTTGGATTTTCATAGATATTGGAATGGGAAATGTATCTTTTAATATATCAGCGAAATAACTGCGAGCCTTCTGCCAAGAGTGGGGATTAGGTTCATTGATAAGAAGACCTCTGTTTGTCAACAGACATCTTCCACCTAACTTTTAATAGTTAATATGAAAATGAACACTTGACATTAAAGCAAGATTTGTAAGCTAGTTGTGTAAATAGCCTTTTTTTACAAATTTAATATTAAATAGTAAGAAACCGGTACATACCTATCATCGAAGGAGGCGATGGATTGAATGTTGAAGGGCTGCGCGAGCGCAGTCGCGGAGGACAGCTGTCCTTCACCGCTGTAGCGGGACAACTGACCTACGGGGATGTGCTTCGACTCCTGAGTGGGGAAAACAACATATTTACTCAACATGCCATACATCTTTGTAGAACAACAATACTCATAATAGCACATCAACCGATTCCAAGCTGTCAAAATACTTTAATATATTCAACTATATACTGTTTTGTAATAAAGTCGAAAATCTATTAAATGAAAACTTACAATTTGTAGCTCTATAAGCTCAGTATTTATATTTCACCTTGTAATTTTTAAGAGTGTCAAATATTGCTTACCTTGGACATTACAAGGTCTATGTCATCCAGGGATACTTCAGAAGGACCGCTGTACCAACTACTGCGGCGGACGTCGCCTGGAACCAAAGTAATAATATAAATACACTTCCTAACTATAACTATGGTTGAAAAGCTGTACCTAAATTGAATTTCTTTCAAAGTAAATAATATTATAGACAGCAGATCAATATAAAAAAGATTTTATTACCCGACCGAAATTAATAAAACCGATTTCAATGCAACATTGATGTAGATTTTTGACTTAATTTGAGTTTTGGTCAAAAACCTAGAGTGATACAGATATTTTGTTTGAGACCGGTTATTAATTTCGGTCGTGTAATTTATACCTACAATCCTTTAGAAGTGAAAATTCATTTGGGACGCCATGTTGAACAGGAGATGTCTTGTGGCAGATATGATGATGAGGATGACGTAGAAAACATGACTATTTATAAGATTTACCCATATGTGTGTCAGAGTAGGTATGTGAGCGTAGATCTCCGTCGCTCTTGCTAAGTTTGTGCGGGGAGCGAGTGGCGCGGGGCTCGCGGGGCTCGTCCGTGGCGGGCAGCGCGGCCCGCACGGCGCGCGCCAGGGCCCCGGCCAGCGGGGACCGCAGCCTCAACTCACCACCACCGCTACTGAACGCACTGGAACATTGCAAACACATTACTAAGATTATATAAGAATTGGACTTGTAATAGTAAATAATAGTTATTCGATAGGCATTTTGTTTCTCTCAATTTCAAATCTATGTGAAAGAAATATTTTTGCGTGACTAATATAACTATATTCAATTAAATTAAGGTCACTTTATTTATCTATCTTATGTACTTAAGTTCTACCCACCAGTATAAAATATTTTCTACTCAAAATTATCAGAATATGTAATTAGCAAAATAATTCTACGAATAAACCTTTAATGTAACTATACTTAGTCGCATCAAAGCGTAAAATGTTAGTCGACATGAAGTATGAATGAAAAAACCTAGTAAATATGATTTTTCCTTAATTAGTGGGAACGAGTGTGACGTCAATGCATTGAGCAATAAGTATTAGTATGCGGGTGTCTACTTGTGTTCTCATTTACAAACAATATGAATAATTTGTTTGTTACTATGTTTACTCCTGTTGTTGTTCTAAATATAAGGAAAATGTGTTTCTATGGAAATCATTAAAAACATTATACTACCCACAGTTTTATAAACGTGGAAAACAACTTGCGTGTATGTTAGGAAAACTGAACATTGCTTTTAACAAGTAAACACCTTTCTAAGTATTAAAAATCTTCAAAATGGTTGCTTTATTTAAAAACGCTATAAGTTATGCAACGATATAACATCAAATGTACAATTTCCAATAAGAAATTAATGTTTTTCGGACACGCAAACACAAAAACTTTCGACGTCCGATCATTTAGTAAAAGAGCTCGATTTATGAAAGTGACAGGCGTTTTGAAACTACGGAACGGTCGTGGGAAGCAATTTATTATGCATTGTATTGTACAGTGGCAAGCGCATCAAGCTAATCCTTTCTGTCAAATATCTTTATTAGACTTTCAACTTTATGCGTTATAATTATAACACAAAGTCGAAAATATAATGAAACACAATGATAAATTAAAGAATTTTGACCTGCAGGCCACTGTACTTATTCTTTTTAGTTTTCAAACATAATGTAATTTTATTTTCTTTGACCAAATTGCATCATGTTTCCTTGCATGTCTTTTTTGTTATAAGCAAAATTTCTCAACAGGAGCGTCGTAATTACCGCCATTTAAAACTATACGGTTTGTTTTTCTGTTAACTGAGGCAATCGATAAATAGATGGGAGGCTTCCTGACTCGGTAAATTACAAATATTATTGCATTTAGTTCTGCTAACATGTTGTGTTAAGTTTAAATTTACGACTACATACTTATCAGCCAATATTAAAAAAAACTTCCACAAAAGTTATCAATTATTGTAAAATGTACCATAAATCGGCGTGCATACGAAAACACAAACCTATCGACAGTGAGAACACAAGTTTTGTTCTTATCATCATCGGTGAGGCGCACATCCCTGATATGTTTCCACTCTAGGAAGGTGGCGAGTTGCGCACGCGCCACTACCACCCCCGCCGACGTCAGGGTCACCACCGTGTCGGCGCTCAGGCCGCACTTACGGGACAACTCAGTGGCGACCACGCTCACCGAGTATGAGTCTTTTAGCAATGGCTCGTTGTCTGAAAGATGAGAAAGCATGATGTGAGGGCGACTTCGCATTGTGTCAAGAACACGTTACAAGTTGTTACTGCATTGTTCGCATTACGCTTAGGTAATATTCTGATGATGTAACTCAAAGGTGGCTATTGTTATCTTAAGCGAGTGTTGTAAACAACAGCTGTTGTATTGCACTCGTCTAGACTATAAATCATTACTTCTATTATAGATTTTTTACTTCGAATGCAAAATCGCCCTCGGGAACATTAAACAAACAGCCAAATGATAATGTAATTAGTATGGAGATGTTTTTATTTGTTACGTGATATGGAGCATTGTAACACAGATCTAGTACAACAATAACACATAGATAACAAGGCACATGACCGCTTGTCAATAATGAAACAGATGGTTAATGTTCAAACACCCTGTGAATGGACGGCAATGACGTTTACTTAAATAACAACAAATATACTAGGCCAATTCATTTTAAGTTCTAATGTTAAAATCAATTTTAATGAGTAATCCCTAGGAGTATGAACAATCTATAGGAGTCTGTCAGGATTAGTGAATCATACTGGTCATATTGCCAAGGATAATTTAAAAATATTTACACATAACACACACACTTAGATTTACTGTACTGCTTGAAAAAATATCCACAAGAAGAAGAGCTTTACAATTATAATGTTTTAAGTTAATTTACAATGTAGGTCAAAAGTCTAGTGGCATTAAGTACTGCCGTAATGTGCACATCTGCCTACCCTTTCGGGGATAAAAGGCGTAATGTTATGTTTGTTGAAAAGTCCACTAAGTTTGTTTAGCAAAAGTGTTAGTAGGTGACCTCATTAGTCACTTAGAAATAACTTAGTACAATGTGAGTGTAAGTAGGCGCAACATTCATTTTTTTATGGAATAGGAGGCAATTGAGCAAACGGATCACCTTCACCTTATGATAAGCGATCAGCGCCGCCTTTGGACACACACAATACTAGAGGAGTCACAGGAGCGTTGCTGGCCTTTTAAAAAGGAATACGCTCTTTTCTCTTTCTTTTCTTTATTCTTACAAAAATTGCCCATTATTTAGGACAAAACACACTAACAGATCTTTACTTGTAGCAGTAAAGAACAGTTAACAGAAGGCCAGTTTCATAACTAATTTAATTGCAAACTAATTGGAGGCCTGTCAACTTTAATTCATTAAGCCAAGTCCTTGGCCCATATAGCTAGTTAGTACTTTGCAGAATTCCACTGAAATGCTACAAATTATGACCTCAACAAACAAATTATATAGGCACCTACGTATATGCAATGCAGCAGCAGAGTAAAATAGACCATTGTGTGTACATATTACAATTTTAAATAGGTTTAGCGCGTTTGCATTCAATGTGGTGACGTCAATGGCGTAGATGCAAATTTTAGGCCTTGATCAAAACGTATTTTGTGTGTGTGATATGAATTCTGGCCATTTGAAAACTTCCTCATTATATTTGATGACGTATAACGCGCAAACTTTTACGAGGGGCAATTATGTAGTCAGAACATTTTGATAAATTTTCCTCATACATCAAAATGTTTAAGTTTAGAAGGTACAGTCATCATGTCAGATAATAGAATATTTACGGTAAACAGTGTTATTTTGAATTATATAGTAACATTATTACATAATTCGAAATACATTTCAATACATACAAATACATTTATGATAGGTACACCAGCAGACAGACGTACAAAACTATAGAAAAAAATGTATCCTGGCTTAGTTAATATTTTGTATAATATCACACTATTAATGCAGTAAAAGTCTAGAAGGAAAATCATGTGTGTTCCTCAAGGTGTTCTTGAAACCAAAAACCAGCATAAATATTTAACAGTTCTAAAAGCATTATTAGCACATTGGAATGAATGAACTTTGCTCTGGTTACTTATGAGGCAAGGCATTCATCTCCGCACAAGATGAATTTAATTCCCAAAATAAATTGAATTGCCTCCATTAAAGTGTGTTGACCTTGTGTTCATCTGCATACAATACACATAATTATATGTACTATATAGTTATATTACCAGTACCATTGTCAATCAAAACCTACATACACTGTAACCAAGGGTTTGTTGACTCTTAGCACAAACTGTTGAAACTTTTGTCATCGGAAACTCTAAAATACAATAAAAAGTAGGCACTATGTTCACAGACAAAATATGTTTTGTATTATTGAAGAGTAGTTCTATTATAGTCACACAAATAATTCTTTATATTACAGCTAAAATTAAAATGTTGTTCATTTTATGATTTTTCAAATAAATATAATCCTGGCTTCTTTTCTAAATATGATTGATTGTCTCCGTAATTTCTAAAGGTAAAGCATTTTCAACAATTTGTTTTATTGTGCAATAGAGACTAAAAGACATAGGTGTATAATTAATACATGAATATTGTGAATGGCTTTTTTTAAATTAATTAGTATATGTAATAGGTTAACCAATTAAGATGCTAGACTGGTTTTAAGACTAATAACAACTGGTCGGTTACATGTGAACTATATTGACTACTTTTCTAAGTAAACCATGTATCTAGACCACACACATAAATAATAATGCATGAATAACTAAATATTTATAGCTTTTCTAAGAATTACCAAACTGCTTTAAAAATAAATTTAGAACTCGGGACACACTTTTTAGAAAATACCATGTAAATTCAACAAGGTAAATAAACAATGTTTTGTGATAGTTGTAAGTGTGTTAGTATGTGAATATTCAACTCAATTTTGCAAAATATGTGCAATAGTGACAAGAATCCTGTGTTGCAGACAGTGGTGATGAGTCATAGTCAGGCAGAAACATCCGAGTCAAATTAGAACATATGAGGCAGTCTTGTAAACTTACCAATCAACATCAAAATAAGAATATATTTATTTGTATACATAGATAATTATATTTTTATTTACATATCTAATAGACCAATGTCAACAAACAAGTACTCAAAGAAATACATATCCAAGGTTGAAAAGTTAGGGTGTCACAACTTCAAATTATTGGACTTTGACCACATGGGTAAATGCAAATAATAATGAAGGTAGACTTACCCAATATTTTGCTGCCATTCAACAAAGCTCGGATCTTTTCCATCCAAACTTGTGTATCATGAAGAGATTGTGCCGCCAGCAAAATGCGAGGTTTTCGCGGCTCGTCAACAGAGAATACAGCAAAGGCATGTGGCCGCGTGCGAGATTTGGCTCTCTTTACTACGCAACCCAAAGGTAACTCCACCGAGCCCGCTGAAGCACCTGCCTCGCTGCAGTACACCGCCAGGGAAGCCCCCGAACAGGTCGGACTCGGTCTCAAAATACACCATTGTCTTTTCCACGACTGTCAATAACAAAATAATCAATGCTACAATGTTGTGATACATCCCAATGAATAAATTAATCTACTTCGAAGCTTACCTTGAAAGGATTTAAGCCCAAGTTAGATTTGAACGGATACTTTATTTCCAAGTATCCGGACATAATGAGTTTTATGTTTTTACAGTGTATGAAACATGTCTAAAATAAATAACTTGAATTATAAACACGCGATGCACATGTTCAACCAAACAATATTGTTTACAAAAAATCATAGACAAACAACAAAAATAGTGATTAGTCGGTTATTTAAAATCGATACCAAAACCGGTTTTTCGCAACGACAGATTTATTTTTGTTTATGGTCGATTTTGTAATGCACTTCGTTACACGGAATTACATTTACATAATCAAGAACTCTAAGCATAAGGTAACAATCAAAGTAAATGAAATGTTTGAAAGCATAAAAAATTAATAGAAATATGTCGAAAACTAAAATGACGACCTTCATTAGTTGCAATCTCGTTGGCTTATCACTAGTCGACACATAGTCGACATTATTGTCGTTGTCATGTCACTCTCATCTGTCAGTGTCAAAGTCTTCCATCCATATCTTCACCTGACTTCTGACTCGTAATTTGTGATTGAAATCGATCGTGACTATTAAATTTATGCGAAATTAAATTATAAACGAAATCGAAAATAATTAGGGATTTCTAGAATAAATCCACAAACATATAAAATGAAGCAAATTCTGTCAATCCTCTTTACAGTATGTACATTTTCTGAAGTGCTATCTGCTGTAAACCTTCAAGAAGAGGAAGTTGGTAATGGTAGATATTCTATCGAAGGTAAAGTCTTTCCACCTGAAGAACAAGATTTGTTACCATGGCAAGTTGACACCCGCGTGCATGTAAATGGTGGTGAATACATAGGTTTCATCAGAGACGATGGTTCATTCGTCATACACAACGTCCCTTCGGGTTCGTATGTCGTTGAAATCTTGCATCCTGACTACATGTACGAGCCAGTCAGAGTCGAGATCAACTCCAAGGGGAAATTCAGAGCAAGAAAAGTGAACTACATTCAAACATCCCAAGTTATCCAAGTGCCATACCCATTAAGACTGAAGGCATTAACTAAGTACAGGTATTTCCAGGTTAGAGAACAGTGGCGATTGACTGACTTCCTGTTTAACCCAATGGTTATCATGATGGTGTTGCCACTACTGTTCATTATGATCTTACCTAAAATGATGAATGACCCTGAGACCAAGGAGGATTTGAAACAAATTAGCAACTTGGCGAAGATGTCGGACATGCCTGAAATGTCTGAGATGTTCACTTCATTGTTCAGTGGTGGTGCTACAGCCAAGGCTTCAGCTGCAAAAGCCAAACAAGTGAAAAAGAGGCAGTAGCAATGTCTAGTTGAATTATTGATAAGTATTTATGATCAATAAGTTATTGATAATATGTATAGTGATGTAAAAATTAAATAAATTGTTAAAATGATTTGTGTTTGTAATTGAAGCACCTTCATTCAACAAAAGTTATGCCATGTCAGAACGGAGTTATGTGTTAAACCATTGTCTTTGTCAGTTCCAATTGGAGCCAGGTGTATGTTTGTAAATTTTTTCTTATTGTATTCTGACTAGGTAGATTACTGTATGCAGTACTACTGAATAAAATGTCAATAATATATTTTATCAGTGTGCGATTGAGGAGACAAAATAATGACTCATGACACTGGACTTGGTGACAATGGTTACAAGTTCCCCTATACTTATTATCTTTGGTTACTTACATGTAAGAACCATCTGCTCGGTAACCTGCATCACATGAAGTATTAATTTATTGAGTTTACAACCAACCCTGTGTAGTCACTCTTTATTTCAATGACAAAGCTAGTACCTATTTAGGTCTCTTCCTTTTTGTTATGGCCATCAAAACCCTGAATTTTGCTAAGAAATCCAGGGCTGTTATGATTGGTGAAGCTTTTATGGTCATACTAGCTTTTACCCACGGCTTCGCTCGCGTCACAAAAGGATAAAAAGTAGCCTATGTGGCATATACCAATACATACAGCGCCATCTATACCAATACTTTTGTTTTCCCTCGGGAATATTAAATTTTTTCGGGATAAAAAGTACCCTATTATTTAATCCAGACTACTAACTTTACGTCTGCAAAAATTCAATGCAATCGGTTTAGTAGTTACGGCGTGAAGTCGGAACAAACAAACAAACTCACTTTCCGATTTATAATATAAGTAAGGATATATGCCTATGTTAGGTTTCTATCTGATGTAAAGCAGGCACATACAAAAGATAAATCATAATAAACAAAAAAACAAAATGTTATTTTCAAAGGTTTTATTTGGAAATAAATCTATGACAATAAACCACTCTCCTACTCTACAGAGAAGCTTTGTAACAACTTAGGAAGATATTACACACAAATACATAAAGTAAAAAAAAATCAGTCATTGGTAATTTGGACGGAAACTACTTAAGTAACATGCTCACATAGGCATATAGACATGAGATTCTCTTTATACATATAGTAATTATACTTTTTTATCTATTATAAATTTTGGACGGTACATTTTGTACACAGTTATAAAATCTAAATGCTATCGAATATTTGCTGTATGTGGCACGACAATACATAGTACAAGAAATAAATAGGTACTCTCAGTTACCACAATAATACAAAAACTTAATACTAATTAAAAATATTATAATTACAAATCAATGTATATTTTTCATTAAAATATTTCCAATAAAATTTGTCATACATATATTGTCTTTTGATAATGTTAATAAGGCATTATGATTGACATTTTTGATATAATATTGCTTGATTATTTATTTATTAAATACAAATATTGTAAATAGCAATCACTTTTTCAATCTGAGAAATTATATTCCATTCATAATGATGTTTCAAGTCTAAAATGTTCTTAGTATAAAATATAAAACTTTATGGTACATTTATTTGATGGTGGTTGAACTTTCTCTTGCAGCCTGCACTACATTATTGCTGTTCTTAGTACTACTACAAGGACTTAAACTACGATATTTACATAATGTTGCACTTTGCCTTCACATAAAAATATTCAAATCAAGGCAAGGACGCATTTAATGCTATTACATCATCACAAAATTTCTCTCTTTTCAAATTGATCCAAATAAGTTGCAGATTTTGATATGCATGGTACAATGGCTAGATTAGTTTATACAAGACATTAAATTAAAATCAAGATAAATATCAAGTTGGGTAAAGTAAAATAAAATGCTGACAGCACCCTGGAGAATAGAAATGGAACAAAACGAGATTCTATAAATGCTAAATCTGATAAAAATAATTACATCATTAACTTTCCATGGACAAAGTGAATCATTCTTGGACGAGTTTAAAAAATATTACAAAAGGTTAATTTGTCTTTTGTAGACATGTATTGCGGTGAGACAAATAGACAACAGACAATATATATGTATAATATTGTTACTACAATATATTGTACCAGCTTGATGTCATTAATCTTTTATTAAATAACCTAAGGGTTCTAACTTGAAAATAAAGTAATAATCTTTTTTCAAAAGAAAAGTTTGCTAACTGGCACTGATGCAAAAAAGAAATTCACCGGATTGCCTGAACTGGTAATGGGCAATGCAAATATAAAACGTATAACACCGCAATACAGTCTAGTTTTGCTTAAACTAAGATGAACACTTGCTTAACTAACACTAAATATTGGAATGGAGAAAGGAATAGAGGTTGAACAGTTATTTATAATATTTCATGGAATGGGAATATAACCAGTTTATATGAGGCAAGTAATAAATACACTGAGCAATCAAAGTATATTGGAAGACCTGAACTTCTTTATTTTAGTTTGATTTACTGAAATTATTAATTGATCTGTTCAAACACTCAAACGCCACTGAATTTTAAGATATTCTCAAGAAAGTTTGTTTTTTTTTTTATTTAAGTGTCAACGTTTGACCACTATCTTGCCTGGTGGTAAGCGATAATTCGGCCTATTATGGAGCACGTCGTCCCATAAGCAACCTATTCATTCGGGCCTTGACGACACCCAGGTTATACCCTTGAGGAAAGACTGGCAAATAATTCCACTCCTTAGCAGTATGCACAAGGAAGCTTGTTTGTCCCTACAAATTTGTTTTTAAAAGAGATGTTTTCAGCATTCGATCACAATTCTTTTAGAATATTATGAACGTAATAATTCATTTAAGAGTATTTGTACAACTACTATACAATTTATTTGTTGTAAAATGATTTAAACTTGTGTTTTCCTCAACTACAAGGCAGTTGTTAATATCAGGTATTTTCCTTACAAATAAAACTGGTTTATGTGTCTTTCATTGCAATATATATCTAAACGGTGGTTAGTTTGGGACCTAGGTCACACATAGATCATAGAACCTTGGATCAACTTTCATGTTTAAAATTGTGAATGTTGTAGAAGTCACTTTAGGCATTTTGAATACCACATTTTCGGATATTCAATATTAGAATTGGTTTTACTATAATTAACCTATAAAATACATGATCCAGTGGGTTTCTAGCTGCAGATAGCATGAACAGCTGCCAGTACAACTCACTAAAATTAACTTTTTGTGTATGTTTTGACACATAGCTTACAAAATAATTCATCTAGAATATTTAGAGATTGCTTACCAATACATACATTTTTATATAGCTGCCCGAGTGATTCCGAAATACATTTTAGTATATAAAAATACTTGTATTCAATATCAATTTCATAATTTATCACTCGTACTATTGTCTATTAGCTTATCATTTTAGTCAACATGCAACTAATTGTTATGTTATAAAAAAATCATTTATGATTTATTTGCTCTTGAAAATTTGTTAATAATTAATTGTATACAAACTATCTACATAATGAAGGTTAGCTTCTTGCAATCTTTAAATGATTTATTAACAGAATGACTGTAGAGTAAAATCTAAATCGGGTACTTGTCTCCGGGACAAGAAAGCCAATGATTTTACAAATGGTAAAGGTCACTGGGTATGAAGAAATATATGCATTTAGAGTATAAATTTCTGGCACTAGTGAAAATGGATATAAGTTAAAAAAAAAAACTTTACAGGAGATGCAAAAAACACTCCATACACGTCAAATTAGGGTTTGACCTCGAGTATCATTACATAATAAAATACATGTGATGTTTTTATAGATTAACAGTGTGTATAAAGCATTTTCTGATCATTTTGGTATGATCAACTCATTTTTGACAAAATTACACTTGTATCCTTTTCACTGGGGCCATAAAAATAGTCATTCTGTTAATAAAGCGTACAGTTTTGGTATTCTATTCCATATTTTGTCGATTATCGATTACTTGTACATACCTATGAGATTCCAAAGAGAGAGACTTGTGGTCTTATGTATCGCACGACAGTAAATAGAACCGCTATGAGGAGGAGTGGAGTGGCGAGCGTTAGGTGTCGCGCGTTGTTGTAGATGGCGCAGTATGGACACTGAGAGGAACCACACACTTCGCAAATGTTCAGGAGATACGTCGGCAGCGCGTCGAATATACTTTCGTTGAAACGTTCTGTTGGTTAAATTAGATAGTCAAGAATCAGTCCATTGTACATCAATTAGAGAAATGGACTATGGAGCAGAGGCTGATTAAACCTAAAAGCGCCCTAGGCAACCATCTCGTAGGCGCCCCTAATATTTTTGGCGTCGCCGCTACTCAAATACTACTTACTAATAATAAAAACTGATAAATTAGGCATATGCCAAATTTATCAGTTTTTTACTGATAAATTAGGCATATGCCAAATTTATCGACGCATATGCGAGACGCATATGCGTCTCGCGGCTCCTCTCTGTAACGTGGCGCCCAAGACACTTGCCTAGGACATTATGGTTCTGCTATGAAAAATTTTATGTGAAGATTTATGTAGAAAGAATGTACTTACCGGGTGCATAGTAGTCGTAGACACGCATCGGTAGGTATCGTGACATGTTGGCGACCGGGAACCAGCGCTCTATCGTGAAGTTCACACACGTCGGCTCTTCAGACAACTGTGTAAACATATGAAGTCTTAGTAAAGGCTCTTTTCTCCCTTCATTTTTTATGGTTTTGGTGATAGAAGAACGTAACAACTGAAGTTCGAAGCCAGCCTTTTAGGGAGCCAGAGTTTCGGTAAATTGGGAATGGGGGTGTGGAGAATTGGGCCTCCGATTACCCTACTAATGACGAAACAAATATTTAAAAAGATGAATATTTGGAATAATGTAAAAAATGTAGTACTTACATAGTCGAAGTAGAAGAGTATTTTAGTGGGCAGATACTTGGCTCGTTGCAGCGTGGGCACCTTCCGCGCCAGTACGTACGCGTCCAGCTTCTGTTGT